AATACAAATGACAGTTTCCCCTCTCTGTATTCACCCTCCCATGGGGATTCAGGGTTAGAACAGGTCCCCAGCAAGCTATGCTGGTCATAAGAGACGACCAAATGGATCGAGCGGTAAGATTCAGTGACTAGCTTGATACCATGTCCTTGTATACTGATGGTGTGGATCATTGCTCACAATATCAATGGATTGTCTGGTCCAGATTGGATTATGTACAGGTCACTGTCATATAGCTGGAATATTGCTGAGTGCGGCATTAAAGAAACAAACAAACTGGATACACCCACACACCTAGCTCCACGTCCTCCCAGTGGGAATGGGAGGAGGAAAATCATTACAGAGAACAATGCTGTTAATTCATACTTCTCACTGGAGACAAACAATATGACCTGAGAAAGAGTCTGTAAATTAATAAAAGCTTTATGGATGAAGAACCTGGGTATTATTCTACATAAAGAACACTTGACAATTGTCTCATATCACTCCCCAGGGATACAGGGGAGTTGTATTGACATACTTTAGTTATATTAAGAAACGTCTTTGATTGGAAATTTAGTATCCATAAATAGTATTAACTCAAAAGTATTATTAAAAGTATTGCCACCGGTGGGGCAGGATACGCTCACCTTTTCACGAACACCTGGTATCATTACTATTTGATAGTGATTCATAAACACATGCTCATGATGCATCTGCTTTATGCAAAGATTTCTACTGGATATGGAAAGGGTTTTGTCGCTTTATTTACAACACATCAATATATCAGTTATTATAAAATTCATTATTCTGTATGTGTATAGATAACAATTACCTATGAAGACCTGCAATTAAATAATTATATGCTAATTAAGAACTTGGCTGATCCATTAATTGTTTGAAATTGAATTTTCTTCCTTCTCATTGTCCATCTTCAGTCTTAATAAATATGAACATTTTTGTGGAAGTGAATTATTCATTTAGTGTCAATATTTTAAAATTTGTATTGATACAGCATCAACATTAAAATATTACCCATACAAAAATCACACAACAAACAAAAACAAATACCAAACATTTTGATTCAAACCTCCTGAACACATTCAAGGGTCAAGTGGGAACAAGCATGTGACTTATCAGCGTCATTGGGCCTGTGGAGTCTGAGGAGATGTTTACTGTGAGTTGATAAGCATATTAGGGGAATTATGGAGAGTGGTCAACTTGCATAGTATTTAAAATACCGCATTCAACGTAATAAGCTCCTGGGGCGTTCTCAAAATTAGAAATAGGGGGCTCTTATTAGAATGTAATTTTGGTGAGAAAAATAATTGGTGAGTAAATTTTGTGGTTTATGCTGACAGCCTGAAATGAAACAAAAGAAAAGTATGTGTGTATCATACAAGACAGATATATTTCCAGAATTAAATTGCCCATAATTAAGGGTGCATATAACAAACGAGTGCGTATTATACACGAATAAATAAGTCTTGTGTACATTGATCAATTGGAAGGGGTGCTAATTGGGATTGTTCACCAGCTAATATATACTGAACTGCAAAAGAAACGTCACCCCAAATAACATTGCATGAAATGTTATCATTTGAATATCTGGGTAATGTTTGTCAAAGTTTCTAAAATTTAACACTACCTTGTCCAGAAAAATGAAATTTGACGATAAAAAAAAAGCAGATGACAATAAAACCGATCGCCCAAACGTATCACGAGTTCCGTGCAAATTGAAACGCACATGCATTCCCCCATGTCTTGCCCTATAAAAATCCAGCAACGGTACCAGACCACCGACACTACAGATGACCGAGCATGTAGTGGAAGACTAAGGGTCACCACCCGATGTCAGGATCGTCAGATTGTGCGACAGCATCTTCAAGATGGCTTTGTTACTGCTGGGGAAACTGCTCGACAGACCATGGGGACACACCAGTGACACACTAGTGAGGACACCGTGCGTCGACGATTGACGAGCAGACACCTACACTGTCACAGGCCACACCGGGGACCCATTCTGACACCACTGTCTTCAGTGGGCAACGCAGCACCAGCATCGGCACCACTAGCAGTGGAGAAGAGTCCTCTTCTCAGACGAGAGCCGTTACTGTATCTCAACAGCAGATGGCAGAGAGAGAGTCTGGTGACGCCATGGGAAACTTTATTCGGATGCTTGTGTTGTTGAGAGAGACTCACGGGGTGGTCCGAGCATATGGTGTAGGGTTGGATTGGTCTTGCACAGAGGATTGGCCCTGTGGTCTTCCAGAACATCGGTCCAGGGAGAGGCAATGGTGTCACAGCAGCTCGGTACATTGATCAAGTCTTGAGACCACACGCCATACCTCATTTGGCAAGTTGCCGCAACCACGAGTTTCAGCATGATAACTCCTGTGCCCACACTGCGAGAGCAACAAGAGACTTCCTCCAGCAGAATGGCATCAGAACCATGCCGTGTCCTGCCCTCAGTCCCGATTTAAATCATATTGAGCACCTGTGGGCCGAGATTCAAAGACGGCTGGATGACATCCGACCAAGGCCGACAACTGCAGCTGAACTGCGCCTATTGCCTTCATCAACCGTCTCATCCATTCCATGTATCGACGTTGCACGGCAGTCATCAATGCACATGATAGACACATGAGATACTGACTTGTGATGCCATTTTCTCAGAGACTAGAATTGTGTTTTCACTTTAAGAAATTTGACACTTTAATCTTAACCTTGATGATCAGTTTTGCCAAGTTTCATCTTTTTAATATGTCTCAAAGTATGTTAACAGTGTTTGGACAAATAAGGTTTCTCATATATCTATCCATGGTGATGTTTCTTTTGCAGTTCAGCATATTAGCAAATATCGCCGTGGGTACTTATTAGAGCGGGGCGCTTATTATGTTGAATACGGTTGTGTGTAAAATGAAACATATGTTGAGCCCTACTACATATGGACCAAGATTCATGACAGTTTGAAGCAAATGGCTGAGTAGTGGTCATAAGACTGAGCTTCAGCTTTCACTGCAAAGGTCAAAGCAAGAGTAGAACAGAACATTTCTGTCATTTTTCTTTATGTATCAGTCAAAGGCATTCCTGCGAAAGAATACTTTGACCTTGAAAGAACTTAAACAACTTGAATTGATTACCAAAAATGGAATATTAGAGTATGTGTAGATTAACACACACTTTAGAAAAGAAACAATTTTATCAAACCTTCTGTGACAGGCCTGATTAGAGACGTTTCTACGTGCCCTTCACATTACCGTATATGGCAGACCTTGATTTTAATTTGTCAGTGTCACACTTTAATACCCATGGCCATGAATAAATAGTCAAATAATGTTTATATGTAAATAAAAGCGACAATTTGTTTTCAATAATCATAAGAGATATCTCCTGAAAGCTGAGTCCATTGCAGTGATAGAAACTAACAGTTTAAGCCCACTAATCCTTAAAAATGGCAAATTTCTACCAGTCTTTATGATACCTTAACAATTGGGAACTATGGCAAGGACTATAGGACTAATTCCCATTTCGAACGCTGCATTGTATGATCGTGGCCATATCATGAGAATATGTTTATGAATCACTATCAGATAATGATGATACCAGGTAGATGCAAAAAGGTGATTGTATCCTTCCCCACCAGTGGCACCCATCACAAACACATGCAAAGGCAAGTCAATTGTTCATCTGAAAAAAACATGGTAACATACGGTACAGGTCAAAAATGGGAATTGCATTGAACATTCATTTCGGTACCTGATGCGTCAAATTTGTAAATGTCCTTCACAATGTCAACCATAATTTTTTTCTAAAGCTTAAAACATCTACAAAATCAAAGTCAGTCAGTACTTGTCGAGATCTTGATGGACAAATGCCAATTAATGGCTTGAAAGCCACAGTAGTTATGTACCCAGTATGACTATGTACATGTAATTCCCACGGCATACACGCTTTGTCACCAAGGTACGCTATGGATATTTAATGCTAAGGATAAGTCAATTGCTGTACTGAGCAATTATATATCCAAGTCTACATATCTTCACCAGATGAAACAATACACATAAACAACAGACGGAAAAATATGTCTCTTTCTTACCAACGATAAGTGCAACAAACATAGAATTCAGATTCTGTCAAGCATTCAAATGGTTTTGGTTTTTTAACAGTGTTTTACTGAAAGAATGAGCCGAAGGGACAAGACAGCTGGAGGGGGCGGAGGAGGAGGAGGTAACATGGACCCTCGCAAGCAGGCGACTCTGATGAACTACCACCAGGCCATTGAGGACACCGTGGACCTGGACAAGGTCATGCCGGACATGGAGGAGATCTTCACTCCTCACGAGAAGAGGGACATCAATGTGAGTCACATGAACATGTCCATGCAATGAAAGTAAAGTCAAGTGTCCTGGTCCTAATGGTAAAATGATAATTTTAAAAATTAAGGATTTAGGTGGTTTCTGGATTCAACCACCACATGTGAAGACCTTTAGGACTCAGGGACCCCCTTTAATTTCAAACAATTAACTCATTTCAGTACACACGAAAACATATTCCACATTACTATTGCAGATGTTCTAACCACCAATAAGAAAATACCGAACACTGTATAGGTTTGTTGAAAAAAATTGGAAATAAGGGCATACAGAGAGGGGATATTGGAGGCAGATTTAGGGAACAATTGAACAAGTTTCCCCAAAGCTATAAAAACAATTCTTATATGATTATCATTCCTTTATCTAGTTGAGGTAATTATTTGTATTCGTGCACATCATGAGATATGTATTTGATATCACACAGTTTCCAAATATGCAAAAATTCATTTGTGAAACTTAGTAATCATGAAATGATAAAGGTAATATACAAAACTTATAGTACTGGCAAGAAAGACTGGATCAACACTGTGTAGACATGTGTTAACAGGGAGCACAACAGACCATTATGAATACTTAACACATTTCAGCTTCTTAAATATCATAATGCTTATCATAATAATGATAATGAGTAAGTACATTGACCTGATCACATTTCCATGTTATAAATAATTCAATAATTCAATAAATTTCAAAATCCAATCCAAAAATCAAAAATTGAAAACAAGTATCACAAGAATTCCTTTAAGTAAGTACATTGACCTGATCACATTTCCATGTTATAAATAATTCAATAATTCAATAAATTTCAAAATCCAATCCAAAAATCAAAAATTGAAAACAAGTATCACAAGAATTCCTTTAATGATCTGATGACAAATATAAGTAAACTCACATCTGCATAGCAGTGAAATTACCCCTACTTACACAAAAATCTGTGAATTTTTCAAAGGAATATGTACTCGAATGATGCTTTTATTGAAACTCTATGAACAATTTCTATGTAAGTATTATCTATATTTTGTATTTAGAAACATAATCACAAGCTCTGGATCTAGAATACATTGGTAATGGTAAAAATAATACAATTTACACATACTGTCAAACACTGTTGTGTCGAGGTTGAAGGGACATCCGTAAATACTTCGAGTTATGCGAGGTTTGACACAACCAAAAATGTTGAATACAGAAGGAAGGAATATGCAGGGACCAACCTTTTACTTCGAGACAACCATAAGTTCGACACATCAAATTTCAACACAGCGGTGTTTGACTGTATATCGAATTACACAGACCTGAGACAGATACTGAAACAAAACTGTTGAAAATTCATTCTTTAAAGCATAAAATGGTTCTCCATATTATTAAACATACTTAATTGTCCAAAAAGACAAAGGGATTGGTCACAAGTGCAACACTTATTACCGCCTTCTCCATATGCATGATATGAATACAAAATGTTCCTGTTAATTCAACCTTGAAGCAGCCAACCCAGGGGCTTTTAACAGGCTAAAAGGACAATCATTGCCATGCACAAAAACACTGACATTTGCAACAGAAAGCTGATCTGCTCTGAACAATGACAATTACAAGGAATAAATTATTAAAGGCAACGGCTTGTTCTTCGGATCATCTCTGCAGCTGCTGCTGTAAGATACTTTGTTGGTTGTCTCGGGAGATGTGCTGTATTCATAGTCTGTCTGACACTGAACCGGTTGTTAGCAAACACACATCTAGCAATAAACAGTCCTGCCGTACCTATGAATGAACTCAGATGGTTTCATTCCTGTCTCTTAGATCATCTTTATAACCATTTCCTTTACTGCAGCAGCCACATCTTGCATTATGACAGGTAAGGCGGAACTCACCATAGATCTTACAATATAAGCTTCTGCACAATAACATTCAGTAAGTTTTTATAGTTTTCAAATATATTTTGACAAAAAAATGTAGTGGATACTCTGAAGTACCCTAAAATTTCCACAATTGTAAGCACTATTAGTTTCTAGTAACAATTGTATGATAATGATGAATTGAGAACACATTAAACTGGTATTCAAGTAAGACAGTAGATGTTATGACTGCCAGTGATCTTGAAGGAGTTTTTTAAAGTTTAAATTTTTGGATCCGTAGTGCGTAATACCTCCACGATTTGTCAGACATTCATTCACTTGATGAGGCATAAATCACTTGATGATTGCGATTTGAGGAAGTCTGTCCCACTCTTCTTGAAGCACCTGGCCAAGTTCAGCCAACATGGTTGGCAGCCTTTGACGCTGATGCACTAGTCTCCCTATCATGTCCCAGACATGTTCAGTGGGTGAAAGGTCTGGGCCCAATGCTGGCCATGGCATTCCATGGAAGTTGTGCTGCTTGGGGTGAGCATGGGCGTTGTTGTACTGAAAGACAAAACGTCGACCCACACGCCTTGCAAAGGGTGTCCCAATAGTAATGTCCACGGACCCTTCCTTGCACAATATGGAGTGGATTTCACTCAGTGATAGTGATGCCATACCACATTATAACCGATCCCCCGCCAAATCTGTCATGAGGTCAAAGGATGACATTGGCTTGACGTTCCTTTCGCTAGACACAACTGCACCTATCAATGAAGTCCAAAGTGAACACATGACACGTGACCAGCGACTATTACCCTAGTTTCGACACTGTGTACACCATTGACGTCTGTAGGCAATATGACAATTTGTAAGAGGCGTCACAACATGTTGCCCCTGAGCATAGAGATGAGCTGCACGTAGATTTCTCATCAGACCTGTCACACATACTCGAATAGCCTGGTGTAAGTTGGCAGCAATTTGATTCAGTTTGAGCTTGATTTCATGGACTGCTAATCACAGACTGTGAAACATTGAATGTACTGGCCACTGCCAGATGACTTCTGCCAGTTTACCCCATGCCAGTCTGCAGACGGTCCGCCTATTGCAGACGCCGCATCACTAGTTCATACACAAACAACGAATGAAATCAAGTAAATCAAAATTGCATGATAAGCAGAATCAATCAGACTGACAGAAATCATGATACACAGAGATCAGCGTTAGAAATTGGTACTAGTCCTGTAGTCTTTGCCAAACTGCCCAATAGTTGAGGTATCATAAGGACTAGTAGAAATTTGCCCCTTTTTAAGGGTTTTGCTATATGTTATCATTATAAGGACCAGTGGACTAAAGCTGTTAGTTTCTACGGCTGGAGATTAATCAACCTTCTTTGAAAGTGTCAAAATCAGGAATGATACCCTACACACAGTGTGGGGTTACAGCGTGAGGCACATGCAAACCATAGAATGTGTTTTGGTGTTAAGTTTTACAGACATAAACATTCTTGCATCAGATGTCTGTCATCATGGTCATCAACACTTATCTTTGTCCTATACTTGGTATTAACATTTATGACCCCCTACTATTTTTTAAGAATATATCCTATATGAAATACTACCTGGTAACAGAGCTTTAGATAATATCAGTACTTTCCATGTTTCCTGTAAACTTTCCCCAGATGGCAGCTTCAAAAGAAATCATTGGGGGAAAAATAAACAAAATTTTTGCCAATGTCAGAGGGTGGATACAGATTTTTAGCCTAAAATATAGGTCGGTAGATTTAAACAATTGTTTTTTAAATTCTAATTTCAAATACATTTTGTTTTATTTCCTCAAAAAGTTAAGAAGGAAAAAACAAGGGAAAAAAAAAATGGGGACAGAAGTTTTCAGACAATTTCCAACAGGTTTTAACTATAGTATTTCAAATAAAATATATATATATTGATAGCGATAGAAAATAAGTTGTGGTTTTGAAAAGAGTCTGGTCTTTATACAACAGAAAATATCAATGCTGACAATGTCATTATGATGACATTATTTTTTTTAAAAGTTTGTTTAGACATAACATTATAGCAGATCCTTGTAATTCCTTGACAGCACACAAAGGGGAAGGATCGCATGCGGAGGTTTGTGGACACTATTGCCAGTAAAGACGATGCAGCATTTGATGCCCTTGTGAAGGCGCTACGTCGAGACCACCGCAGACTGGCTACCAGACTCGTACAGGGGGTCAAAGACGAAGACATGAGGCTCAAGCAAGCTGGGGATGGTGAGTTCTCAGACATTACTACAGAAAGTACTAGCTGCTGTTATGTAACACAATATTTTATGGTTAAAAGATTTTTTGTATACTAAATTTGTGCAGCTCAACAATTGTATGTTTTACTTTATGTGGCATCATGTTGTTTGGGTCAGTCAATCTGATGGAGCAAAATAAATGCTAACTTTACAGTAAATGCATTAACATATTTGGGGCAGGATTGAACTGGTGGGTGGTGGTGAGGGTGAGGGTGGGGTAGGGGTGATGGTGTGTGGGGCAGTGGGTGGCGGTAATGGTGTTTTGGGTAGTGAGTGGTGTGTGGGCAGTGGGTGGTGGTGAGGGTGAGGTAGTGGGTGGTGGTGATGGTGTGTGGGGTAGTGGGTGGTGGTAATGGTGTTTTGGGTAGTGAGTGGTGTGTGGGCAGTGGGTGGCGGTGATGGTGTTTTGGGTAGTGGGTGCTGGTGATGGTGTGTGGGGTAGTGGTGGGTGTGTGGGGTAGTGGGGTAGTGGGTGATGGAGTGTGGAGTAGTGGGTGGTGGTGATGGTGTGTCGGGTCGTGGGTGGTGGTGATGGTGTGTGGGGTAGTGGGTGGTGGTGGTGATAGTGTGTAGGGTGGTGGTGATGGTGTGTAGGGTGGTGTTGATGGTGTGTAGGGTGGTGTTGATGGTGTGTGGGGTAGTTGGTGGTGGTGATGGTGTGTAGGGTGGTGGTGATGGTGTGTAGGGTGGTGGTGATGGTGTGTGGGGTAGTTGGTGGTGGTGATGGTGTGTAGGGTGGTGGTGATGGTGTGTAGGGTAGTTGGTGGTGGTGGTGATGGTGTGTAGGGTAGTGGGTGGTAGGTGGGGTAGTGGGGTAGTGGAAGGTGGTGATGGTGTGTGGTGGTGATGGTGTGTGGGGTAGTGGGTGGTGATGGTGTGTGGGGTAGTGGGCGGTGGTGATGGTGTGTGGGGCAGTGGGTGGTGGTGAGGGTGTGTAGGGTAGTGGGTGGTGGTGATGGTGATGGTGTGTGGGGTAGTGGGTGGTGGTGATGGTGTGAAGGGTGGTGGTGATGGTGTGTAGGGTAGTTGGTGGTGGTGGTGATGGTGTGTGGGGTAGTGGGTGGTGGGTGTGGTGGTGATGGTGTGTGGTGGTGATGGTGTGGGGGGTAGTGGGTGGTGATGGTGTGTGGGGTAGTGGGTGGTGGTGATGGTGTGTAGGGTGGTGGTGGTGTGTGGGGTAGTGGGCGGTGGTGATGGTGGTGTTTGGGGTAGTGGGTGGTGGTGATGTAGTGTGGGGTAGTGGGTAATGGGGTGTTTTATTCCTGTTACTGAATTGCCATATGTGATATCTCAATATCATTATATACAACATTATTATACATGTGTATAAGAATCTAAGAAGAGGTATCATCTGCCCCGGGATGTGCATAAACAGCTTCCACTAATTATTACTGGAGATAATATTCCTACTAATCATTGGTGGGAATATGCCAACAGTTTCAAATCAGTAAAGGAGAAATCATGAGAACATGTTGATTCCAGAAGCAGAATCAACAAGCAACAAATGGGGCGAGTTGATTTTCTGCGAGAATCAACAGATTCAAGTGATTCTCAGACTTGTACCATGTTATTGTTGATCTGTAACTTTGCATATTGACCCAAAGTTGCTTCAATTTTACTTGCACATTCAGAATGGCTCAGAATCAACTGCAACATCAATAGCATCACATCATCATAATGGCTTAATCATTGGGGATAAGCATGAATTGTTTCCGACCATCATTATTAGGGATACAATTCCCACTAATCATTGGCGGAAATATATGCCAACATTTTCCTGAAAACAGAGTGTTTTTAGTTTTCAGCAAGGCCTGCTGGCAATGTGAATCACTGTTAGGTTGATCATTGGTTCTTTAATATCTACTACACACACTGGCCCCTGATCCAGTTCAGTTAGAAAAAATATATCTTGGCTTACTTCAGGGAAAGCTATCTTGACCCACTTATGGAAAATTAAATCATAACTTTTGACATTTACATTGCATATCAGTAACCGGATATTTCTTCTAGTTATTGATTTGCTCTGGCATTTCACATTGTTTTCATCTGAAATATTAATTCATCAGCCATGTAGAAACAAAAGGCCAATATTAAACACAGCCATATTGCATGGATGCAACAAATTTAACAAAGAAGACATAGGCTTAATTTGGAGATTAATGTCATGGCTTTCAAACATGTATCAAGTAAGTTTCTTGCTTTGTCCAGAGGCCATTCATAGTCATGTACAGTGCATGTACAATATGTCATTTGTGAGCAGTAATGATACAATGTAAATGGCGCGCTGATGGCGTTACAACTTCCTGCTGCAAATACTACGCAGTGCAATGAACCAATGAATCATATCATGTTTTTTTACCCATGCCATTATAATTAGTGAGTGATAACTTGAAATCTTATATTCTACTTCTCTGGAATATGTTTGGCTGAATGGAAACTGAATGATGAATCTATTGTTAAGATCTGCAGTCAGATCAGAGAAACTTGTTTGGTTTGGTCACACAGCAATGTGAAAGAGAGTTAGGGGACACTTTGTCGAAAGAAAATAATGATCAGTAATTGATGTTAATACTCATTAGATGTATATTATATTATGTGTACCGGGTAAGTGTCAGATCAATTGATGTTTTCTGATTCCTGGCAGATTCTCTAATCTGTGTCATATTTCCTATATATCATAGAATGGTAATAGCATGTCAAAATTTCTATTGAGCTTTGAGCATCATTCCAGTTTTACAGTTTACAACATGTCAGCTTGATGTGGGAAGAAAGCTTAAAGTGATGCAGATCTTAAACATTTGCCACTTTGGTGAAACCCACAAGCATGGGTTTGGTGCTGAAACCTTGAAACAAAATCTGTGCAAATCTAGGATTCGCACCCATGACAACAGGTTTCTGGCACTGAACTAAAGAATGCAATTCTACAGCAGAAAACAGGCAGCACCCCTTGATGACACTGAATCAACATGTTAACATGACAACCCAGTTTGGTCATGACGTAATATGACGCTGAGACTATAAATTTCAGACACAAATTTGGCAATCAAGTGTAATGATTGTTTGTTTGTTGTTTAATACCTCACTCTGCAATATTCGAGCTATATGACGGAGGTCTGTAAATAATCAAGTCTGGACAAGACAATCCAGTGATTGACATCATTAGCATTGATTCAAGGAATTTGAATACGATGACATGCAAGAACCCAGTCAGCAAGCCTGACCACCCGATCCTGTTAGTCGCCTCTTTCAACAAGCATAGTCGCCTTTTACGGCATGCTTGGGTATTCTATTGTAATGAGGAGCAAGTTGGGTTTCATGCAGCCATATCAATTATATTACAGTGTGTCAGCTTAAAGGAAAGCAAAGTCAAAGATGCTTACCTCTTTGGTCTTACATAAAAGCATAAGTATGGTGCTGACAAACAAAGAACCATAACCATGATGAATCTTGGATTCAAACCTGCAATCAGTCGAACCTGGCATGGCTAAGAAAATTGGACATGGAAGAAAACAAGCTGTCTATCTTCTTTCATTGATCATGTGACTCACTGCTGATATGTCTCTATAAATAAACACTGTCTGGACTTTCTTTTACAATTAATGTCATAAAACTGTGCAAACAATTTCAAAATAGTTATATTTGTGAACTTTCATATATTTTCAGGAGTGAAGCAGAAGATTGCTTTGGCGCTTCTTACTACAAGAATTTCGGAGAGACAGAAGGAGACAATCATCTCTAATGTCTCGGATGTGGTAGATTCCGAGCTGCACAGCAAGGCACTGCGTGTGAGCATTCCTGACCACAGAGCTAGTGCAGAGCTGGACCAAATCAACACAAAACTCAAAAGAATTATCAATACTGAGGTGGACCCACTTCTGTATGGACCAGGCTACAGGACAGACCTGAGCCAACAAGAAGCTGATGAGGTGATATCCAAGCTACAAAGCATGCTCGTAGAGCTGAATGTCATTCAGGACTGTTACAGTGCACTGGGTGTGCATGCTTTTTCTGGATCTGGGAAGGCTCTACCCAACATTCTCTGTCAAAGGATAGAGGAAACAAAAACATCCATTGGCATCCTCCAGAAAGAGAAAAAAGACCTCAGTAAAGAAAAAGCCGATTTGACCAAAGAGAAGAGTCTGCAGGGAAAAGATGTTGGAACTTTGGAATCACGTAATCGCAGTCTGGAGCTTCATAACCGGAACCTAGAAGGAGAGTGTGGCAAACTTGATCAGGCTGTTAAGAAACTGACATCAGTTAAGGACAGTCTGGAGATTGAGAAACGAAAACTTCAAGATGAGAATTCCAAACTGATAACTGCAAACCAAAGTTTTCAAACTGAGACATGGAATCTAGGCCTGAACTTCAAGAGGGCAGATGAGCTGAATCAGAAACTGACACGGGAGAACCAGAAACTGTCCTCCAAGAACAGCCTGATAAAGAGGGAGTCCTACGGTCCCAGCTCCTCCAGTTCCCTGAAGGCAGACAATAAGATGCTAGTGGAAGAAAAGATGAGGCTGAGGGCGGAGATGGGCAAGTTGGAGGGGGAGAGGAGGCAACTGCTGATTAGGAACCAGAAGCTGGATTCAGAGAATGACAACCTTCGGGATCAGAAGAGGAAGCTGATGATTGACAAGCGTAAATACTGGGGAGAGAACCAACAGCTGAAAACTGAGGCAAAACGTCTTGCAATTGGTAATGTCCAACCAGTACTGTTGCCTCCAATTGCTGAGGTCCGGGGGAGTAAAGGAAGTTTGATGGGCTCAAGCCAGCAGTCGGGTCACAATGGCCCAGATCGTCACAGCAGACGTACAAGCAACAACAGCCCAACTCGTGGCACATCCACCAACCTTGGAGTTGGAATCCCTGGTCGGAAATCTGTCAACAGCAACACCTTCACAAGCCCTCAAACTGGCTCAAGGAAGACAACAACCTTTAGTTCATCTCCAGGCAAATCACAACAAAATCACCCAAAGTATCGAGCATCTGTCTATGACTACAGACCACAGAACAAATCTGTTCAGTTCAACACTTCACCTACACCACGATATGGCAATAAGGCATAATCTGCTCTAAATAGCATCTACATAATCCAGGACACATGTCACGTAGACACTTAGAAAGGAAACATCTGTGCAGCAAACATTACAAGAACTTCCTTTTCTTGACCAAAATTAGAATTGGTTAGACATGTACAAAGGTTTCTCAAGACAGTCAGGAAGAAACAAAGAGGCATTATTCCAGGGTTAGAACTAAACTCAAAAGCTTTACTAGCCCAGATAAAGATACCAGCCCTTGTTATGTTAAAACAAAGGGGAAATTAGGAAATTTCGATGAACCCAAAGGAATTTGTAATTGCTTAGTCACTGCCTTAAAAACTAATATGTTCATTTGCTGGGCTTACTTCCTCTGTGGCATTAAAGTCATGATGTGCAAGTAGGCAATGACTTCTGGCAGTCTGTATTGTACAACCTTTAGTACTCAACGAAAGCCATCACTGAACTTTCTCATACCGTTTGTTGTACAGTCATGTGTAGTCCTGCCAAATGCACCTTATACCTCACGTGTTAATAGAAGACTCACAATTGCAATACAATCTGTTACATAAGGAATATTTTGTGGAACGTTGGCATGGCCTTGTGGTTATAGCATTCACTCACTCACTCACTCACCTGCATTTACACACACACACTCTCTCGCACACACACACACACACACACTCTCTCGCACACACACACACACACATAAACACATAAACACATAAACACACACACACACACACACACTCTCTCTCTCTCATTCACAATTCAAGGTTGACTTTTACCATATCTAACCTATGATGTACGTGCAGCATGATATTTCAGTTAGAGATTGTTTGTAGGAACTGTGCAGTGTGTATACACCTTCAATTTCGATTTTTTTTCATGGAAGGTGAATCATAAAGCCCAGTTTTCTTCGGCATTCTCTTCAACGTTCCATGGAGGATGAAGTATAAAACATGTTCACATACAGCGTTCCTGTTTACCGGTTATTTACCATTTTTTTACCCGTAAAATTAGTTTTGGACCGGTAATTCATGTCACTGCCTGTCCCTGTGGACCGGCAAATAAAGTACCTTATAAATCTTTGTTGTTGAACAAAACATCAGTGATATTCATATAAGTACATTTTTCGAACAAAGTCAGCTTGTTTGTTACCATCGGGGTTTCCCCTTGTCTATTTCTAGGTTAAATATCCATTGGTAGCGACTTCATCTCGAAATATTAAAAACAGAAGAAAAGAAAATTGTGACTGAAGTTCATGTGAATGATGTATAGATCTAACTAAGTTACTTCAGAGATGACATCTTTGCACTGAACATGATGTTGAAAGAATTAAAACCAAATAATTTTCATACTTTTTTTTAATTGTTGAAGGTTGGGACTGGCAAAAATTAGGGGGAACTGGTAATTTTTAGAGTTGCCAGTCCACAAGGACTGGCAGTTTCAAATGCCAGCGGGAACACTGCTATATGTATGCAGCAAGTACAGACTGTTCAAGAAAAGATAGAAGACACTGCACATGTAAATATGATGTATCTTTACTGGAACATGTAGGCCTATACATTGATGTATATATGCACATGAATGACACACTTGAATCAGGAAAGGCAGCGATAGTAACTAACCCTTTTAGTCTACTAGTCCTTATAATGATAACATTTACACTTAACAATGGCAAATTTCTACAAGTCCTTATGATTCCTTACTATTGGGCAGATTGGCAAGGACTATAGGACCAATATAGTGCCAATTTCTAACGCTGAAAGATGGCAATATAATATAATTTTCTACACCCCTTTTATTTGTATAAGTTGAATGGAATTGCTCCTTTTGCAAAATACCATGTCTTGACTCACATTAATCACAACCAACAGTGTGTATAGGCCATTGATATATATTTACAGAGAAAGTGCCTAAAGAATGGCCACCGAAGGTGGTATCCACTTCACTGATTCAGTGTCTAAACATGTTGTCTGTAATTAATCATTGTCTGTGATACAAATACATGTACCTGTTCTTTATACCTTTTTACACAAGTTGATATTTAAATGTATCCATGAAAATTTGTTAATAAAGTATTTCCCTTGAAATCCCTGTTTGTATCTGCTGTGTGTATATTATAATTATATCACAACAATATTGACTTCAACATGAAGTGAGTGAGTGAGTGAGGTTTTATACCATTTTTAGCAATATTCCAGCAATATCATGATGGAGGACACAAGAAATTGGCTTCACACATTGTACCAATGAAGGGGACCAAAACCAGCTCTTCGGCGTGACGAGCGAACGCTTTAATTACTTGGCTACCCTACCACCCCTCCATTATAGTGTGGTCCTACCAATATGAGAACCTGGCCAAACATGTTCTTATCTGGAATCCTTGCTGAGAGGCTTTGGGTGATTTCTGTTCCCATGTTAAAGGTACATGATCATAAAACATAATCAAAGTCAAATTCAAAGACTGTTTTGTTGCCTTTTAGAGTGAGAGTAGACTCCAAAGTCTTAAGTTGGGCTTACCCGTGTTATTGCCAGATCGCTACAGAATTCCTGCTAGAGCTACTAACAAAACATTCAACATCAAGATCTTAACGAGCATCTGACAAACATATTTTTACTGTCCTAAGGCAAAACCTGAAATATTTTGGTCAAAGATTCTTTAGCTGTGGTTCTTTGGATTCATTTGCCACTCAACCTGAGACTGTCTACTTCCCTGGACTCTATCAAGATCCAGCCAAAGTGAGTGAGTGAGTTGGGTTGAACACCGCTTTTAACAGTATTCCAGTTATATCATGGCGTGTCAGCTTAATGTGGGAGGAAAGCCCTAAGTGATGCAGGCCTCAGACGTTTACCACTTCATGGAAAACCAACAGGCATGGGTATGGTCCAGCAAAAGACCTTCCCATCAGAAAATACTACTATCTGAACTTTGAGCATACACATAATGTAGTAGTAGTAGTAGTAGTAGTAGTAGTAGTAGTAGTAGTAGTAGAAATAGTAGTAGTAGTAGTAGTAGTAGTAGTAGTAGCAGCAGTGATAGTTGTAGTAACTACTAACTACCGCCCCTTAGTCAGGACTGTTGTTTCAATAAGGACGCTACCTGACATGCCTTAAGTCAGTGAGTGTATTGATTAATACAATACACCAACATACCCTCAAACACATCAAGGGAAGTAACTACTGCAGCCTTACTCAACACAGAAGAACACTTGCAAACAATGCCAACTGCTACCTTGAAGTAAACTGGAGACGTCATATACTGTGTAAGGAGCTCAGGAGCTTGTGGCATTGTGTATTCTGGAGCTCGGTGTTTGCTAGCCTGAGACGTGTCAGTTTAGTTACCTGTACAACAATTACAGATGCAAACAAAGTAGTGACAGAAGAGAACATTTGATTTGATAAACTGCAATTGTCATTGTTTTCCTCAATATCACCCATCTTAATGAAAAGCTTTCAACATATTCAAGGAACCCGTGAAGATCCGGAATAGAATAGGTCTTCAGAAACCCATGCTTGCAGTGAAAGGTGACTATGCTTGTCGTAAGAGGCGACTAACAGGATCAGGTGGTCAGGCTCGCTGATTTGGTTGATGCAAGAGATCGTATCTCAATTGTGTGGATCGATGCTCATGATGTCAATCACCGGATTGTCTGGTCCAGACTCAATTAGTTATAGATGCCGTCATGTAGCTCGAATATTGCTGAGTGCGGCGTTAAACAACAAACAAACAAACAAACAATGTTCAAGGAGCAGCCTTTCCCTGAAAGGAAAAGACAATAGGACATATCCTGTATATCCCACCTCTCCATTGAGCTTTAAACTATAAAATGATATTGAAATACATTGCAAAACGATAAATAAAGAATATCAGCTACATGTTGTTATGAAAATTGAAAATTATATACCAAGAAAGAAACCACTTTACATTACTACTTTTAATTATTTTTGTATTGTCATGAACAAAGCCGTACATTCATTGTTGAAAATGTTAAGCATTAAGTATATCTGTCAATTAATATCAGTTATACCTAGTTATGTCTTATGATATTGTTTTATGTACCTCTATTAGCAAAGTCATTCAGATGTATTAACTGTATTTTTCTACATACAGTGATCCCTCATTACAATGCTACCTTTGGGGTCCAAATAATTGATGAGCGTAAAAGACGATCAGCGGTTTAAGCGAGGTGGAGTCGTTGGGTAGATGACCAACACAACAGTACATAATCTGCCTACCTACCACGATATCAACATCGCACACTTCAGAGTTTTATCAGTGATCAGTTTTTTTGCGATGGGGAAACTACATCATATCAGTGTAAAAACTTTAGTTTATTTAAAATGTAAGTAAATTTGGGGAGCCATGTTTTAACCACACTATACTGAAGGGCACAATAGTGAGGGAACGCTGTACAATAAACACAGTTAAAAATAAATTCACTCTTCTGAATGAGACTGAATGAAACAAGTCTTTGTATATTTCATCAACTTATTTCCCTGGAGTGGGCACAAAGAACCTTATCTTTCCATAAGGCAATAATCTTCTGTCTGTATACAACAATGTGCTGTGCATAAGATACTATCACTACTGACTGATCACACTCGATGACCGTGTGAACAATAAACTGCTTGTCGTTACCGTGCAGCACCATGAGCAATGTCATCTGCTCTCAAGACAATCGAGCTGCAAGGTCGTGAGGATTTAGAAGACAATTCCGAGAATTAAGGGATCTTATGTTGTACAAAATGAGCACATAACAACATGTATATTCACTAACACGCCTGTCGACCAGAGAATATGTAATATATGTAACTTAAACAAGATAAAAGATGTGAAAAACACTTCCTTTTGTACTTTCCTAATTATAGTTATTATTATCATTTATAATGTACCTCTCATGTCTATAATTATAATTATTCCCTTATGTAGATAGTTTGTACCTGCTCTTTGAATGTGTTCTGTATAATAAAAAATTTTGATTCTTGAAAACTCTTGATTCTTGATTCACCATCTCCTAAATATCCATGTTCGACTGCCAATCCTCTGAGTGTGAGGACAGTTTAAGAAATGAATGAATTAATATTCTGATGTGAATTAAACTTTTAGAAAGATCATAAAACAGTCATTTGTATTTTTGCTCATTAACATCAGAATATGCCAACATGGTTCAAAAACAAAAACAGAAATACATAGTTGCTACCCTAGGGGACATATCAGTAATTAACTGATGCCAGACTTGTCCAGACACTCGGGATACAGCATGCTGCACATACACCCCAAGTTGTGCCCATAGACACAGCAAACATTGGCACCCAGTACTCTACCCTGCATATAGAAAACGCATACAGAGAGCATGGCAAACAGCAGTGTATACCACAAGTCATCAAGTAAGAAACCCACACTGAATAAGAACCATTAAAATGTTGATCATATAGCGCCATATTTAAACTGACACTTCCAAGGGATACAGTCTGTGTTCTGTGTGTACTCAGCATGCCATCTGATATATAGTTCCACCTCACCTATACAAAACCTGAATAAACTGTTTACACAAGAGTCAATCAGCAATCATTCCCCTACCCACCAAGAACATCGACCACGACTACACCATACATTGGTCAAGGGTTACACAGTGAACATCACGTACTACACAGTATGCAGTTAAACTTCACCCATGTTCAAATATATGACAATAATTGTTGAATGTATAGTTACAAGTTTGGAAGGAAGGCAAATAGTAACCAGTCAGCAGCCCCACCCCTGTGTATGTAGCTAAGGGCTCAAGATGCAACATGGTGACGACTGTGCATCATAACAACGGATTTTGAAAATTGAAGTGTCACTTAAAGTGTCATCCGAGGATTGCACATGTATAGTGGACTGCTTGATGGAGTACACAGCCAGGGGATACTACAGTAGGTCAGTGGTCAGCAGAACTTCCTTTTATGTGTGTTTATGTAGCTGGTGAACTGATGACTCAATTCTGTCACTGTCAACATTGTCAATATTGTCAAAGGAAAATATTCGTTTTTGGAGACTATTTCTGAAATGATACAGTAAGCGATACATTCATGTTTGGATGAAGTGCAAGTTATTTGTTCTATGGTAAAACTTAATCTGAATATACACCAGAAGAATTGTATTTCATGTGGTGATTTTCCTAAACCAATTTGCACAGGAATCAGTAAAAAGCAATCCAGGCTCGCAGGGTCAGAGATCATTAATAAGTAATACACTCTCTGGATATCACTTTTAAAATGACTGTTGCTTATCAAATTATTATTTTCACTTTATTATTTCTCTTAAATGCTCTTGAAATGAAAAGTTATAACAAAACTATAGACTAGGGATTAAGCAGTATTAAAAGATTCTAGAGGGTGCCCATAGAAGCAAACCTCAGTGACCCCTCGACCCACCTTAATTTCAAACACTGTGAAGTGTTGTTTTTTTTAAAAGTTTTAGTCTTGTGCTATACAACAAAACATAATACATAATATATATACAACTCGTTCAAGACAAATTTCACATATTATGTATCATAAAAGGTATAAAAAGGTTGGGCTTAACTCTTTCCTATCAGCAGCACAATTAGTGGAGTATGTGTTTAATATTCATGATCTGTTCAGCATTCATCACAGAAACTGGGAATATTACATCCCTTGTATAAAAGATCCCTTAGCATTGACAAATTGTTATATCAACATTCATCTGATAACAGGCCAACAAATCTAGTTCACAAACACCCTTTGTCTGAAGATAGAACATGTTATATTCAATTAAGAACTGACTTCAATATTTTTGTGTTTAAGGAGGTATAAATCTAGAAACCTGTGTGCACACTGTGTGACTACTTTTAGCAGATATATACAAAGTGGGCACAACAGTTTTTAAGTTTATGAGTCCATGATACAAATACATATTGCAGTCAATTGTTATAAATAAATAGATCAACAATAATAATAACACAGACTGCCTATTTATTCATTCTCACAAAAATAACTGTAGACAGCAATAAGAAAACAATGTTTAATCCTTGCAACGAACATGTCAAACAAATAAACTGCATTAATATTTTGAGCAAGAGTAAAATTTGTATTGCCACATAAAATCAGCCCACAGCAATATGTTTTTTGTTATTTTGCTTTTTGCATTGATCATTGCCAAGAACAGTTCTGTAGCTTCAACAAAGTTCACATTGCATGATTGGTTTGGTTGGTTGGTTTGTTGTTTAACGCCGCACTCAGCAATATTCCAGCTATATGACAGCGGTCTGTAAATAATCGAGTCTGGACCAGACAATCCAGTGATTAATATCATGAGCATTGATTCACGCAATTGGGATCGATGATATGCATCAACCAAGTCAGCGAGCCTGACCACCTGATCCTGTTAGTTGCCTTTTACGACAAGCATAGTCACCTTTTACGGCAAGCATGTGTTGCTGAAGACCTATTGTATATTATATTATATACATCTTCACAGGTCTCACATTGCATGAAGGAATGATACAAGTTTATATACCAATATCTACAACCAAATTGGTAGTTATGTGCAAAAACAAGCCGACACGGACAAAAGACATGATTCAATAAGCTCTTCTTCTACTTGTGTACCATATTGTTTTCTGTATTTGCTAATACCATAACTTATTATTTATACTTGCCTTCAACTTTGTGAAGGAATAAATAGCTTTGTCTTAACATCTTTGTTTGGATGGAAGTATGTTCCAAATTCTAATGAATGATGGAAAACACGACATTCAAGACATCTTGTAAACTGGAGTAAATTTATATATTTCTAAGATTTTGTTATTATTAGTGACAACAGTGTTTGGCAGCAACCAATTTAGATCTGAAAGAGTTTGGTTGTTGATGCTTCTCATTTGAAAGATTACCAAACTGGAAACCACTTTGAATCCAACATTTCTTTCCTTCAGTTAATTTTAACATGATATTTACAGCATGGGCAGCAACCAAACTAGTGTGGAGAAGACCAACATCACCAATGAAGCCGAGGCTAGAGGCAAGAAAGCTGTCAAGGATGAAGTGAACAAGAGAACAGGTCAGACGAACAAAAGCTCCCAAGCAGCTGGGAAAGAAAACACAACCAATCAGAAAGGTCAAACAGGGAAAGGAAGTACCTCAAACAATGCACAAGCATCTGGCAGAGGCAACCAGAAGAACCAGGTTGGAAAGGAAACAACTAATGGGTCCACAGCTCAAGCACCTGGGAAGCGAACAGCTAAAGGTACTGCACCACAGGCAACTGGGAAGGGAGGAACAGCTAATCAAAAGGGTCAAACAGGAAAGGGACCGACTGGTACTTCACAGAAGTCAGGCAAAGGTACTACAGCTAATCAGAAAGAGCATTTTAGAGAGGAGGAAACACAGGCTAAAAAGGGAAATGTCATCAACCAATCAACACCCCGAAATGGCGCTTCCAATGATTCCAATCCAAAAGGACAGACAGGAAAAGCAACCAATGCACAGTATGGCAAAGGCGGCTCAAAAACACCCAGAAATGCCCCTGGTAAGGCCAATAATAACAAAAGTGGTAATAGATATGAAACAAAGGTTGATGAAATTCTCGATGATTTACCTTATGGACAAGACAAGAAAAAGCAGATGAGCCCAAACAGTAAGTCTGGACCCCAACCAGGTAGAAGCGACAGTCCATTATTTGATAGATTCAATAAGGATGCTAGAGACCAGAAGGGGAGGTTTCCTGATATCAATGAAAACAATTACGTCAGTTCAAGAGATATGAAAGAGAAGCATGATAAGAACAGAAGCCCCAGTCCTAATTCCTTGAACCAGAATACAAGACTAACCTCGAATGATGATAGGAAAGGAAGGGATGACAGTCCCAGAAGAGGATCAAATGCTAGTCTTCGTAGGGATTATAGTCCAGACCGACAAGATGACTACAGGAACGATGGACGAGATGACAACAGAAAAGAAAATGGACAATATGAATACAGAAGAGATGGCAGTCCAGGCAGGGAAAGTCCAACTTTTGACCAATACAAGGACAAAATCGAAACTAAGACACGTGGAAGACGAGAAATGCTTGCAAGATCTTCAGAGAGGATGAACATGTATGATGATGATGATGATGAAGATGACACTAATGATGACAAGTCTTCTCAAACATCAAGGGGTAATTACAACAATACTATTTTCATGATATATTTTTCAAAACATGGTTTCACAGTAACAAGTGAAGTTAATGTGATGAAATCTTGTGACTATAATTCAAACAGTGATCAGGACCATTTAATTTAGTACTCAAACCCAGACCTTCAGGCTGACAAAACAAACACCTTAACCGCTTGGCTACCCCACCACCCCTCATGTATAAGAAAGTATTCTTTGGTTTATCACACTATAAATCTCTTATTTCACATTTTCAGTGCAACGAGAGAAAATTGAAACTCATCTGAGATCTAGTAGAGTTCCCGAGACAAAAGTGAGAGGCCTTGCATTACGTCTTTCGCAAGTATATTCTGGACAAACAGATCAGACTCCCCGTACATTTGAAGGACAGAAAACTGAAAGACTACTACGAAAAATCATTCATAATGGCCTTGATCCGATTGTGAATGGGTCAAAGGGTAAGACAAATCTGGACCGGTTTGAGAACGATCCTGAGGGCTTGGCTCAGAAGGTGTCGGAGATGGTACATCAAGTGGAGATGGACCTTCAGGACTGCAAGACTGGACTCAACATTGTAGAGGACAATGAGGATGAGGAAGAGGAGGAAAGGGGCAGGAGAACATCAAGAGATGCGAGTCCTCATAAAAAGGTAGGATATCTGAATACTATACAGGTGTTTATACGTCTTTGCTTTATGCGACCATCACCCGCCCTGTTTAGAAATAAGAGTAAACATGTGTTGTCACTGTCATAGAGCCACTTGTTTTCAAAACTGAACATTTGTTCAATGAAACATCTGTGTAGGATGCAAAACTTTATTCATATCTTAGATTTATGTAATACTGGTACAATGATTGAATCAAAATTGAACAGGGCAAAGGAAAAGGTGGAAATCAAACAAGTCGAGGGAAGAATGGCCCTGGCAATAAGACAAACCGAGAAGGTCAGAAGACAAAGAAGGAATCTGGACGAGAGATTCGTCAAAAGCCTGGGCAACCAGCTGCTCTAGTGATCCAGGACGGGATACGAGAGCTGCAGACTCAGCATGATATCCTCCAGGTACATACGTAGTGCACTGTTTTAATATCAACTTAAAGCTCAGATTAAGAAGATATGATTAATGGATCAAAACCTACTTCACCCTGTCCCATTTGTTGTCATAACAGAGAGGCAGCCTGCAAGTTTATGCATATGCTGTAATCAGCATCATTAGACCAAGATACCATTTGTAATCATACCTGGAACAGCAAAACCAGTTACTAATAGCATCCATTTACACTATTGGGGTTTGAATAAGTGAGAACACTTGGACAAAGCCTGAGTCAAGTAATATTTCTGTCTGTCTGGCTGATATATCATAGCCAATATATTAACATTATAAACCATTAAAATGTTCCCATAACATCAGTTCGGACTCAATATATCAAATTAACGCAATGTTTTACATCACAAGGGTAAATATGAGCATCTGCTGAATGAGAGGAACATGCTACAATCAGATGACAACGAGAACAAGGAAATGGTGGGGACATTCTTCCAGGAAAACAGGAAGCTGGAGCAGGACCTGAAGAAGGTGGAGCAGGAGTCAGGATACCTCAACCAGACTCTAGGCAAGGTGAGACAACCAGACTCTAGGCAAGGTGAGACAACCAGACACTTGGCTAGGTGAGACAACCAGACTCTAGGCAAGGTGAGACAACCAGACTCTAGGCAAGGTGAGACAACCAGACTTTAGGCAAGGTGAGACAACCAGACACTTGGCAAGGTGAGACAACCAGACTCTAGGCAAGGTGAGACAACCAGACACTTGGCTAGGTGAGACAACCAGACTCTAGGCAAGGTGAGACAACCAGACTCTAGGCAAGGTGAGACAACCAGTTTCTAGGCAAGGTGAGACAACCAGACACTTGGCTAGGTGAGACAACCAGTTTCTAGGCAAGGTGAGACAACCAGACACTTGGCAAGATGAGACAACCAGACACTTGGCTAGGTGAGACGACCAGACTCTAGGCAAGGTGAGACAACCAGACTCTAGGCAAGGTGAGACAACCAGACTCTAGGCAAGGTGAGACAACCAGACACTTGGCAAGGTGAGACAACCAGACATTGGGCTAGGTGAGACAACCAGACACTTGGCAAGGTGAGACAACCAGACATTGGGCTAGGTGAGACAACCAGACACTTGGCAAGGTGAGACAACCAGACACTTGGCTAGGTGAGACAACCAGACACTTGTCTATGTGAGACAACCAGACTCTAGGCAAGGTGAGACAACCAGACACTTGGCAAGGTGAGACAACTAGACACTTGGCAAGGTGAAACAACCAGACACTTGGCAAGGTGAGACAGCCAGACACTTGGCAAGGTGAGACAACCAGACACTTGGCAAAGTGAGACAACCAGTTTCTAGGCAAGGTGAGACAACCAGACACTTGGCAAGATGAGACAACCAGACATTGGGCTAGGTGAGACAACCAGACTCTAGGTAAGGTGAGACAACCAGACTCTAGGCAAGGTGAGACAACCAGACACTTGGCAAGGTGAGACAACCAGACTTTAGGCAAGGTGAGACAACCAGACACTTGGCAAGGTGAGACAACCAGACATTGGGCTAGGTGAGACAACCAGACACTTGGCAAGGTGAGACAACCAGACACTTGGCTAGGTGAGACAACCAGACACTTGTCTAGGTGAGACAACCAGACTCTAGGCAAGGTGAGACAACCAGACACTTGGCAAGGTGAGACAACTAGACACTTGGCAAGGTGAGACAACCAGACACTTGGCAAGGTGAGACAGCCAGACACTTGGCAAGGTGAGACAACCAGACACTTGGCAAGGTGAGACAACCAGACATTGGGCTAGGTGAGACAACCAGACACTTGGCAAGGTGAGACAACCAGACACTTGTCAAGGTGAGACAACCAGACACTTGGCAAGGTGAGTCAACCAGACTCTAGGCAAGGTGAGACAACCAGACACTTGGCAAGGTGAGACAACCAGACATTGGGCTAGGTGAGACAACCAGACACTTGGCAAGGTGAGACAACCACACACTTGGCAAGGTGAGACAACCAGACTCTAGGCAAGGTGAGACAACCAGACATCGGGCTAGGTGAGACAATCAATTACTGGGCTAGGTGAGACTTGGCAAGGTGAGACAACCACACACTTGGCAAGGTGAGACAACCAGACACTTGGCAAGGTGAGACAACCACACACTTGGCAAGGTGAGACAACCAGACTCTAGGCAAGGTGAGACAACCAGACATCGGGCTAGGTGAGACAACCAGACACTTGGCAAGGTGAGACAACCAGACACTTGGCAAGGTGAGACAACCACACACTTGGCAAGGTGAGACAACCAGACTCTAGGCAAGGTGAGACAACCAGACAATGGGCTAGGTGAGACAATCAATTACCCGGTACTGGGCTGACTAGGTGAGTCAACCAGACAATGGGTTAGGTGAGTCAACCAGACAATGGGCTACGTGAGACAATTAATTACTGGGCTAGGTGAGTCAACCAGACTCTAGGCAAGGTGAGACAATCAATTACCCGGTACTGGGCTGACTAGGTGAGTCAATCAGACACTGGGTTAGGTGAGTCAACCAGACACTGGGCTAGGTGAGACAACCAGACACTTGGCAAGGTGAGACTGTAAGTGAATCTTACAGGGATTCATGAAAGTCGATGCTTCAATTTTGTTTCAATTTTTTTCTTTTTCATGTAAAAGAGAAAATGAATACAAGATGACAAGCAATAATATATTCAAATACTGATCGTTAGCATTAAACCAAACCCACCAACTCACCATATCACTGTAATGCTAGTTCAGAGTCATGCTTTTATTCTTAACCTATGTTTATCCTACACAGGTGAAGTCTGAGGAGCAGAAACTACGCACAACACTGAAGACAGTTGATGAAGAGAGGACTTTGCTCAGGTCGGAGAACAAGGAGGTTGTTGGAACACTGAAGGGATTGACTCGGGAACTCAACAAACTTCAAGACGAAAATGTTCAGTTGATGTCAGAGAACACCTCAATGCGTAGTGATGTCCGACGCCTGCAGGAGCCAGACAAGAAGATGGTCGGCCAGGTCAGCAGCGTACAACATAGCTCCAACTTGTTGTTAGACAGACAGGCTTGTAACTAGGGGGTAACAACTATCGGAACTGTCAATCAGGGCCATTGCCAATGCCCTACTACTCAATATCAACACATTGATGGAAAATATCAACAGCAGACATCAATACATTTTTACAATACTGATAATTAAAACCCTTTGCATTACATATAACAAAATCTTTTTTTGTACTCACAGTAGAGTGTTAGGCAGGACACATCCCACTAAAGTCGGAGCAATCCCAGGAATGTGCTATTAAGGTGCTTGTATTTCTTGCTTGGTTTACTGATCCACCAAACACAAAATTCAGCATTGGGGAAAAAAACAACTGAAGTTCCAGTATATCTGTTTTTCATTACTGTTAAGTCTGATGATCACACTTAAAAAAGACACATGTTGTATGACCCTTTAATAGTCAAACTAAGCATGAGATGCTGCAATGATTACTATTCATAGTTTTGCCTGGACATGTGTTTGACTGATAAAAGAGAAGGCCTCAGGTTTTGACATAATTGGAATAGTTGGAAATTAAAGATATAGTCATCATACTATTAATTGCAAAACTCCTACAGTGAGTTTTGATATGATTCTTCATTTCTGCTTGCCATCATCTTAATGTCCAAAATTTGAACACCATAAGAGAGAATGGTGCAATGCAGGATATAAATCTTTATGATAACTATGCAGAGACTTCTATCTTATCTCTATTAAGGAATACATCATTCTGAACAAGGGACATAGATGTGTGAAGTTTTCAAGGTTAAGTATTGCAACTGTGAAACACTCTTGACCATCAACAGGACAGAAAGTTCCAAAAAATAAACAACAATCATGAACAAAGTGAAAGCCTTTAATCAACTAGGATGTACAAACTATGGGTTGGAAAAATGTATGTCAGTAGTCAACTTCAAGTATAACAGAATCAAAGGGGCTTCTAATATGAATTAGTTATCTCAGATTATGTCCTTTTCACATGAACACCCTTGTGGGGAATCTGGATTAGACTAGATACCCAGCATTCTATGCTGGCCACAAAGAGGCGCCCACATGGAACAGATGGTCAGGCTTGGTTACTTGGTAGATTGCAGGTCATCAGTGTGGATCGTTGCTCACAATATTGATCACAAACGAATAATCAATCATATACCACAGATCAGCAATAAATACATGTTTTTAAAATAGATACTTTGCAATATCACACATCAGTTACCTCAGTTCACAGAAGTACAAGAATCTGGACACTGAAATGGTTTTACTGAATACAAAATATTGCATCCAATACAGATAACAATTAAGAATGGATGCAAATGATAATCACTGCAAGTTCCATTGGACTCAAAAGAGTGTGGATATTGGAATGATGGAACTAAATTGAAACACGTAAATTTGATTTATCTGATAATTCTGTTTGGATAAGAAATACAATTAATGTTCGTACAGTCCATGTCAGATAAAAGCATTACAGGTACATAGTTTTATTTTATTTCCTGTTCAAGACCCCAAAATTTCATTACCGAGAGTTCCTGGGACTCGCATATATGTATATATGGACCTTGGTAAATCCCTGCAAAGGTCACTGATTTAAGAACAATATGACATACGCTGCTGACATCATCTCCTATCTTCCCACTACAGATACAGCAGCTGACGCAGGAGGCAAAGGAGTTGAAGACCCAGACACGGCGTCTGGAGGGGGAGAAGGGGGCCTTGAGGGCCAGTCTACAGAGGATGGAGGCCACGCTGGACACTGTCCAGACTGAGAAGAAGGAACTGATGCATCACAGGGACACAGTACTCCGTGAGAAGAAGAAGCTGGAGGCCATGAGCAAGAAGTTCTTCAACTCAGGCTCATTGTTTGACTAGGGATGGGTGCCAGGCAAGACTGATGGTTCAGACGTCGGCTCATGACACAGGCCATTAACTAGTAGCTGGGATACAATGAGTGCAGCCATACATGGTGGCCCCTGTTGTGGTGTAGCAAGAACAATGCATAAATCAGTCTAAAATATTATCCATTCACTCACTGTTTAATTAGACTGGCTGTACTTATTAAACAACAATAATACAGTTAAGGAAGAAAAAAGAATTGGTTCTCAGGCAATGTTTTCCTAAACAAGTGGCCTCCTCAGTGCCTAAGCTGCATGAAAGAGTAGGGGGTCCGTAGATACAGATCCAGACACTGTTGTAACAAGCCTCAAGGACCTCAGGGCCCTAGGATCCCCTGTAATTTCAGACACTGCCTATTTACTATGTGAATAATTGTGCAAAGACAGAAGGTTTTTTCCTGTTTCTGTATCTTGTTTTAGTATGGAAGGTGGGAGGAGAGCACTATGCTGGCCAGTAGCGGCCCTGGAGGGAGGACGCAAAGCCCTCCATTGGCCTAGCATGCAGGAGATTTGGGTGTAGGCAATGCCAGTCCACGATTGTTCTCACAAACCATGAGTGATTATATAGACTTGTGGTAGCCTGCTGCATTGGTTATATCCTCTTGAGTGTTTACAGTATACGTGTATATCCCTCAGCAGGATTACTTGATGTGAAAACCAGCAAACTTTGTGGCCTTTACAAGTCGTAGAGGTCACTACGCTGGGATGTAGTTCTGTGGCTGGATGGCAGCCACCAACCCTTCTCCCACTTTGTATAAAAGGAGTCTTTGACATCTTTGTCGATTTCGTAGTCTCCAGTAATGAATCTGGCTGCTTACCGCTGTACTTTTTCGAGTTTCTCTATGTCCTTATGGGTACAGGGATCCCACACAGTCACTCCATATTACATGATTGATCTAATCACTAACGAAATATACATGTATATACATTTCGTCACATTTAAAACATATACCTCCAGCTTTGAACCCATTGCTCTAAACTTACCAGGTCTTTGTACAATCTCTGATGGTCCTTTAGGGATCTAATAGATCGGTAGAGCACACAAAAAAGGCTTAATACCTGAGAACCAAAAATATGTTTTTTAACCTTAGGGTGACTGCACATTCAGACTAACTGTACATTTTCAAGTACATTGATGAAGAAACAAACTTAACTCATTACAAATACAGTAAATCTTGAAATTAACGCAAGCGTGAATTAAATGCAATAAATGTCAGTGGTCTTTGCTCGCATTACTGAACTTCGCATTTATGTCTCCAAAATGACTATCAACAATAAGACGGCCTCACTGCACACTTTCGATAGCAGAAATACCAACTTGAATATAAACACAAACACGATTTATTGAGCACTGACTGACTGATATAGGAGATTTAACATGCGCTTTCCGACTGTAGCGTATTTCGCACACGGTTATTGAGCAGCAGTTGTAACTGGTTTATAACAATGTCATTAAAAGAATAGGAATTACAGAATAGGCATCCGGTGAGTTATCACTCCTGGTGTCAAGAGTTCTACCCACTCGTGTCAAGTTTGTTGACACCTTCTCTGCATACCAATCAGTGAACTGTTGTTGGTTCCATTATTTTTATTGCCTTTGAACTTCCTTAATGCCAGTCAACAGAGTAAACATATAAACTGTGTGTTGTTTTTTAGGAAAACGCTGTTTATTGTTTTTACAGAAGTGCTCTACTCAGTGCTAATAAGTGGTGCTATTTGCTGTTTGATTGGATTAAGGTAAGGATATGTATTATTCCACTGGATATTGGGTGGGGGAGTCGCATTGATATTGAGTCACATTTCTGGCTAGGGGTGAGCAGTTGTATTAATTTGGAGACGCATTAATTTCCAGATTTACAGTAGGTGATGGTTTTGGCATTATTAGCAAATTCTGAACTGATTTCTAAGATCTTTGGACGGCATTTAGAAGTGGAACACATAAGGTGGAGAATATATGGATGTCAACTTCTTTATTATGAGGAACACCCTGATTTCTAAGAAACTTGACATTCCTATTTCGATGTATTCGAGAAAGACCACAAAAAGAAGTTCTCTGAGTGACAATTACTCCTCTGTCACAGAGAACAGAGAGGCCTAGCTGCCAGTGGGACTCTGCTGCCATGATGAATAACACATACAACTGAATGTCTTGGAAACAGCAACACAAACTGTATCTTCACCTTATCTGGGGAAATGGGTTATTTCTACCTGTACATGCATATATATATACTATTACTGTGTGAATTATAGAAGCATTGTTATAGAAATCAGATATTGTATAACTATGTTCATGGTGGATCCATTGGGTGGTGTTATAATCATGCTTCTTACACAATGTAGAACAAAGCTGATAAATTGTTATATTGACAAAGTATGCCTGCATCCTCCAACAATGTTACTGTAATGAGGCTTGGATATTTGAGGCAGCTTAGAAATTGGCACTAGTCCCATAGTCCTTGCCAAACTACCCAATGGTTAAAGTATCATATGGACTGGTAGAAGTTTGCCCTTTTAAAGGGTTTTGCTGTATGTTATCATTATGAGGACTAGTGGACTAAAACTGTTAGTTTTTATCAGTTTGCGGCATTTGAAGATATCCAGTTGGGTTTTTATGAGTCCACAAGACCCTCATTTCCACATCCTCCCCTCCCCCTCACAGTCTCATAAAGTTAAACGGTGTGTCTTCCTGAACATGGAAACGCCACATATCTCAATATTTTCTTCTTAAAATAAAGAATACCAGAATTCCTGGGTAGGTGATCACTGCTGCTTGACCCCAGGCAGATGATGAATCACTTTACATGTACCTAAGATGTGCAGTTTTTCTGCCACCTGAAAGTCTTGTCTATACCAATCTACATCTATTTAGCGAAGGCTTCTGAAAGAAACAGGTCCTCAACCATGTAACACTCCACAAGGACAACTACATATAAGTAAAGACATTTCACTGTCTCCACCTCACACTGAAGACATCATCTTAAACACTGTTAAAGATCCATATGTAATAGATATGAAAAGTTCTTGTAATAATTTTTTTCAAGATATAATGGTTTATTTTAGATAAACATTTTTAGTCAAATTGCCGAAAAACAAAATAAATACCACACAAAACATATTCCTTTATTTATTTGTTTCTTGTTTAACGCCACACTCAGCAATTAGAATTCCAATAGTCATTATGTAATAATATATATCTGTCACTCATGTTTGATTGACAGGTGGCAATAGGTTAACTGTTTGACACAAATTGAAGTGTTAGTACAATCTTGTTTAGGACAACGATGTTGAGTGCAAATAGTGATGCAAGAACAAACTTGTATCTTTTTGCAGTCATTCCATTCTCACAAAGTTTGAGCCTTGTTCCCCGTGGTTCTTAAGAATAACACTCATAACAAACTTTTCTTCTAAAATGTGATTTTTTGAATATTGTTTTAAAAACAATTTTCAATAAAACCACAAGATGTCTATATAAGAAGAAACACTGCACACAAAATTTCAGCTTCATCAGTCAAGCAGTGCTCGCATTCAATCTCAAAACTGGAATGTACGATCTTGGTGAATACACGTTGGCTGAAGAATGAGCAAAGTGAACTTTGGTTGACCAATGTAAGCACATGTTAAGTGATTGTCCTCATATTTTCGGTTGACCAGAGCTGCTCGTACCTACTGAACCCCTCGGGTGCAGAACTCTGGGAAGCAGCCTCCAAGTGACATCATTGCTAGAGTTAATTAGTTCTGTTGATTGATTCAATCAAGAATAAAAGCATTCTAATGACAGTAATGAAGCAACTAGGCTTTTGTAATATGCAGGGATAATTCTAGGGTGGGGCCTTGTGCTTTTAGCCCCTAAATTTAAAAGGCCCATATTTTCAAATACAATGGGGCATTTTAACATTGTGCTGCATGAGTATACATCTGGCATATTTGAAATTTTCACATGAAGGGCCCATGTCAGAAAATTGCTAGAATGAACCCTGAATATGTATGTGTTCTGACATGCATCAGGTAAATTCAACTCTTGATTGTGCATTTTTTTAAAACAAGAATGAAGTTATGATGTTGATTGTGCATCTCTTTTTGGTGTTCTACAAGTTATTTTGAATGTTCATGTCGTCTTACATGCATTATATGGAAAACGTACAATATCAGCTTTGTCAAGAAATAAAACACTTGTTAACCCATCATAGTTTTGTTTTATCATATTAATTCATAAAGTTACATTTAATTCAGCAATCTAGATGACATAGAAATCTGATTCTAGCAAAGAGTTAATTCCCTTGACTCAAGCGTAGTGAACGATAAGGATTGAAGACGTGTGGATTTGTATAATAATAATAATAATACATGATATCCTTGGAAAAAGGCTGACACCACAATATCAAAAATATGCACATGCTGTTACATTTACATCGTACAGGATGGTGATGCTTTGAATTCAAGCTACATTTACCAGCAAAGCCGCTTGTCCATTCTAGAACAGTGCCAGCACACATGGCCACTTCACAATTTGCAGATAACACTGCATATATATGTTTCAAATATCATATTAACTCGTGAAACACCACTTCAAAGATAAAGTTATCATCGGTTGACCTGTTGCAGTTGAATAGGTCAAATGTGGCATTTTCTGCTATTCATTTAACAGAAGGAGATCACATGACAAGCAGAAGTATCTTTAGGGAATGCTGATATTCAAACAAAACTAATCTTGACAGTCATATTTACTTTCCATCCTTATCAAATGTAACTGTTTAGGTTGTTTGATGGTTATGTAAGTGAAATTTGGAATCAAATTTAAGACTGTACAAATTCCTTAATGTGAGGCATGTAACAGCTAAGCCGAGGCTATTCTTGGTATTATCTACTGTAAATCTTGAAATTGACGCGACCGTGAATTAAATGCGAAAAATGCGAGTGGTCTTGGCTCGCATTATTAAACATCGCATTTATATCAACAATAAGACATTTTGTTTAGCAGAAATACCAACTTAGACATACGCTGAAAACAAACAACTATGTTTTCCACATCACTGTTTATTGAGCAGCGCTTGTAACAAGTATATAAACAATGTCATTCAAACACTAACTACATCATGTGAATTGTCACTGCTGGGGTCATGACAAGAGTTCTACTCACTTATGTCATCACTGATCACACCTGCAAGTCCAGACAGACACCACCCACGCAACACAGTGTCTTTGTTCTTTGCGACTGCGTCAAAGGCCATCATGAGCCAGAGCGCATGCATTGCTTTAGCGGATGTACACTACTCAGCGCTAATAAGCAGTTCTATTTGGTGTGTGATTGGATTAATGTAAGGTTGGATTAAGGTGAGGATTCTCCGGTAAACCTGACAGAGGACATTTTCTTTAGATAACATATCCACTGATGCTTGAGAGGAAGGGGTTTCGCATTCATATTGAGTCACATTTTTGGCAAGGGGCCAGCGTTCGCATTCTTTTGGAGACGCATTAATTTCACGATTTACAGTATGTTGTAATCACATGTTGTTTGTTCAATGAAAACAGCTTACCAGACATGAGAGGGAGATGTGTGAAAATTTCATTCGGATTAGAGAGAGTCAATTAGATGATAAATTGGTCCTTTGTCCTATAATTATGGTCAGGAATTAAACAGATTTTAGTTATGATAATTGAATGTTGTAAATTTAGGACCGTCAATGGTCTGGTTTTGACTGAGATCCAGATTGGTCAGGGCCTGGTTTAGACATATTCGACTGTACATATATGTTATTCGGAAAACCACATACATGCTGCATATCAAATGCAGAAAATGAAATTTTCAATATGGCCGCTATAGTGGCCATGTTTAAAGTCAGATAAAATTCTTTGACTAATTTTAGAGACACCATAGCTGGACTCATGTGGATCATGCAAGGTTTCAGCTGCACAGGCCTTGTAGATGTAGAAAATGCGAAGTAATGACGGACAACAGACAGACATTTTAACACAACACATTTGATATGATTTTGTCTCTACTTACCATTTTTCTCCAGTCTCTCCTGGCTGTTACTCAAGTGCTGGAAGTGTACTGTCATAGATCGTAGCTTTTGTTCAAGGGCAGATAACTCTCCCAGCTGCTGATCCGATGAGCTGAGATGAGACTGCAGCTTGTGCTCTTGTTCTCGCAGGTTTTTCTCCAGAGAATACTTGGACAGCTGGAAAAACAATATAGCCTAAATCCTTATACGCGAAGATGAATCTCTTGCTCATGTCCTTCTTCACACTGGAGTGAGTATGGTTTTACACCGCTTTTAGCAATATTCCAACAATGGGCTTCACACATTGTACCTACACGGTGAATAGAAACCAGGGCCTGCAGCATGAGGAGTGAACACTTTAACCACTAGGTTACCCCACCACTCCTTTTCATACTGGATATTAGGGCTGCAACGAATACACTATGAGGCGAATACGATTCGTATCATGAATATAGGGTAAGGAATACGAATATTAATTCACAAATACAATAACAAGTCAGCAGTTGATGTATTATTTGTCATATTCAGCATGTTCAGTGAGGCAACAACAACCACATAAATTATTTGACATGGTTTGGGTTAATTTTTTTAATATATTATTAAATATATTATTCATTTATATACTGCACTTATCCAGGTACTAGATAACAACAATGACCAGTGACCACAATACTGTCAAATTAAATAGTATAAGCGTGTTGTCTTTTGAAGAAATCTATGCATAAAATATGTTCTTATGGGTATTTTGTTTATGTAAATGCATATGCTTGCATATTCATAAATATTCGATTCTAGTGGCCACGAATAACGAATTCATGAATGGATATGGTTCGATTCACCAAATATGCGAGTGAATTGTAACAGCCCTACTGGATATTCTCTGTAGACACAGAGTGTAGATGAAGATATCGTCCATATACTACTGTTAGTTATTGATAATTCAACTTCACATTAAAGACCCGTGAAGATGCGGGTTAGAATAGGTCTTCAGCAACCAATGCTTGACGTAAAAGGCGGCTATGCTAGTCATGAGAGGCAACTAACGGGTCGGGTGGTCAGGCTCGATGACTTGGTTGACACATGTCATCATATCCCTATTGCATGGATAGATGCTCATGATGTCAATCACTGGATTGTCTGGTCCCGACTCGATCATTTACAGACTGCTGTCATATAGCTGAGTGTGGCATTAAACAATCAATAAACAAACAAAACACATTAAACAAATTGTAACATTACTTCATACACACAAAACTGTTCCACCATGTCAAATCTATAACAATGTAAGCACCCATTTCCCTGTTACCTGTAGTGACCGGACACTGTCTTTCAAGGTCTCTGTTTCTTTCTCACCACACTTTCTGTAGATTTTTAGTTGTTTCTGAAAAAGAATCACTTTTTAATATATATATTTCTTTTAAATATATATCTACCCACCACCAAAAGAAACACGAAATATAGAAACATATTGAGAAGTATGTACGTTAAGAGATGTTTCGAGTGTGTACCAATTAATGACAACACTAACAATCAGTCAAGTGTTACCAGAGTGTCTTCATTATCATGATATGGTGAGTTCTAAACTATACACGGTACTCCTGCAAGAGACAAATGGTGCATCTCGAGTCATGGATCTATGATGCCACATGTGATGCGTTCATGAGCATCGGTTCACACAACATACCAGTATATTCCTTTGTGCATCAAACAAATCTAATATCTCTTAAATATGAGTAAGTCTTCATATATTTACCAACATATATGCAGGGATAATTCTAGGGTGGGGCCTTGTGCTTTTAACCCCAAAACTTGAAAAAAGGCCCACATTTTTAAAGGCTAGAGGGCAATTACTGTCAGAAACACTTATCCTGATGCATACTCACACTAAATATTAGTATAATATAAAGTGAAGTAATGATTAGAAATAATCTTTGTGAGATGCTATCAGTGGGTGCCTATAAACCAATTGCAATGTTTAGTCAACAACCCTTGCATCATGGCAAACGCTCACGGTCGAGGTGGTCTGTACAAGACGGTGGCAAAATGAGACCAAGGAAGAACTAGCAAAGACAACTGGAACATGCTCTCAACATGGTTGACGTTCCAAGTCGCTACTGGAGTACCTGGACAATGTGTATCATTTAACCAGCTACTGAACACATCATTAAAAGTCTTTATGGAAGATGACATAACATGTTCAAATAAATATAGAATAAAGTTATGTATATGTATAAAATAAAATAAATGTCATAACCAATGTGGGGTTTTTTAAATTTATTTATAAATTATGAAATAAATGTCAATCTAAATGTCATATATATGAACAAATGTTGTAATGTTCATTGTTTTTAGTGATCTAATGTGGGATATAACAAATGTTATATTTGGGATAATACATTATTAGTATAGTACAGATTCTAGTACTTTTTGGGTTGAGTCCTATCCAGGATTTGAACCCACACTGCCAGAGTGAGGCATCTAAATGCCACTACACAATGTCAGCTATTTTACCCACTCAGTCATCGAGGCCCATCCACCTCTCCCTCCCCCAACTCCTGCATGTGTACTTTACTAAGAATACGGCATTGTGTATTTGTAATGTGGGATGGACTTTATATTTATTGATGAAACAATGCAATGTGCAAATGGATGTAAAGGTCAATAAAAGAAGATTTGTAAACAAATGTTGTAACATAACCTTGTTTTATTAGAGATTGTCACATCGTGTTATGTGGAAGACTATACCCTGCATGCCCATTCTTTAGGGATTCTCCTAGCTTCCCGGCTTCTTAACTAGAGAACAATAGGTGCCCGGCAAGTGAGGGGACCCCTAATCTTCCACCTGACATTCACTCATAAATCATACTCACTGTGCAATTACTGTCAGAGTCACTTATCCTGTGGTCAACACTCCTCTTGTGTAACCTTAACACTCATTATTAAGTTACCATAAACAGAGTGTATAAAAGTATTGTTTGGGTTCTCACATTCTCTTCCTCCAAGAGCCTCATCTTCTCCTGTAAGCTTCGCTCTAAGTCAGTCACGTGCCGCTGGTGCTGTTCTCTGACAGCAGCGAGCTGCCCAACCTCCGCATCCTGCACACATATAACACTGTCATTCATACCTCTTCTATATGTCATAACATTCAGACAACCGATGGGAAACGGTTGGGAATTTTCACTGATTATTGGCCAAAATTAGTTTATCTTAATCAATAAATCCTTGTTTACATCAAGTTATTTTTTTCTGTATTTTAAAAGAACTTTTTTAAACATATTTAACATGACATGAAAAATTCAGAGTCTTAACTCAATGCATATTGATATTGTAAATATTTACAAATAAAAGGAATGGTTGAACAGTTTGATTATATATTTTAAATTGATGAAATAACATTTTACTCATCAAATGACTGAACACACAATACAATCATCGATCCTAATTCAGCATTGGAACATCACTACTCAATCATGCTATGTATCTGCCATATATAACACTGATGTACCGCGTAACCATCAAAATATAATTCTTACACTCATACCATATCAATCATGAATATCTTACCATATTCTTACACTTCCAGGCCATCTGTCATAACAACATATTCTCTTATTGTACACATGACTCAACTATGTCAAGTAAATATGATCACATTTACCATGCTTATATGCCATATTACATGTATATAATGATACATATTTTCCTTTATTCATATCATTTATCTTGTGATAACGCTGATGTTCAAAGTTGCATAATTAGGGAGCCCCCATATTCAAATGGGGTCCTCCCATTTATCAGACACCCAGTTGTCAGAGAGTTTTTAACTGCCACACGCCCCTTTACTCATAAGGACATGACCCAGACACTGGCAATATCTTTGAAGTTTTAAATGGCTCAGTTAAATTGTAAAGATGTTTGTTTTTGATATGGTGCTTAGAATACAACCTGGGTCGTTGAAGTTAATTTTATCACTTAAATGTCAACTGTGGCTTTTTGACGGTATAGTTAACCCAGTTATTCTCTACGGATGCGAAGTATGGGGATTTGAAAACATCTCAACTCTAGAAGGTGTTCACTTGCGTTTTTCTAATATATCTTTTATCTTTAAGAAAATGTACTCCAAGTTTCATGGTACATGGGGAACTTGGAAGACTCCATCTATCCAACATGGATATCCAAAAATGAGAATAATAAGTTTTGGGGCAAAATTACTCTCCAGGAAATCATCTAAATTATTTGACTTTTGACGAACTTGGACTTAGCTACATCTGGTTTTCACAAAGTTTCAAAAATCCTACTTATCTCAAACAAGTGCAAGAGATAAGTCTTCAAAAAGCAAAATGTTTAGTATCATAAAACATGATTGTCTAAATTTTGAAAATCATTAAAACGTACTGCAGGAAAACGTAAGTTTAGGACTTATAACCATAATCTACCTATTGAAACTGGAAAATGGAGAAAAATACCTTTAACTAAAAGGAAATGTCCAATTTGTAAACTATGTGACATAATCATTGATGGTCATTACATATTATGTATATGTTATGTATTATACTTCATCTATATAATGTAAAACTCCTTTAACTGAGCAAAATATTCCAAAGTATAAAGCAATATTAAATCAAGAATATGATATGTCTAAATTTTGTTTTCTTTTGTACCAGTTGTCAGACAGTTGTTGATGGCGGGACTAGTCTATTCGGATTTAAGGGAATATATCACACACCTGATGTGCCCTCAACCATAAAAGTTGTTGTTTTAAGCTGTCTGACAGATGGGGTGTCTGATGAATTGGAGATGACCATTGATTGGTTGTTGGTTTGTTGTTTAACGCTGTACTCAGCAATATTCCAGCTATATGGCAGCGGTCTGTAAATAATCGAGTCTGGATCAGACAATCCAGTGATTGATATCTTGAGCATCGATCCATGCAATTGGGATCGATGACATGCATCAACCAAGTCAGCGAGTCTGACCACCCAATCCCTTAAGTCGCCTCTTACGACAAGCATAGTCGCCTTTTACGGCAAGCATGGGTTGCTGAAGACTTATTCTACCCCGGATCTTCACGGGTCAGATGACCATTGAAATGCTGCAGCTGGAAACCACTACTTTCTACCACTTTCAAACACTACTACAGACATAATGTTATAATCAGTTAAATGCACCACAATTTGTCCAATTCAATATAAATATATACAACCATGCTGAATTATGTTTCCTTGAGGTATATAAGTTTCAAAAATGCACCAATTAACAATGCTTCGAAACACAGAATGTTGAATACATAAAATGTACAATAGCACCACAAACATAATGAAATAGCAACACCAGGCAATGCTGACCAAATGTATCATCCTAGCTCTATGTTACACTGTTGTACTCACACATCTCCTCTCCAGCTGATACTTCTCATTGACCAGCAGCTTGATCCTCTCCTCACTCTCTGTATCATTGCCCTACAAATACACATCAGCTGTTGCACAATACTGCAGGGATTTACCTAGGATTTCAAACTAAGTCCACTTGCAGGCAAATTGGAAAAAAAGGGTTATTCTTTTCAAAGTTGTGATTTACAAAAAGTTGATGTTTTCTTGGTTTCAGAGGTAGTTTAACATTGCATTCAATGCAATAATTTAAGATCAAGAATTCAAGCCTGTTCCCTTTTATCAGTCCTGTCATCAGCAAAATACAAGTCAGGATGTGTTAAGAGATAAGGTTGTGCCTTATACATATTGCACTAGCAGGCAGCAGCACACTTCTTTCAGCAGTAGAAACTAACATGACAAGTTCACCAGACATGGAATAGATTCCATGGAGTATTTATAACACATGACATGTATTGAGACATTCTTAAAAAGCTGATCTTCTACTAGTACTAGCTCTTAGAATATCTTGAACATATGTAGTAGTATGTAATTATGTACATATCATCAAGTGTATTTTAGGTCACCTCTTATTTGAATACCTAAGTTTTAGTCTACCCTCCAATCTAACCTGCTTCACTAATACAATAGCACAGTCACCCTTGTGCTTGCCTTCTCTATTGTTTCTCTGGTCTCTATTGTCTATCCCCAGCCCCTTACTTTCACTGACAGGGTGCATTATGGGACTGGTCAGTTTGAATTTACACTTGTATTTGACTATGTATGGAGACAAGTTCTCAGTTCATTGCTGAAATAATTCAATCAACTGTCAGAGGTTATTTTGTTTGAATTGTATATTTATGTGTTCTTATTTAGTGCTTTGAAGGGTTTGTTAAGGTGCATATGTATGGTTTCTTAACTTCTTTTAATAGTACTTATATTGTTAGGTGTGATAAATGTATATCATATCAGTCATCGTAAACAGATAAATGTAGTAAGGCTAAATTTGCTTACCGGTAAATACTTTAAGTATGTAAGTATGTTTATAATAGATAATCTTAACTAGCATTTTCATGTTGATATTACTTAACTTATTGTGTAACTAAGCATACTGAGTACATTTATTGATAGACTGGAGCTATTTACCTGTAAATTAAAGTTCTGCACTTAACTGCACATGTATGAATGTATGTCTGTATGATGAGGTGAGTGATTAGAATATATATTTTAAGGGTTATTGTATATACCTAAGGATGTAAACATATTGATGTAATATGTTACACTGTAATCATGTTATATATATATTTATGTTCAGGTGTGTCCTGGTAAAGCAAATGATGTCTGATGTAGTGACATCATAGGGCACAGTGCCATACACCTGGTGAGGACATTTACGGTATATTTTGTATGTATTTATGGTGATATGTACTGAAATTGTGTGTTATGTATTAATGCATTTAGCATCATTCTCCCATTATTGATAAGCTATGTTTGTCAATTTATTATATGATAAATCCCCTGTAATATTTAGAGTAAAGTAAGCTAAAACTAATTTCGATGGATCATAACAATGTACATGATCATATATAAGATTCTAATATTTGTTAATAAGTTATAATGTAATGAGTTATTTGTATGTGTAGGTATTGTGCATATTTTAACTCTGTGTATTTATTTTCACAGGGCCTCTGTTCATTTATGCTACTGTATTAAACAACTGTCATCAACAAATCAACCTGCGTTTAGTGATTCATTCACCTAAACCACTCCGGTTACACATATACACAAACTTACTCTGACTTGTGTAACTTTCTAACCCTACCTTTTCATGCGAAAGGTCATAATATTATGATTATGAAATACATAGACTTATGCTCTGACATGTGTGAAATTTTAGAATTACAACATATCATCATGAAACAATATTTTACAAACATTGAAATCCTTTATAAAGTCATGCAACATTATGCCTGCTGTACCCTTCTCAGTTTGACCTCCTCAAGGATTTCCACCAAGCAGTTTCTTAAGTGATAGAACTCTGCATTGCTGAACACTTCTTTGCCACCAAGACAAATTTGCTCATCTGTTTTCTCCATTGTGACTTGCTGCTACCATGTTCTTACAAAGCTCTGCAAAAGCACATTTTAGAAAATTTCAAAAAGACATGTCAGTATTTTTGCAATTCAAATCTGAACTAAAAAAGTGAACAATGCAGTTTTCGAAGGTCATGGGTCCTTGTATGACCCTAATGTTTTCACAGTTGGAACAGCACCTCAGCAAAACGTCACCGGGTGAAAACGGCACCTCGACTCGAGCGAAAACGGCACCTTATTTATTTTTTTACCTTGGTCAAATAAATTATATTAAACTTACATTGTAACTTGCAAACGCCAATAATTGTGAGATGTTAAAACAAGTTTACATTAGAAATTAGCCTCTACTCCAACTATAATCCAACTTAGCTTATACGCAACTCAACTTATTGTGAAAACATAACATGCTTTGAAGAAAAATAATAGAAATTAAACTCACATCGTCTCTTACAAACACAAATAATTGTGAAATAAAACAAATACGATATTAGCCCCCTACTCCAATTAACTCACCGACTCTGATTGGGAGGCGCAGTTAACTTATTGTGAAAACACTGTACGCTTTGAAGTCAACAACAAGGTGGGTGACCAGTCCCTGGCGATCTACAAATTGATCCCAGAGCTGTTCCGAGAGGCCAGTCTGTTGCCTCTACAGTCAAGACTGATTCAGGAGGGACTACTCAGAGCGTATGTTCGCAAATCTTCCACATCGTCAAGAGAAGATCTTCGACATATGGCGAAGATACAAGGATGGAGATATCTCCCTGACCCAAGTACTTTCACAATGTTCGGTTGTTCATGGACCAATTTTGTGAAGAGGATGATGATGATAATGACGATGGACATGCCACATAACTGTATACATGAACATATTTACTTTACATATTACTACAAAAATCACTATCTTTTTTAAAAATAGAGGTGATGTTTTCGCCCGACTCATAGTAGCCCTTTTTGCCAAATGCGGTGCCGTTTTCGCCAGAGAAATCGGTGACTTTTGCTGAGGTGCCGTTTCAGCCTGGGGGCTCAAAAAAACTATAAGAGAAAAGGATGACAAGGACACCCCCTGAATTCCGAACACACCAGACCAGTGCATGTGTCCTGGTAAAGACACACCAAAAGGACGATTTGTCAGAACGTACATAGAATTTAAATGGCCCAAAAGAGTCACATAGACCATGGTTTTATTAGGAATATAAACATAAATAACTGATAAAAATATAAATGACTGATACCTTAGATTGAGCAGAAATGAACTTCAATACGTGAAATTATACAAGTATTGATATGAATTTCTAGAAAAATATTTGCATTATTTGTAAATCCTTATACGATGCATTTAACTGTGTCTTCAATTCTCAACATAATGCCACATGACAGCCTCCCACCTTGTTAGCTCCATTTTCATTATTTAATCTAGACTATAGCTATGTACGCAAATGAAAGATGCATCTGCGATTGATAGAAAGCTTCGAAAATATTGGCTAATGGTTTACCTCCGAAATCAAATGAGATAGATCAACAAACTACATGTTAGAACACGATCTGTGAGTTTCAATACAACATCTTCTGCCGTGATTCTTGTTTCCATACTAAAAGCTCAGCATGTCCTCAAATATCAATAAATACCCGGGTTCGCAGAAACTTTTATATCATTTTCATACTTAGCAGCAACCACCTGACAATGTTTCGACTATTTGTCAACGCAACAGACGGCAGTCAATATTCATATTTTCCCGCGAGTGCCCCTTTGCAATGTTTACAACCACAGTTCCAAAAATAATATCCTGACACAACCGATAATATGCATGAAACGTTTAACCCAGAAATATACACAAAAATGATGAACACTAAAGGAGAATAACTGTAAAGAGAAGATATGATTCTATGTCATTATTAAATTAGATTTGAGAATTATATACAAAAATGATCAAATAACCCAAACCGTTTATCTTATTCATTCCGCTTTCAGGATCAGGGTATTCCGGGTTTTACCAGAACCGGAAGAACTATGTGAACACGTTTAGAAAAACTTATTTCATTTGAATAAAATATTACATCTCCAATGTTCAATATATATGTAGGTATTTCACTAGAACAAAATATTATAAGATAATACATGTGTCATTAGTTTGTATTAAATATAAGGAATATTTTGAATTAAATTTCATTTGCATGATTATTTTCTGCTCGGATCACTAATGAAGGGCTTGTGGGAAACTAGTTTCTAGTAAATTTCACAAGCGGACGACATTTCCTTTCGCAATAGTTTATTTTTAATTTTTGGTTGTAATTCTGTTTATAAAAGTTTGTTCTGTAACGGCAGTTTCATAAGACTTTAGATTTTGGCAAAGAACATTTGAAGAAAACACAGTCCGTCAATTTTATTTGAGAACTATCGTTTGGGGACAGATCTTTCTACCCTGGAAGTTGTAAATCTGCCAGCCTTTACTAAGCCTAGCGTTTCATCAAGCACCATTGAAGCCAGGTACAGTCTAAATAATCACATCTCTTGAAATGGTTTGTTGTGTTAGTGAAAGCTACAACTACTTATCACTGACCAGTTTACAAAGTGTGTTTTTGTTATCCTTATTTCTTAATATCTTTAAAGATACTGATCAAAGCTTTGGTTATGTTCTCATGACTGATTGTCATCCAACATGTCCAAATGTCCTCACAGTGGCTTGTAAAGAAAATATTGGTACCAAGATATATGGTTATTACCAGTGTATTAATACACAACTGTTGCCTAAAGCTAGGTTACTCATGGATAGGTCAATGTATATATCGACATATACCCTGTTTTCAAATGGTCAGTACAGAGATCAAAGTATAGTATGACTCTATATTATCGCGGTATCAGACAGGAAGTGTGGATTACGAGATTTATCCAAACTATCGGTAAATCTCGTAATCCACACCTACTGTCTGCTGTTTACTTATACAAATCTAAGCACGATATTTCATCGCCTGGTCAAATATTGAATACAGCACTTGTAGCGTTCGTAATTGGCGCTAGTCCTAAAGTCCTTGCCAAACGGGGCCCACTCGTCTAAGGCGCTGCGATTCACTGTGTAGAGTCGCGTCCCTTGGGCACGCCAGAAACCTATGATTGTGGGTTCGAATCCCGGTTCGCCCCGATTATGTTTCTAGGTTTGTCAGCACCATACCCGTGCTCGTGGGTTTCACCGAAGTGGTCAACGTCTTGAGACCTGCATCACTTCGGGCTTTCCTCCCACATTAAGCTGACACGCCGTGATGTGACTGGAATACTGTTAAAAGCGGGGTTAAATCCAACTCACTCACTCACTCACTCCTTACCAAACATCCCAATAGTTAAGGTATCCTAAGGAAATTTGCCCTTTTTTGCTATATGGTACCATTATAAGGACTAGTGGACTAAAAGTGTTAGTTTCTATCACTACATGTCAAGGCTACTCGTAAGTATACACGCTAACATGTTTTTTAAGTGGAATTACCCCTACCCCCATTCAAAATTGATTACAAAGAAAACAATTTGTTTGGACGAAGTCCCTTGACCCAAACTAGGTCGTATGCTTACTGATTATGTAAATCCCAAAGAGGAAGTGATGTAAACCACATGATCTACACGTATCACACCACTAAATAGCCATACCACGATAATATAGAGTTGCCCTTGAGTCGCTAATGACCCGTGAAGATTCGGGGTAGAATAGGTCTTCAGCATCCCATGCTTGACATAAAAAGCGACTATGCTTGTCGTAAGAGGCGACTAACAGGATTGGGTGGTCAGGCTTGCTGACTTGGTTGATGCATGTCATCGTATCCCAATATTGCATAGATCGATGCACATAATGTCAATCACTGGATTGTCTGATCCAGACTCGATTATTTACAGAGCGTCATCACATAGCTGGAATATTGCTGAGTGCAGCATTAAACAAAAAATAAACAAATAAACTTTGTTCACTGAACTCAGTAAAGGAAATCAGCATAATCAATTCTAATGGATGTGTCATAAAAGTTGAACAGAGAACAAGAAACATTTTGCATATTACATATTTAATAGGTTACTGTCGTGATAATATAGCATACCATCCTAATTTGATGAGATGGGTTAAAACATCAAGTGAACTCTACTGGAAGAGTCAACTGTAATAACATCCTGCTCACACTGGATATTCATTTTTTTAAATATGGACAGTTTGAGTTTTTTGTTATAGCCATTTTGAATTTGGGTTTGTGGCCATTTTGACATTATTTAGACTGTTTTGACTTATTAGTTTAAAGGACATTTTGACTACAACCCATTTCATATTGATCTTGATTTGTCACTTTATAAGCAAGGTGTAACATCATCATAAAAGCTGATGACTTGATACATCAGCAATGTCATTATTACCGTTCGAAAATAGGGTATGTTAGGATACTACATAAACCTGATAAAGGAAATCAAAGTCTTTATGAATAGTATACTATGAGCCTGGGGGTTGTAGTAAATAAGGCCACATGTTAAAACGTCCACAAACACATTGATCAAAACTGGCCACAAAAAAATCCCTGGTCAAAATGGCCATTTTGACTAAAGTGTCTGTGGCCTTTTTTTTACCTTTTCCCTGAAACATGCAGTGAACATATATCTTGCTGATAATTTTTTATCACAAGCACCTATGAATTTCCTTGTCATTTGTCACTTGACAAAACACTGAAGATAATAATCAGAATCATCCATGATATATTGGGTGTCTCTAGCAAAAACAATTTGTTGTAGGAAGCATCCAGTTTCACCTATCACATCAAAAGCTATGGAAGGTACAGTGTCTGAGAATCCAGTACCCACCCAAACCATTGCCCCATCTACTAATCCCTGGGCAAAGAAGTCAACCCCGTGGGGAAGAAGCCCTCCAGTTGTGCCCTGCTCTCTGGAGGAAGTGATGAGTGAACAGCTGGCAGCAGATCTTCAGGACAAGGAAGGGTGGCCAGAGTTAGGTCCTGTGGAGACAAAACAGACGGTGCAAGGGTAGGAGGATTACTGACACCTATCAATAATAGCACCAATAAGTTCAGTGTCTTGTAACATACTAGATTTGTCATTTCCCAATCTGATACGGTTCATAGATCAGCATACAACGTTATCATGAGCCAAGTGAATATAAGGATGTTAAGTCAATTACTGCTGGAAGCTATCTCATCTGGGCTGTCAAGTAGCAGGTTTAATACTTACTACTTATCATGCTGATTTTCTTCTATTCTTAAAGAAACAGGGGCGGTGGTGTAGCCTAGTGGTTAAAGAGTTCGCTCGTCACGCCAAAGATCCGGGTTTTCCCCACACGAGTACAATGTGTGAAGCCCATTTCTCGTGTCCCCTGCCATAATATTGCTGGAATATTGCTAAAAGCGCATAAAAACATGCTCACTTACTCACTTAAAGAAACATAGTTTTTGCATATTCATGTTTAGCATTTCTAATCTTCTTCCAGCATGTCCAATAAAATGTCCAAATGTAGAAATATTCATAACAATGTGTCATACATGTAACCAGGTTTGTGATTGGAAACACTTTGTCCAACACAGGCTACGGTTGTGATTCTTTATTGCCAGGAGAACAGATAATGAAACTCTGTAATGTACAAAACAATAACATTTTAAGAACAATAGTATTAGTACACCGGTTTCATATACATACATATTCATACAATACAAAGCGAACATTCATTTCATATAAACATACATCTATATTCCCAACATGAACATGAACTTGAGAATGAATAATGAAATTATTATCTTAACCCTACAGTAAACAAATAGATCATCAAGGGCGATAATTTGATCCCGACATTACTTGTAAGTTACACTATAAACGTGGTCTATGATTGTAAATTACATCGAATATTACAAATATAATTGCCACTTTCTACTAAATATTATATTGATTACAGTAACTGATCGTACATTTGGCATGATACACTATTTACAATATGGTATACCTTTAGAGACATTTCAAACATGTAAATTACCGGTACCTGGTGGGTGACACTCTCAAAGCAGCTGCCTTGCATGGTAGCTATGCAGCTATGCAGCACACTTCTATAAATACAATCAGCTATGATATAATACAATTAAAGCATTAAAGAAAATGTTGGCGAATCCTTACTAAACATACTATCTACACACTATTATACAATGTTTGACATTGCATACATATTCTGTATTAACACATTTATAAAAATCTACACATTCACTTAATAAACATTCACACACAGAAATATAGTAGAATGATGTGAAGCTTTTAAAATGTTTACTTTAGCCTTATTTAAATAGTGACTTAGCAATATGGTGACACAATCACCATACCAGAGAAAAGCATTATGGAGATACTGAAATAACAGTACACATAACTTAGAAAACAAAAGTTATATTATTATACAGGTATATATACATAGATATTAGCTAGCAATTCTATATATTACTAACCTTAATTATCGAATTATTTATCCAAAGATCTGTCACTGTCCAAAATGTAAGCTGACTTCCAAAGTGGTGTTGTGTCAAGTGCAAGATGTATGAAAAGTGCACAGTTTGAACAAGCCAATGAATACAAGGCTTGGGTTAGAAGAAGAGAAGAAACAATGACACAAACATGGACTAACCTAACCATACTTTACTTTATAAGTAAACTAATCCAGAAGCCCACAATAGATGTCAAACTAAGAAACTACTTTACTAACAACCTTAGGGGGCACGGGTGGCCCAGTCGTCTAAGGCATCGCTATTCACTGTGCAGAGTTAGTCCCTTGGGTACGCCAGGAACCTATGGTTGTGGGTTTGAATCCCAGTTTGCCCTGATTATGTTTCAAGGTTTGTCAGCACCATACCCGTGCTTGTGGTTTCACTGAAGTGGTAAACGTCTGAGACCTGCATCACTTTGGTCTTTCCTCCCACATTACGCTGACATGCCGTGATATAACTGGAATACTGTTAAAAGCGGCGTTATACCCAACTAACTAACTCACTCACTCACTCACTAACAACCTATAATATACTTATACAGAAATTAAAGGACCTCAATTAGATACAAACATATTTACAACAAAACTGTAAAGCTACACTTGTGTCTGCCACACACTCATCACTAATGCTTATGGGTTTCAAATTGTAATCATGGTAATTTTGGTTGTTTTAGACAAGAAGCTGCTGCAGCTGCTGTTCCTGATGTGACTGAAGATGAAGTGACAGAGATCCTGGCAGCTGCAGGCATAGCTACAGACAAGGATGGGACAAGTGATGAACTTATTGCCCGGATGATGCAGCTAGAGTTTGACAGAGAACATAACAAAATGCTTCAGAAAGAACAGGAAAAATTGAATGGAACTAACAAAGGTAAGAGTAGCAATAATCTTGCAGTGTTCAAAATCTTTTCCTGTTGACATCCCAAGACCTGTCACTTGAATGTTGGGCCTACAATGCTAAAGCTACCAGGTTATGGCCCAACTGAACGGTCACATCTTGTCGCCATTTTAGAATAGCAAGCTTTTTCAGAACATTTGTATTTTTAAGGAATTACAACAATTAGTTGTTCCGAGTATCAGAATTAAGTTCTTCCCACATGTTTGTAAAAGAAAATTGTACCTGTATTTTGACTATTTCAGTTCAAATAACATTTGACAACTATAAGACAAGACATCCAGTATATGAGGCAGAAGAAGAGGAGGATAGTGATGAATATGAAGAGCAACCAGAGAAAAGTAACTGGGGTAGGTGGAACTGTCAACTTAAATTACCACATGTTAATGTAGTAAAGCTCTCCCTTGCACAAAGTGTTCTATCTTTGTTTTAGTATAGAATGTGTCAAAATCTTCCTATTGTCTGATTAAAAGCTTTAAGTTTTATACTGTTAATGTTATACCTGCAGTAATCTTTGTCCCAAGTGTGAAGTTCTGTTCATATAGATCTAAGTTTAAAAAGACTGAGTGCTTGTACAGGTAATACTGAAAACATGGTATTTGGCATGGTGATCTGATTAGTGTTTCAGTTTGATTAATAATTGAAGAAATTCTTCTCTTTACTTTTTTGTCTACAAACCAGGCATTACTCCCCCTGTAATGTGTGAATGAGGATGTTGGTGATGGGTGTAAGGTTACATAGTTTCATTTTGTTGCAGATAAGAAAAGTCCTAAAATTGGCCCCAAAGGTTACACTGGCTCTGGGAAGAACATCACTACCAAGCATGACAAGGAAATCTGTGGCAGGCGCAATGCTGAGAAGATGATGATGGTAGGAAGTTCTAATATGTTTAATTTTTTATATAACAACATGCAGCTTTCAGATGTTCAAGAACTATTGTCTCACCCTCATTACGGTCATTGGTGAATACATGACACTGCCCATATATGATCAAAGGATTGCGTTAACTCAAGTAAAAACACTTCGACCATGTACAGTATTTGTCGGTGACCTGACGTATCTCATTTGAATATGCCTTATTTGAAATTAACTGCTTTTGATTTGAGGGATGATAGGCGAAAAGAAATAATAGTCTTGGTTCTCAGGCACCATCATCATAAAATCTGCCTCATGTTTTGTTTTTATTTCCATCTTTAAAAAATAGAAAGTCTTTAAATATTCATGAACACACGACCCTGTCAGTAAAATGCTTCAATACTTATGAACAACATGATTTCGCCCAAAATTATTGTAAACAGAATTTGGCTACATACTAGCTTGAACAACTCCCTCCACCCGCCCGCACTATATTTTCAAAAGCCATTGCCTGAGAACCAATTATCTTTTGAAGCCTTAGACTAAACTGTTATCACCCCATACTATATTATAGAATTCTAAGTGTACAGTCTTGGTTTTATCTTTATCTTGCTGATTAGTTTTAAGGTTCAAAGGTGGAGGGAATCCCATTAATTTCATGACACAGTTTAGGCCAGGGGTTGAGACTTGCATTAATTTGGTGACATTAATTTCATGACTTGTAGCCATAGTGCTGGATGGTACAATGTGAATAAAAGTTAAACTCAGTGTTGCTGTGTCATTTGTCGAATGTCTTCCAACTGACATCTCATATCTGATTATATTTCAGTTCCCCCCAGGTTTCGGGTCGGGAGATGGTGAGGGCATGGACATGCAGCTGCCGAACCATGTGTACAACAAGCTGAAGGCTCACTCACAGAAGGAGGACAAGCACAGAGAGAAGCTGCACGAGAAGAAGGAACACTCTACTGCTGTATGTACCCTTACACTTGTATACTTCAATCCATGTCTACCAATGGGTCATTTCTATCCACTATCAACTCCAGTATGGATTCTCACTCAGAATAGGCCCCCAGTACTAAGATATTAGTAAGAATACTTGTAAGAGGCAACACCAAACAGGGATTTGGTGATCAAGCTTTGTGACTTTGTTCACCATGCCCTGATAGTTTTGATTGCTGAGCATGCTTTTAGTCTCTTGTATGCCAGGTCCAGATTTAATTATTTTCAGCCAGCTGTAATATGGCGAAATATGGCTGGTGTCAAACAAATATGAACTAACTCACCATCTCTTCTAATGTAGGAAGAGAACAACTACAGTAACCAAACAAGAGCAGCATGGTTGCCTTTTTCATTCCCTGGGTATTTTTGATAATGTCCAATACTTATTAAGATAACTAGGGTATCAGGGCATTCTGTAATCCTTCTCTTTCCTGTTCACATATTCCAGCCTGTAAGATTGCTTTGATATTAACAATATCCAGAATGTTTGTCATATTTTTCAATTTTACTTTACATGTGTGAAACAATAGTTGTGTGTTTGTATGTATATTTAGCTATTCCATGTTACAGGAGCATGCTGTAGATCCCCGGACTCGACTACTGATGTACAAGTTGGTCAACAATGGCGTGTTGGATTCTATTTCTGGCACCATCAGTGGTGGCAAGGAGTCTGTGGTCTTCCATGCTTTTGGTGGCAGGTTAGTGGTGGTATTTTGAAATATCCAATATATGTATATCAAACATCCTTTCTATGATGATGTGTGTGTAAGTTGAGTATATAAATAAAAATAGGTACTGAAAATTGTAGCTGTGGAAACAGTTGGAAACTGATTTACATGACTTATAGAATATTACTGGTAGTTATGTACATAATACATACAGAAGGAATGAACATCTAAATAACAATCTAGTGTAATTAATGTTCATGGTGTCTGTTTTAGTATTGAGGACATGAATGTGCCAAAGGAGTGTGCTATTAAAGTGTTCAAAACAACACTGAATGAATTCAAGAATCGGGAACAGTACGTCCATGGAGATCCCAGGTTTTTCAAGGATGACTTCAAGAAACAGAATCCAAGGAAAATAATGAAACTGTGGGCCAACAAAGAAGCTTACAATCTCAACAGGTAATATTGTAGTCTGTGTTACTGTACTGCATACAATAAGGGGAAGTAACTCTAACCATATTGTGGTGGCTGTTATTTTTGGTTAGATCTTCTTTGCATGTATTATATTTGGAGACATACAAATAATGTTTTTCATGATTCTTTCTTATCTGTCATGTTTTTCATCATTATCAATAATGTTTTAATATTTGATTTGATAATTTGTGTGCAACAGATTTTAGTTGTAATAGTGTGTTGTACATCATGTACATAGCATTGTACTCAAAGTAAAAATTTCCTCTTCTCCCAGGATGAAGAAATTTGACCTCCCCTGCCCCCATGTGGTTGTAAGAAAACAGCATGTTCTCGTCATGTCTTTCATTGGAGAGGATGGAATATCAGCTCCTAAACTGAAGAATGCAAGGATGTCATCTGCAGACATGGAAGATGCATATGCACAAACAAAGAAGGTAATATTCCTTACTTTCTTTCTGTGTTTTTCCTGTTAGGTAAAGTATTGTTGAGAAGGTGTTGGTGTATGAGGAGCAGAAACAATAATGCCACATTTCTGTAATTTCTATGCACATTATGGAACATGTGGTCATCCGTACATTTCATTGCAGCAAATGACTGCAAGATTGCTGATACGCCTTTAAGCACTCATTCCTCACTTAAAAATAAATTAAAGTCTTAGTTCTCAGGCACCGCCAGCATCATCATAAAGTCCACTGCATGTTTCGTTTTTATTTCAATTTTCCAAAAAAATATGAAAAAACTAATACTTAAAAACAGTGCGATAGAGCATGCAGTTATTTCCCTTTACATGTACACTGCTTTACTGTGCATCTCGTGTTATGGTCATATCGGCAATAGGAGTTTGTATGCTTGTTTATGTAGGGAGGCCCTTGCCCAGGTTGATGGTACACAACTGTTTATTTGGTTACATACTAGTTTTAACAGGCAAAAAAACAACAACACCGCACCATATTTTCAAAAGTCATTGTCTGAGAACCAATTCTTTTATTTTTTTAAGCCTCACATGTATTGTGTCATAGTAAGATATTGGTGGTCTCTCTGTTTGTCGTCAATCCCTGTGTTCAATGTCTTTTCATTTTGGTGGTTAGTTTAATATCTTATATATTTATTTATCCCCTTTCATCATTTTCCCTTTCCATATTTTACCAAAATGGCAGCCTCCAGCCAGGAGTGTTGACCATCTGTTTGACGAACTGGAAATATGGCTCTTTATGTTTAAGACCAGCCTTGGTGTCCTATCTCCACTGAGGAGCCGCCCTTTCCTCACCTGTGCATCCAAGCACTGTGTTTTCTGGTGGTGCTTACATTTTGTTGAGGGTATCACCAACACTTCTTAATGTTTCAGATAATGTGGGACTTACAACAGAAATGTGGCATTGTACATGCAGACTTGAGTGAGTTCAACATGTTGTGGCACAAGGATCAGGTGTATGTCATCGATGTGAGTCAGGCTGTGGACCAGGTTCACCCCAAGGCCATGGAGTTCCTCTACAGGGACTGCTGTAACGTCACAAGGGTATGTATACAGTATATAATTTTGTTCACTGACCAGCTTGTTTACAAAAATATGTTGAAAGCCCTCATCATATTTTACTAACCCTACTTTATGGCTACAAACTACACATTTTGTGTTAACCTACATGTATTTTGTGTGTTTTGAGACCATTGTGCTAAACAACAGCGAAGCTGATTGGCTGCTTGGTACCATACGTTTGCCTGAAGTTTGTGATAGTTCTTAGACTATCACACACATTGCTAAAACCAGGTGTACATGTAGATATCAGTCATAATCAGTGTACAGCAAAACCCCAGCTAACTACCACTTTGACATCAAATGATGCCCTAACTGACGTGATGATCTGTAGAAATAAATATGTACTGACTAGAATTTTTAACTAGACAGTCGGGCCAGCTTTACGGAAATGTTGCTAGCCCAATTTAAAAGTCACTGGCATTTGGCTAGTGGGCAGGCAGCTATTTCGAACACTGTATGAATAGCATGTCCCCTGCAAGCATGCCGAGGCAGAATAGATCCCTGGTTACCTATTCTTAGCATAAGAGATGACTGTGGAAGATCTATGTCATGGATTGTTGCTGATGTTGTCGTCACTGCTTTGTCTGACATTCACCTGGTTATATACAGCATGCTTTGATCATGTTGCTATAGGTGGAATATTGTTGACTGCAGCATCACACTGCATTCACTCCCCCTGCGTTTAACCCGCACTCAGCAATATTCCAGCTGTATGACATCAGTCTGTAAATAATGAGGTGTAAAACAGACAGTCCAATGATTGACATCATGAGCATCGATCTACGCAAATGGGACACAATGACCTGCTTTAACCAAGTTAGTTGGTCAAACCACCCAATCCCATTAGTCGCCTCTTACGACAAGCAAGGGTTGCTTTGACATCATTACTTCAATTTCTTTCAGATGTCTGCTTCATGATGGCTTACGAAATATCTGTGTTACACACTTTCAATGCCTTTCTTATATGCAACTAAAATATTACCATGTTAACAAGCAACGGTTTAGCATAAAAAAGCGCCATACAGTCAAGTCTCGTTAATCCGACACTCGTTAATCCGACACTCGGCTTTATCTGACACAAATGATGGGAACCGATTGATTCAGTGCTATTTAGTCCCGTTAATCCGACATTCTCGCACTCCGACTCCGACACACCTAATTTGCAACGAATTACCGAAATCACTCATTAATCAGTCTCGTTAATCCGACACAGTGATCAGCGTACTCCGTGGTCATCTGCCCGCGAGTACACAGCCAGTGTTTTGACACGCACTGGCTGCAGAGATTAACTTAACAATTAACAGGAAAAGCTATTCAAACCTGTATGTACAAAGCTATACAAATGTAGTTTACAAATTGAAGCCAGATAAATGTGCATGAAGCCAGCTTATTTCGTTTTTAATGATTTTATTACAAGGTACACACGGTTATTATCTATCGTGAAGAAGTCCGATTTTCGATCACAAATCAATTAATTTCGTTAATCCGACATACTCGTTAATCCGACACAATCACGTGCAACCAACGATGTCGGATTAACGAGACTTGACTGTACTTTGGTTAAAGCCTATTTCCGGTATCAGCGTTTCCTGTATTCAGATCCACAACCCACTCAAAACATTGCACATCCAGTTTCAAATTCAGTTCAGCATGGTTTAGTCTACAGGTAAACTAGGTCTACTTGGACACTGTATGTTTATCTTCCAGTCAGGCATGTTCAGGAATTTCAAAGATCACAAAATTATCAACAACCCTTTATTTCAGACTTTATGTCACTTGTCCTCTGATCTGACATGGCTGTCAGGTATAGAGCTGTTCAATGTAGTAGTTATGTCAACTCATTGTCAACCAAGAACAGGTGCCATTGTCATACCTACATTCTTTCAATTTTGTTTCCGGGCGGTTGGGTAGCCTAGTGGTTAAAGCGTTCGCTCTTCACGCCGAAGACCCGTGTTCGATTCCCGACATGGGTACAATGTGTGAAGCCCATTTCTGGTGTCCGCCGCCGTGATATTGCTATAGCGGCGTAAAACCATACTCACTCACTCACTCAATTTTGTTTCCAGTTCTTCAATAGTTACGGCGTCCATGATGTGGCATCACCAGAGGAGTTGTTTAATGAAACCACAAGGCTCAGTATTCAGGGAACAGGAGCTGACTTTCTTTGTCAGGTAAGCTGAATAGTGTCTTCATCACCATAGCATCAGTGCAATGTTGAAGCCCGAGCAAGTGAGTTTTACACCACTTAGTTACATCACATCGTATAAGGTTGATGTGGGAGAAAAGCCTGAAGTGATGCAGGACTGAGACGTTTATCACTTTGGTGAAGCCAGTGAACATGAGGATGGTGCTGACAAACATGGAAACATTATGAGGGTAAATGTAAAGGATAGGAACTAACACCAAGGTTTTAACTGAAAATGTAAGCCCAGGGCAGATTGAGCACCCTTTCATCACCTGCCCCGATGGCTGTGTGGGAAAACAGTGGGTTAACAAAACTATACACGATGTGACATTGCAGGTTTGATTCATGTCATGGAATTGTCATGTAAAAAAAATTGGTACTTTTATCCAATCATAAATCAACATTAGACTCATATCAAAAGACCAGTTTATAAAAATTCAACTGTAAAACCTTGGTCTCACAAATAAATTAAAGCTGGGGCATTTCCTTCTGAATGCCCGGGGTCAGTGAATGCATTCAGAGTTTTTCAGCATGTTAAAGAACCCACTAACACAGAAGTGTGTTAGGTCTCAAAGGTTTATAACTTGTATTCAAACCCACAACCACAGGTTTCTGGGACACAACTCTACACAGCGGTTTGTGGTGCCTTAGACAACTGAGCCACACATCTGTCATGTTGTTTTCTAAGAATTTGTGAGTTTTTTTAGGCAGAATAGGTCACCAGCGGTCCATGTTTGTCGCAAAATGAGGATCCGATCAATTTTTCACCTGGTTGTCAAGCCTTGATTATTTGCAACCTAATGTGATATTGCTAGAACATTCCTGACCATGTAACATGGCAGTCACTCATTCATGCCCTTTAAAGTTGAGGTTGATAACAAAGTTTCTGTTCCACCACAGGTTCAGCGCTATGACAAAGACAGGAAGGAATCCATGGTAACACATGCCAATCAATACAAGGAGTATGCTTTCGACTTCCACTTCGATATTTCACAGAGGGAGAGGGAGATGGGTTCACAGGACAGTGATGAAGAGGACTGAACATACAGCACTCAGTACAGTTCGGTCTGACCGGGAATTGCTCACTGCCAAAGCCATGTTGCCCAGCTGAATGCAAGCTAATCTAAAGATGATGTTTGTCTAGCTGCAGTCTTACTGCATCAGGGGTAATGAAAGTATCACAGTCTTTCATGACAAACTTGAAACAGTCGATGTTGGTGTTTGTTTCCTGTTTTCTGACTTTGTTCTTCTCGAAAGAAGAATATATTGCAGACAAACAAGTGAATGAAAGCTCACTTTACTACATCAAAATCAGAATGCTACATCTCGTAATATTTCAATAAGAAATATTAGTGCATATCATTTAATGCATAAAGTTGAAATCAGGTAATGGTTGTACAAGAGTGTATAAGATATTCATGTGTGCCTAGGTAGGTCATCTTGATGTGAAAAGTAAACCCCATGAGATGCACGCGCACACACGCGCACACGCACACACACACACACACACACACACACACACACACACACACACACACACACACGTCTTTGATGTGTAAACAAAATGGTCAGTTACTTCATATATTAAGTTTGACTCATACCAACCTCATCCAGTGATATGTTGCTGTGCCTATATTCTATGACGGATCCGACCATGTATTTGGTGTTCATAAAGTAACATTTACCATGTTTAACCATGTCATTGCATTCTTGATTTAATGAAACAGAATATATTTTTTAGTCTTGACTTTGAAAGTGTATGCCAGTGTTCAAAACTCAAAATTTTCCAGTCTTTTCACACTATGAAATAAGCTAATATTCAGAAACGTTACCATTCCTGATGAAACATTATGTGTGACTTATCATGCTTAGATCAACAGGTGCTTTTGCTTGTTGTACTATATCTAACTGAAACAGGACATATTGATCAGTGGAGTACACACTGCATATTGAAGCAGTACATATTTATTACAGATGCATATTTATTAGAACTGGTCACAGTTACAACATGTAAATATTTGTGCATAATGTGTATGAACTAATTCCAAATGAAATGAAGCCTTGATGTGATTGCCTTCGTCAATGTCATTTTCAAAATGCACAATATGACAATCTCCCAATAGAAAAACTATTTGTTAATGATCAGAAACATAACTGTCGTGTTCTTTTGCAAGAGTGAATGAAATGTGTAGATTGTCTTTCACTCAGCCATTGATGCAGCATGTCTGCATCCTTGTTATAGTTGTTAGTTTCAGTATGTGACTGTAGTGTTGTTTTGTCATAAGGCAAAGAGTTTTGATCATGTCCAGATCACTTCCCATTTGTAATGTGACATTGTCAAACTGATGTGTGATGTTATCACCGAATGAATGTGTGGGATGAGTGATGTTGATTCTATTTATGTCTTGAGTATCATTTACATGGTTCTTTTTACACAGGTGTTGGAATAAAAATTTCAACAAGAAACATGTCAGATTCTGTGGTGTTTGATTCCTACATGACCCTGCATCGTCCAGGTTGCAGAATCTGTAAACAACAGTTACTATTAACCATATTCCATGAAAGAGAAATCCTTTTACTCTAGGTTTCAGGGTGAAGGACATAACCAAATCGTATATCACCCCACCAACAAACCAACAATACTATAAATTTATCCGTTTTAAGAATCTTATTTGGTTTTTTTTCAAGTTTTGTTTAGACCATGCAACCCACTGGGTTTTTATAGTGGAAAGAACTGTGAATCATGTACTACCAAACAGAAGGGAGATTTGACACTGTTATCACCAGGACCGTGTCACAAGGAAAAGGAAACCACAAATGCTTCATGAGACCATATTTATTGTGGATCAAATTTCAGTTTCCACATGATTGTGTGGTTTGTGAGGTTATGGAAACAAATGTTTTTCCAAGGCACAAGATTCGGACCTCTTCTATAATAACTCTTTTTGTATATCCCGCCATGATATTGCTGGAATATTGCTAAAAGCGGCGTAAAACCATACTCACTCACTCACTTTTTGCGTACTATGAATTTACAGAGAAATTAATGACTCCACGCCTACATAAAGAGAGATTCGGCTAGATGCTATGATCTGCCTTGTGTGGGTTTGAATCCCAGATTAACTCTTGTTTATTGTCTTTGCCCTGTCAGAACCAGGCATGGTGCACTTGGGTTTGACCATGCAGAGAGATCAAGGTTACGACATCCGATCCTTGGGGTTTTCTGCTCACAAGATTCAAGAAGTGAAAGGTTTCAATTTGAATCAAAGTATTCACTCTGAAAAGAGCCGGATGTCACTCAATACTAATGTTACACGTTACACTACTTAAAGAACATAGGAAAGCATCCATTGAGTGTTGTAAATGAATAGTTTGTTCATAAATATGCCAAACATTAATAGATTGTTGACCATGGCAAAAAAATAATTGTTTTGTGGAAAATACCAAAACGTCACAAACATTTTGTGTCAATGGTGAAAATGCTCTGGTCGCACAGGCCCGTATGAGCGTTTCTCAGAGTGTATATATATATTGATTCTAAACTCTGGTTTACAGCAAATACTCTATGTAGGCTGACCAATGGGTGGAGGGGTTGAGCCTTTGTTAGTAATTTAAAAAAGAAAAGTGGGAAAGAAGGCAATGTGTGTGTTTCAATCATTCAGGATATTGCACATACCAATTCATCATAAAAGCAACATATGTTATCACGCGTGTCATGATATTACATGACATTTAAAAGCACGATCTCCATATATGTTTGTTCCGGTGGCCAAGCGGTAGCGAGTTGATGAATTATTAGCGAAATGTCACAAGATGTTAAAGTGTTCTCGCAGAGAGGTATTGTATCGACTAAAACGAAATTTTTAAAAAGTACCTAACTTCCCCGTTTTTTCACAAATGTATTCTATCTGTTTCCTGCTACTGAAATGGCCTGTTGACTTGCGATACCCAGTATCAGATTATAACAATATTAATATTTGACAAGCAATTATACACGGAAGCATTTAACTGGAGTTTACCTTGCAATGTAAAACCGAATAACCAGTAAATGATAAACGACCAAGAGCAGAAGCTGTAAGCGAGCTGTAAATCAGTGCGAGACGTCCCACTTGTGGCTGTCTGTCCCAGCATAATATATCATTATTTAAGTTTGGTAATTGATACGAAGTCTAATCAAAGTGAAAGTGCTTCCCCACCGCACTACTACAGACTATATTTAGCTCGCATAAAATGTTAGAACCCTGCCCATGTTGGAGTTTTTGGCAACGAACACGCCGACAAAGCAGACAAATCAGCACTAAAATTAGAAGTAAGCCTCAACCTACCAATATGAAAAAAAAACGAAATTGAAAGTATCAAAAAGGGGGAAATCTTCCAAAAGTGGCAAAATATCTATCAGAAATCTGACAGCAAACTAAAACATCTGCTACAAAATAACAAAAAGTCATCATAAAACCAAAATAAATAACCGAGTAATAACTACAAACAGGCCACACTAAGCTAAACTCCCACCTGCACCGAACTAAAAAACACCAAACCGGTAAATGCCCCCACTGCATCTTAAAAGAAACTCCTGAACACGTAGTACTATATTGCACACATTATTAACAACAAATTACACTAGCAACGCTACCAAACCCCCTAAATGACTTACAAACTTTTAAAGCACAAGGCATCTATCTAATCAAAACAGGCCTACTTGGCCGCATCTAAAAAGGTACAACAAACAAGCTGTCTATAAACCCTATAAACTCACAAAACTCCATTTAGTCCCCACCCCACACCTTTTGCATGACATATTTTAAAATTCCAAATTTGTGCAAATTAAGTAAGCAACCTCGTAAAAGGCGACTAACGGGATCGGGTGGTCAGGTTCGCTGACTTGGTTGATGCATGTTATCGATCCCAATTGCGTGGATCGATGCTCATGATATTAATCACTGGATTGTCTGGTCCAGACTCGATTATTTACAGACCGCCGTCATATAGCTGGAACATTGCTGAGTACGGCGTTAAACAACAAACCAACCAACCTTAAAAAGTCACCCTGGGTTGCCTCACCTTTTTGGACATACCCTTTTCGACCAATCACTAAATGGCCTGGCGGACCCGTGCGCAAAATACACATATGTCGGAAAGCGCACGTTAAATTCCCAATTTAAGTAAGTAAGTATGTTAGAACAGCTCGGTATATGTGATGGTACGCACGGAGTTGTGACGAATAGATAATTCCTCTCAAATAACAGCCCCTACCAGTCAACTTGACATTGAGGAGAGCGGAAGGTCCGGGGTTCGATCCCCGGCCGCGTCATACCAAAAGACGTTAAAAGATGGTACTTGTTGTTACCCTGTCTGGCGCTCGGCATTAAGGGGTTAAAGCAAGGACTGGTCGGCTCGGAGTCAGTATACTGTGTCTGAGTGGGGTATTCATGTTAAACTGCGGCATGGTATATCAGTGTGCTAGCACTATAAATCGGCATCAGTCCGGTCTATTACAAGCAGCCACACACAAACACACACACACACACGTGCATGCGCGTCGCTATATAAGTGCAATAATCTTGGACGCGACGTTAAACCCAATTTCACCTCACCTCACCTCACCTTGACATTGAGATACACCGTCCCACATGGCATGCAGGTGTTCACTCTCTCAGCTCGACGCTCACATATCCCGATCCACGACACATGCAGGCTTTGCATAGAACTTTGCACATAGACCAGGCAACTGCTAAACTGATGGCTTTTGCTTTTCCGGAACTGAAAACTTTCAGTTTGCGGGTTGCCTGTAAGAAATTTAAACGGTATTTGTGTTTTGTGCAAAAGGTATCAGTATTTTTTAAGAAATGTAAGATCACTTTTGTCAAAAGAATGGAGTGTTTCGATATGTTTGCTGTGTTCAAACCATTTTTGTATCACAATTCTACTGATGCAAGCCTATACTTGCGGTTGGTTTCGATTTCGATTACTCGGTTATGTTTGAGAGAACGGTAAGTCGGTAATGTTTGAGAGAACGGTTAGTCGGTAATGTTTGAGAGAACGGTTGCTCGGTAATGTTTGAGAGAACGGTTGCTCGGTAATGTTTGAGAGAACGGTTGCTCGGTAATGTTTGAGAGAACGGTTACTCGGTAATGTTTGAGAGAACGGTTACTCGGTAATGTTTGAGAGAACGGTAAGTCGGTAATGTTTGAGAGAACGGTTGCTCGGTAATGTTTGAGAGAACGGTTGCTCGGTAATGTTTGAGAGAACGGTTGCTCGGTAATGTTTGAGAGAACGGTTACTCGGTAATGTTTGAGAGAACGGTTGCTCGGTAATGTTAGAGAGAACGGTTACTCGGTAATGTTTGAGAGAACGGTTACTCGGTAATGTTTGAGAGAACGGTTACTCGGTAATGTTTGAGAGAACGGTTGCTCGGTAATGTTTGAGAGAACCGTAACTCGATATTTTTTTTAGAGAAACCAATGTCTTTTCTAATTTCCATGTGAAATATGTAAGCGAGACACGGCAACCCCCATGTTGTAAGGCGCATTGTTAACGGTAAATATGTTGTAAGAGAAGAGATTAGATTAGTGTACGAGCATGTGTGCCATACTGAATTTACGAAACGAGTGTCAGAAAAGTTCTTACGCGAGTATGCTGTTGGTTGCATACATGTCTGCCTATTCACAAACGACAGTGAATGTTGTTGTTTTTTTGTTTAAAAGTTATAAGCAGCAAGTAAAAAATAAAATATTAAACTCGCTCCCGTGTAATACCAACTTTATCAAACGAGTAAATAGTTCTGGTATATGACGAGATATTCACTCGTTTCATAAGATTTGTATTACACGGGATCGAGTTTAGTATTCTATATGTATAACACTTAGGGTAAGAAATAACAAAGAAATGAAATCAAACCGTGTGTGCACTAGTGAAAATATCACTTTACGAGAACCGATGAATTGTTTACGTCATCCGGACGACATTGTTGACGTCATTCGAATCTTATTGTGACGTAAGGTCGGAATCACGTCACACTAGATACCTTGATAACATGTAGGGTCTATTGATTGGAGTTACAGTTTTTCAACGTTAGAGTTATCGTGTCTCGCTTACATATTTCATATGGAGATTAGAAAAAACATGGGCTGTTAAAAACACACTCACGTCAACATCTTATAGAATGAGATATGACGTACTGTTTAGCTGAGTGCCAAGTTGAAAACATGTTATTAAGAGCTCTAAAATAACAGGGAAAACATACTACGCCATCTTTAGTGTGTCCGCCATTTTGGAGTACGGTAACTGCAGTTACCTTTCACACTGGTCCTCGTGTGAATTAAAGGACCTCTATGACATCAACATCTTATAGAATGAGATATGACGTACTGTTTGGCTGAGTGCCAAGTGGAAAATATATTACCGTATTCGACGTAATAAGCGCCCAGGGTGCTCTCAAAATTAGAAATAGGGGGCTCTTATTAGAATATTATTTTGGTGAAAAACAACAGAGTTGAAAGATAAATTTCGTGGTTTATGCTGACAGCCTGAAATGTTTATATACGACATATATATTTTTCCAGAATTTAATTGCCTATAATTAAGGGTGCACATAACACACGAGTGCGTATTATACGCGAATAAATAAGTCTTGTGTACATTGATCAATCCGAAGGGGTGCTAATTAATTGGGATTGTTCACTAGTCAATATATTAGCAAATATATTAGAGCGGGGCGCTTATTACGTCGAATACGGTATTAAGAGCTCTGAAATAGCAGAAAAAGAAGACTAAACTCTCGCTATCTTTCCTGTGCCTGTCATTTTGGAGTACTGCTGTTCTCACTGCCCCCCGTGTGCAGCTGATATCGACATTTTATTTATGACCCCCCCCCCCCCCCCCCCCCATGATTCAGTCCTGATACTACAGGTACATATTACGCTTTATTGCATCCATGTATTCGATGTGTTTACATATGTAGCATATGTTCACTTGTATCGTTTCAGTGTTTTTATGTCACGCCAGCTGGGCAGCCTGGCACTCATCACGTGTGGGAGCATGTGACGTCGAACTCTCCTCAGCGCTCATAATAACTGAGGGTCAATCGACCAATCAAAACATACCACATGACAGTCATATGACACAAAAGTGTGACCCATTTTCCTTGTATATAAAGATCCGCTATCTCAGGGCTGAAGATCAGAAGTGAGGATCAGATTGAAAGGTTGTGTGAAGTTTACTTAACATATTAAGAATTTAACACTTATATTGGTGCACATTTCGTTGTACAAACACGCTTGCCAGTTACTAAATAACACTTATAGCTTAGTTTTACTTCCGCCTTTTGCTTACTACGTATATATCAACATTTAGGAATGTTTTCGTTCTTTTTACGCTGCACTCAACAATATTCCAGCTATATGACGGTGATCTGTTAATAATCGGGTCCCGGCCAGACAATCCAGTGATTTACAACATGTGCATCGATCCACGCATTTGCCTGACCACTCGATCCATTTTGTTGCCTCTACCTGGAAACCCCGCGGTTGTTTAAGCGTTACATAACACATCGCTAGATAACAGTCGATACCGCTGTCCGTCTCAAGATTCGCTGTTAGGAATTGCCGATTAAGTAATCAGTGCTTTGTTTCCGATTGGGCGAATATATGAAACGCGTCTCGCGTATATGCTAATATCACATTGTGAAAAGGGTGTCTTTCTGTAAAAACGATTTTAGCGAATAAACATTAATCTTATAGTTTAGGTGTTAAATCGAATATTTTCTGGGAATATATTCTTAAGTGAGTCGGGCCGTTTCTCCCTAACAAAATATTATTATTATATCATGTGGTCGTTTTAGGATCTGATTCTTGACAAAAGCTGATATTGTATATGTGGCTTGTTTATTATTAATTTACTATTGCCAAGAGAAAAGGAAAATATATCTCATAGTAAAAGAATCTTCTCAATTTTGACAAAAATTAAGAAAAAAATAGTAAATACTGTTTTGGATCCGCACCTGTGTAACATTCAACACTTGCTTCACGTCTAAATTCCATATTGTTCTAAGATTACAAGAAACAGTGTAAATCTATACTAATTGACTGAGTCTTTCAATAGTAAGAAGAAATGTCTTCAGATTTGATCAGTAATGTTGGAGTACACAGTGTTGTCTTCAGCTGGTCGTGGAGTGTATTATCTCAGTGATGGTGTGGTACAGTCTTTGGCCTCAATAGGCTGTCAGATAGACAGGTTATGCAGGACATGTATTATCATAGATAATGTGGGACTATATCACAAGACAGACACTATCTACATGATGCAAACCTTAACATATGACCAACCTCATGGCCACACCAATGACCGATTTTAGGGTCTGGTATTAAACTCGGACACTTTAGGGTAAAGTGGTGTCCAGGTTTTAACTCATTAACACACACCCCGTGGAGTCTCTTGTGGGGATGCCATGGAGTCTCCTGTGGGGATGCCATGGAGTCTCCTGTGGGGATGCCATGGAGTCTCCTGTGGGGATGTCATGGGGTCTCCTGTGGGGATGCCATGGGGTCTCCTGTGGGGATGCCATGGAGTCTCCTGTGGGGATGCCATTGAGTTACTTGTGGGGATGCCATGGAGTCTCCTGTTGGGATGCTATGGGGTCACAACAAACACACATCTCAAGCAGTTTCTTCACAACAAACACATCTCAAGCAGTTTCCTTACAACAAAGACACATCTCAATCAGTTCCTTCAGAACAAAAACATCTCAAGCAGTTTCCTAAAAAAAACCACATCTCAATCAATTCCCTTAAGGTACAAACACGAGATAACTTTCCCACCGGATTGAGATAATGAATTTCCTCACAACAAACACACATTTCATAATAAATACTTGTCAGAACCTTAACAAAGAATCTGTTACAGTTGAACTGAAACAGACGTTTTGAACACCAAAGGTAAGAAATAAAATCTACTCTGTATCCTGGATTTGGATATTATTTTATTTTGGAAAGCAAGACTTCATCCAATCGAAGATACTGCCTCCGTAGCGAGTCGATAGAGCGACTGTCCGGAGATCGGAAGGTCGGTGGTTCGATATCCGGTCTCGTCATGCCAACTTGTTAGAGTTGTTGTTACCCTGCCTTGTGCTCAGCGGGGGAAAAAACAAGGACTTTTCGTCTCAGTCAGTATACTGTGTGGGGTATCCATGTAAAACTGCGCCATGGTAACCCGGTGGGCAAGCACTCTAAAAACGACATTAGTCTGGACTGGTACAAACATTTCAACCCCCATACACATGTTAAACGCCAATTTCACCCCACCTCTAGTCAAAGCTGAGTTGACGGACACCATCCTTGATAATGTGAACTATCCTGTATGTTTCAGATGAAGGTTTTCCTGGTTGTGTGTTGTTTGGCTGTGGCTGCCATGGCGGCACCTGAATACTATCAGATAAACACAGAAGAGGTCATGATTGAAAGAATCAACACAATGCAGAGGACATGGAAGGTCGGTTTTTAATGGTGCAGCTGGCCGTTAATTTCAGACACTATCTCGATACATCAGGGCCAAGTTCCACAAAGCGATCTTTACGCTTAAATGATCGTAACTCCCAATACCCTAACATATATTTATGATAGTCGTAGCACTAAGATAGCTCCGTGGAACGGGTCCAGAGTACCATCACAAAGGCCACAGACAAGTGAAATATTGGCAACGAACTGATTCTGGTGTGGTTGACAGTTCGGAGTCCATCACAAAACAATAACAGGGAAGCCCGACTGATTCCAAACAGCTGGCGTGTAGGGCAAGGGCGGCCTTTCGGGATCACGCTTATTCCTATTTAAATAAGAATAACAAATCTGCATTTTATATCGTCATGTATCAAGATACAGGTCCATATGTATCATGTATCAGACCGAAGGCCACTGTTTGTGGCGCATCGGAGTTTCAGTGTATTGTTTCACCCTTAGCTGACATCTGAGAATCAGGATTCACGTCATCGCATCCCAATTGCGTGGATCGATGCTAATGATGTAAATCACTGGATTGTCTGGTCCAGACTCGATTATTTACATACCGCCGTCATATAGCTGGAATTTTGCTGGGTGCGGCGTTAAACAACAACCATATCAAACCAAGGTGGAATCCTTTATGGAAAAAAACATTTATTTGATTATGAGTGAACTGATACCATGCAGTTTTATCTTATAACATATTCTCATTTTAACAAGGGATAGTGGGCCATCTCAGCTATTTCAGCGCAGCTTGACTATATTTATTTCAGGCTGGTAGAAACTTCCATCCCTCCCTGCCCCAGTCCTACTTCAAGCGTCTGTTGGGCGTGTACGACATCAATGGTGAGAGTCAGAGACTGAACAATATCCTGCCCAAAAAGACACACGACCTGTCCGTGATCAGCCTGCCAGAGAACTTTGATGCTCGTACCCAGTGGGCCAACTGCCCGTCCCTGAAGGAAGTCCGTGATCAGTCCAACTGTGGGTCTTGCTGGGTAAGACTTAGTAATTGCTCAGTGTAGCAATTGTCTGAACTGTTGGTCAAACTTGCTGGGTAATACATCTGTGTTGTGGTAAAAGATCAACATGCTACATTTCAGAAACATATTTTCCTCAAGTATAGCCAGGCAAGTGAAATAAAGAATGTTTGTTTTGAAAGATAAAGTCAAGAATTATTTCCATTACCATGATGACCTTCCAAACACCAAAGGCTGTTTACTTTTTTGTTTACTATGGTCAATGTTCTCGCATGAGCTATATACTTAAGGCAGATGTGTGGTGTTTTTGGAAACCTGCAGTATATCAATGCAAGAGATACGAATGTGATTAGTTTCCCCCTCATGTTCATCTATCAGCTAGATTTTTTAAATGGTATCTATACGAATTCCTACCAAGGCATGATGGCATAACCTGTTGTCATCTTTGTTATAACGATTTTCTTTTGGCTACAATTTTAATTTACCCATGATGCAGGCTTTTGGTGCTGTGGAGGCAATGACCGACAGAATCTGTATCTTGTCTAAAGGAGCTAAGAATTTCCACATCTCAGCAGAGAACCTGCTGACCTGCTGCAAGACATGTGGAAATGGGTAGGTACCAGGAGCAGTAGCCAAATTTCAACACTTTTATCAAAATATACATCTCCTTTCTTAATTTTTGTCATTTTCCAAGGACTGATAAGAGTCATTTGTCTGGATTGAAGATGTAGGTCGCCTTGACCAATAGGAATGTCATCATTTGTTGATAGATGTGACGGTGGTTTCCCAACAGCAGCATGGAAGTACTATGAGGAAGAAGGCATCGTCACTGGCGGTCAGTTCGATTCCAAGGAGGTCAGTGAAGCTTCAAAGCATTTTCTCAATTGAACTTAAGTTCTTCTTAGCAATTTCCATGAACTGATGTACATTCAATCAATGAGAGAATATCTTAGCATTGAAGAGTGTTGTGAACAAAAAAGGGACTACCGTGAAAACATTCTTGCTGCAATAAAATCGTCATAATATCTCTGCAATGTCTGTAAGATTTATGACTGAATATTTTCACAGGTGTGTGTGTGTGTGTGTGTGTGTGTGTGTGTGTGTGTGTGTTTGTGTGTGTTTGTGTGTGTGATGTAAATAAACATCTCTGTACTTTGCAAAGAGTGATCAGTAACATTGCTGTGTGTCAGGGATGCCAACCCTACCTGCTGGCCAAGTGCGACCACCATGTTCCCGGCAAGTACAAGCCTTGCACCGGAGACTCCAAGACCCCCAAGTGTGAAAAGAAGTGTGAGGCGGGCTACAATATCACCTATGAAAATGACAAACACTATGGTAAGTTATTATTAAAAAAAAACAAAACAATACAGAAATTAATAATTGGTGTAGTGGTGAAGTTACACTGTGTGGACCTGGGTTGGTCCTAAGCTTTTTACTTGTAAAGGATTCACCGAATTTTGATTGGGTGGTCAGGTGACTTTGGTTGATTGCGTGTCATCGGCAATGGTTTGTCTGGCCCAGACTCAATTATTTACAGGCCACCATGATAAAGCCTTCATACAGTTGGAATATGGCTGACAGCAGCATAAAACAAAAACAAACAAACAAGTCATGTAGGGACAGTGTCCTTTGTCGCAGTCAATGTTGACACCTGCACTGTTCTACAAATAGGTAAAAATCCCTCACGGTTAATTCATTGTGTCATCAGAAAATGTGAGAAAATGCTCAGTGGTTGTCTCCCTTCTGCAGGGTCCCGATCCTACTCTGTGCGTGGCGTGGACCAGATCATGGCAGAGATCTACAAGAACGGACCAGTGGAAGCAGCCTTCACTGTGTACAGCGACTTCCCCACATACAAATCTGGTGGGTGGATATACCAATTCATCATATAGATCCATCATTTCATAACATGGAATTGTAGTTGACTGAGGTTTGAGCCATGTTGTGGGCTTGATGATGTGTGGTTGCCTGGTGGTGGTATTGTTGTCTGGTGGTGGTGTGGTTACCTGGTGGTGGTGTGGTTACCTGGTGGTGGTGTGTTTGCCTAGTGGTGGTGTGGTTGCCTGGTGGTGGGTTGGTTACCTGTTGGTTGTGTGGTTGCCTAGTGGTGGTATGGTTGCCAAGTGGGGTTGTGGTTGCCTGGTGGTGGTGTGGTTGCCTAGTGGTGGTATGGTTGCCAAGTGGGGTTGTGGTTGCCTGGTGGTGGTGTGGTTGCCTAGTGGTGGTTCGGTTGCCAGTTGGTGGTGCGGTTGCCTGTTGGTGGTGCGGTTGCCTGTTGGTGGTATGGTTGCCAAGTGGTGGTGTGGTTGCATGGTGGTGGTGTGATGGTATGGTGGCAGTGTGGTTGCCTAGTGGTGGTGTGGTTGCCTGTTGGTGGTGCGGTTGCCTGTTGGTGGTGTGGTTGCATGGTGGTGGTGTGGGTGTATGGTGGCAGTGTGGTTGCCTAGTGGTGGTGCGGTTGCCTGTTGGTGGTGCGGTTGCCTGTTGGTGGTGTGGTTGCCTGGTGGTGGTATGGTTGCCAAGTGGTGGTGTGGTTGCATGTTGGTGGTGTGGGTGTATGGTGGCAGTGTGGTTGCCAAGTGGTGGTGTGGTTGCCTGGTAGCAGTGTGGTTGCCTTGTGGTTGTGCACCAGTAGATTGCAAAGTGGGCTTGTGTGTTGTGTATGTTTTTCTTATTCAGATATGTGTTCAACGTCTGCCTTAATACGTCCACAATTTGGACTCCCTCATGACCCTGTCACTCTGTCCCTATCCTGCTGCAGTATGGACTCCCTTGTGATCATGTTACTCTGTGATGCAGGCGTGTACAGCCACACCTCCGGCCAGGCTCTTGGAGGACATGCTGTGAAGATCCTTGGCTGGGGCGTCGAGAACGGAGAACAGTACTGGCTGGTAGCCAACTCCTGGAACGCCGACTGGGGCATGGGAGGTAGTGTACATTCTATGTGTTTCAGTGATAATGAAGTGGCCTTAACTTGCTGTCATTGCATTGCACCACCTGTTTCCACCCCCTCACGAGCAGTCAACAATGGCTGGCCTTAACTTGCAGTTATTGGACTGCACCACCTGTGTCCACACCCTCACGAGCACACAGTCAACAATGGCTGATCTGAACTTGCTGTTATTGCATGCAACTTGAGATGTACTGTCTGTTTAATAATAACAATAATACTTTTTTCTGTTCCAGGATTCTTTAAGATCAAGAGAGGCAATGGTGAATGTGGCATCGAGTCACAGATTGTCGCTGGAGACCCCAAACTGTAAATTCAAACCTGTATTCTGTATTACATAAACCCTTTGGCCTTACATCTGAACATATCTTGATGCTGTTTCATTGTTATTCAACGACTAACGTACTTACATCAAAACTGTATACAGAGCTTGTCTTTCTTATTTTCATACTGTCCAGTTGACACCCTTTTTTATTGAGTTTAAATTTTGATGTTCAATTTACATGAACCAAGCATTTAAATGTAATAAAACATATTTTAAATAATGTGTTGATATTTGTCTTGTATGACTATACAGTAAATCTTCTTAGATTCAGGACCGCCTCCGTGGTCTTGTGGTAGAGCGTCCGCCCGGAGAGCCGAAGGTCCAGGGTTCGATCCCGGGCCGCGTCATACAAAAAGACGTTAAAAGATTGTACTTGTTGTTACCCTGTCTGGCGCTCGGCATTAAGGGGCTAAAACAAGGACTGGTCGGCTCGGAGTCAGTATACTGTGTCTGAGTGGGGTATTCATGTTAAACTGCGGCATGGTATCTCAGTGTGCTAGCACTATAAATCGGCATCAGTCCGGACTAGTACAAGCAGCCACACACACACATACACGTGCATGCACGTCGCTATATAAGTGCAATAATCTTGGACGCGACGTTAAACTCAATTTCACCTCTTAGATTCAGACATGTTTTGAAACCACGCCTACAATTATACACATATATACATATATACATACTCCATAGCAGTGATTTCGTGAATCAAGAATTATTTTCACCCAGGAGATTGCACTGGGAACTGTATGTCCCAGGATCCCGATACGCAAAGAGATCTTAGCGCTACGCCTGGAATAATTATGTCATAGTCTACACACTGAGGAGTGACGGATACCGGAAGGCGGAAAGCCATCATATCATGTGAGGTTCTATTTTGTTTGGCTTCAACTGGTGCCACACATAATGTTGCGTAAGCTTACACAGACCTAATATCCAGATAAAGTATTTTATCAAAACCATATGTGAACCAATCAGATCCCATCATTCTGACATGGAGGTTTGATAAGATGTTTTTTGTGTCCAACTGTTTTACAATTAGGTGAAATGGAAAACAAACAATGTTTTGACCGTCGTCCATAAGAAATGGTGAACAATACGTACAAAGTTATTTATTCTGACAAAACCAAACCTCATCTATCTTTCAGTATCTTGCATTGTTAAAATGTGTTTGTTTTCCATTCATTAGCAGCACTACTAATCTGGAACGTGAAAATATGCTCTTCTTATTCGACCACCTTTATTGAACTTTTGGCTAATTGTTTTGTGAATCAACTCATGAGAGGGAAAAGAAACAATATTGCATCAATTGTTCTTGCAACTTAGGATATCACTGGATATCTGCATTAAGATTGTGTCTTCCAGGAACACACCATTCGACCACTGAGCATTCCTTCTGTGATTTTACTTGTAAAGTTTTGTTTGTTTGTTGTTTACCGCCGCACTCAGCAATATCCCAACTTAGTTACGGCTGTCTGTAAATAATCATGTTTCGACCAGACATGTGACCTCGAGCTCTCTTCAGCGCACGTGATGACTGTGAGTCAAGGGACCAATCAAAACATATCACATGACAGTCACATGACACAAAAGTGTGACCTATTTTCCGTATTGTATATATAAAGGAAGATTGGGGTAAATCGTCCATCTCAGGGCTGAAGATCAGATTCAAAGGTCAGTGTATTCCTGTTGTCCGTAATATTATGAACTGTTATTTTGTGGTGGCTAGTTTAGTTGACGTCTTGTGAACATAATACATTTCATTGTACATAAACGCTTCGGCTGAGCGTAACTCGGCCTTAGACAAAAACAATTATTTTTCTTCTTTGCTGATAGCTATCTAGGCCTACAGTGACATGACAGCCAATCGTAGTTAATATCAGTCATAGGTTGTTATGCTGTTGCATGCTGACCGACCTGCCACTTGTCGCTTATCCGCAAAATATCGGCCCGGGTCCACCATCGGTCTTCATAACACAGTAACCACTGTCAACAATGGTCATCGGAAGTTTCGAGCCGAAGCACACATGAGCTTGGGGTCAAATCAAGGGAAGCTGGGGTGGGTGTTCAGATTGCCGATAAAAACAAAATTCCCGAGAAAATATAATGTTTAATCTTTCATTTAAGCTATCACAAGTTATTTTAAAGAAAATAGACACAGGCCGAACAGCCCATTTGAACATTATTTAGAGGCTTTTATATGGCAGTTTTCATATCATATCCCATATCAACCCGAGACCTCCATATCAGCCCTAGAGGGTTCATATGGGGGTATGACATGAACACTTCCCTATAATAACCTTTTTATCATATACCATAACACCAATTGTAAAGTGTTTCTATACCTAAAACATTTCTAAATGCCGGTTATGCCGTAAACCCATGTTCACCTTGATGCAAGCCGAGCAGACGACGCACCAAGGGACGTAACGCTAATTTCTTACCACCGGCTTGGTATCGATCGCCCAATCAGCCATATCAGCTCGGCCGGGGTTGTAATACGGGTCTGGTTACTACACCCCCCTGTCATATGACCGTCTCCATGTTGGCTCTACAGCACATGCAAAATATCATTGAGGTTGTTTGGAGAATTTTTTAAAATTAAAACTATATGAATGATCCTTAATATGTTTTTTAAGTTAAACACAAGTTCTTTTTTTTTCAACAGTCTGATGCAGAATTAGTATTTTCAAGAATTTTCTGGGGCAATTTTTTATCTATAAAATCCCATTATTGCTAAATATTGATAAAAGTGTCATTAAAATTTACAGTCTCACTCACTCAAGACTTGACAGTTTTCCAGTTAGATTCACAGTAAGGAGTTGCTGATTAAGTGAGTGAGTGGGGTTTTACGCCGCTTTTAGCAATATTCCAGCAATATCACGGCGGGGGACACCAGAAATGGGCTTCACACATTGTACCCATGTCGGGAATCGAACCCGGCTTGTCTTCGGTGTGACAAGCGAACGCTTTAACCACTAGGCTACCCGACCGCCCTGCTGATTAAGTAATCCATGCTTGTTTCAAGTAGGTGACTAGCCACATGAAACTGCCAATTATGTCCTTCTGTCACAAGGATGTGTTTCAGTGAAAATGATTTTATCAAATAGACATTATATCTGATAATTTAAAATGAATGAAGCATTACAGATGAACCTGATCATTGATTGTTAATGGGAATTATCTCTATTTTAGCTATGTTTATAATGTTGTGTTTGTGACATGTATGACCGCTGATTTAATTATCAATGATATTTAATAAATGATTGAAATATAGAGTGGTAAGGTTAAACTCATAATTTTCAATTCAAAAACAGATCTCATAGTAAAAATATCTATCTCGATATTTGACAAAATTTCAGAAACCAATAGTAAATAATTTGTTGCATCCTCACCTGTTTAACATTCAACACTTGCTTCACGTCTTACAGTCCATACTGTTCTAAGATTACAAGAAACAGTGTAAATCTATACTAACTGACTGGGTCTTTCAATGGTAAGAAGAAATGCCTTCAGATTTGATCAGTAATGTTGGAGTACACAGTGTTGTCTTCAGCTGGTCCTGGAGTGTATTATCTCAGTGATGGTGTGGTACAGTCTTTGGCCTCAATAGGCTGTCAGATAGACAGGTTATGCAGGACATGTATTATCATAGATAATGTGGGACTATATCACAAGGCAGACACTATCTACAGATGACCGACCTCGTGACAGATAACAAACCTCGTGGCCATATTCTGCCCTACTTCAGGGGCTGGTATTTAACTCGATCACATTAGGGTTTGGGAAAGTGGGGTTGTCCAGCTTAACTCATTAACCTCCCTGCCAGAAAGGGATACCTTGATAGTGACCCACATTAGGCTGTTCTGTTTGACTTTGTAATATTGATACAGCCATAGGGTCTCCTTTTGGGATGCCATGGAGTCACTGGTGGGGGTGCCATGGAGTCTACTGTGGGGATGCCATGGAGTCTCCTGTGGGGTTGTCATGGGGTCTCCTGTGGGGATGCCATGGAGTCTCCTGTGGGGTTGCCATGGAACCCCAGTGGGGATGCCATGGAGTCTCCTGTGGGGTTGCCATGTAGTCTCCTGTGGGGATGCCATGGAGTCTCCTGTGGGGATGCCATGGAGTCTCCAGTGGGGATGCCATGGAGTCTCTTGTGGGGATGCCATGGAGTCTCCTGTGGGGTTGCCATGGAGTCTCCATTGGGGATGCCATGGAGTCTCTTGTGGGGATGCCATGGAGTCTCCTGTGGGGATGCCATGGAGTCTCCTGTGGGGATGCCATGGAATCTCCTGTGGGGTTGCCATGGAGTCTCCTCGCCACAAACACACATCGCAAGCAGTTTCCTCACCACAAACACACATCCACAAGCAGTTTCCTCGCCACAAACACACATCACAATCCGTTTCCTCACCACAAACACACATCACAATCCATTTCCTCGCCACAAACACACATCACAAGCAGTTTCCTCGCCACAAACACACATCACAAGCAGGTTCCTCACCACAAACACACATCACAATCCCTTTCCTCGCCACAAACACACATCACAAGCCCTTTCCTCGCCACAAACACACATCCATAAGCAGTTTCCTCGCCACAAACACACATACACAAGCAGTTTCCTCTCAACAAACACATCACAAGCAGTTTCCTCGCCACAAACACACATCACAAGCAGTTTCCTCGCCACAAACACACATACACAAGCAGTTTCCTCTCAACAAACACATCACAAGCAGTTTCCTCGCCACAAACACACATCACAAGCAGTTTCCTCGCCACAAACACACATCCACAAGCAGTTTCCTCGCCACAAACACACATCCACAAGCAGTTTCCTCGCCACAAACACACATACACAAGCAGTTTCCTCTCAACAAACACATCACAAGCAGTTTCCTCGCCACAAACACACATCACAAGCAGTTTCATTGCCACAAACACACATCACAAGCAGTTTCCTCGCCACAAACACATATCACAAGCAGTTTCCTCACCACAAACACACATCACAAGCAGTTTCCTCGCCACAAACACATATCACAAGCAGTTTCCTCGCCACAAACACACATCACAAGCAGTTTCCTCGCCACAAACACACATTACAAGCAGTTTCCTCACCACAAACACACATCACAAGCAGTTTCCTCGCCACAAACACACATCACAAGCAGTTTCCTCGCCACAAACACACATCACAAGCAGTTTCCTCACCACAAACACACATCACAAGCAGTTTCATTGCCACAAACACACATCCACAAGCAGTTTCCTCACCACAAACACACATCACAAGCAGTTTCCTCGCCACAAACACACATTACAAGCAGTTTCCTCTCAACAAACACACATCACAAGTAGTTTCCTCTCAACAAATAGTATTTACCCTAAAAATGTATTTGATTACAGTGAAATGTGACAAATATAATACCAACAAAAATAAGGGAACTGATGAGGTGATAGTGAAGATGTACTGACATCAATGCTTGTAAAATTAATTTTGGGTGTGAAGATCAATATCTGGTGTGTCACCCACGTTGGCACGACACCTTGATGGTCTACTGATGGCCATTTTGTCTTTTCATTGAGATGCCGTCTTGAAGGCATTTTTAAACACATGCTTAACTGAATTGCATTGGAGATTGTGAGTTCCCTGTAGGCACACACTTTGGCTTTTGTGTGCACCTGTGGGGCAGTCGGGTAGCCTAGTGGTTAAAGCATTCGCTTGTCACACCGGTACAATGTGTGAAGCCCATTTTTGGTGTCCCCCGCCGTGATATTTCTGGAATATTGCTAAAAGCAGCGAAAAATCAAACTTACTCACTCACTGTGTGCACGTACATCACATGCTGTTCATGCATGATGAAAATTTTCATTGTAATTAGATGTTGGGTTCAGATGCAAAGTATACCCCTTGACAATAAATACGTTCAAAGAATAAAATACGTTGTTATTTGTCGGTAGTTTATTTGTCAGAACCTCAACAAAGAAACTGCTACAACGGAAACAGGGCTTTTGAACACCAAAGACGGGAAATAAAACCAAGACATCTCCCAGTCAAAGTTGAGTTGATGGACACCATCTTTGATTATATGAACTATCCTGTATGTTTCAGATGAAGGTTTTCCTGGTTGTGTGTTGTTTGGCTGTGGCTGCCATGGCGGCACCTGAATACTATCAGATGAACACAGATGCCATGATTGACAAAATCAACTCTATGCAGAGGACATGGAAGGTCAGTTATAAATGTTGAAGCCGACCGTTAATTGCAGACACTAGGAGTGCAACAATATGGAAGGCCTCAATACAATATGTATCTTGATACACCAAGGCCAAGTTCCACAAAGTGATCCGTGCACTAAAATTATCGTAACTCCCAAATACTTTAGCATATTCTTATGAAAGTCGTAGCACTAAGATATAGCTTTGTGGAACAGGTCCAGAATCCCATCACAAAAAGTACCACTGATCCGAAACTCCTGCCTGATGTGGAGGACATTGGTGGCCTTTCAAGCTCACATTTATCCCTATTTAGATATATATATTCTCTTGTTAAGCAAGATAAAACTGTCCAGAAAAGTAAATTGTCCCATAAAATAATAAATAAATAATTCTGCTTCATACTTTTGAAAATAAACAACCCAACTGTCTGCCACAAAAAAGTCATTGTTCCAAGATGTTGGTTTTTTTTGTTAAAAATATTTAGGCTCATAGTTTTAAGTAAAAAGATATCTGGTTTTGTAGCTTTCGCTGAATAAAATACCTATTCTCGATACAGGATCCCAGGCACCTTGTAAGGTATTCTCAGTTTAACAAGGGATAGTTGGACATTTCTGCTATTTCAGCGCAGCTTGACTATATTTATTTCAGGCTGGTAGAAACTTCCATCCCTCCCTGCCCCAGTCCTACTTCAAGCGTCTGTTGGGCGTGTACGACATCAATGGTGAGAGTCAGAGACTGAACAATATCCTGCCCAAAAAGACACACGACCTGTCCGTGATCAGCCTGCCAGAGAACTTTGATGCTCGTACCCAGTGGGCCAACTGCCCGTCCCTGAAGGAAGTCCGTGATCAGTCCAACTGTGGGTCTTGCTGGGTAAGACTTTGTTAATTGCTCAGTGTAGCAATTGTCTGAACTGTTGGTCAGTCTCATTAAATCAGATCCTAGTTCTCTCTACCACTATTCAAAGATCTGAGGACATCCCATTACGCATAATGTCAGAACAACCTTTCATCCAACCAATCAGAGTGTTGATTACCAGATCAGCAAAGTGACAGTTGGAATGTGTTTTCTGATCATGCAAACTTCTGATCAATATATACGGTCAGTACGATTCAATCCTACAGCCTCTCGCTTCACTGTGATGAACATTTGAACGGAAGAGACTGTGCATTGCCCTTGGAAAGTACTGCCATATGATCTAGGCCATCTAATAGACATTCCAGTGTGTACTTTTGTTCTGTTTTCCAATTTTTGAATCGAGAACTATATTTCAAAGCGTAGTCTGGAATGGAAGTTGTCAGTTTGAAACTAGTGCTGTTTAGCTTGATGTCAGCTTTTTGTTAGTCATTTCATTGGTTAGTCAAAGTTCATGCAACATTATTCTGACATGACGTGTAATGGGATGTCCTCAAATCTTTGTTCAGCGGTAGTGAGAACTGAAGTCTGATTTTAATGAGATTGAACTGTTGGTCCGACTGTGGGTCTTGTTCGGTAATACATATGGTTTGTGGTCAAAACATAGATATAACATTTCAGAAACATGTTTCCAAAGACTATAGTCAGCCAAGTGAAATAAAGAAAGTTTGTTTTTCAAAGATTAAGTCAAGGATTAATTCCAATACCATGTTGACCTTCCAAACACTGAGGAGAAAACGACTGTTCTCATTTTAAAATTTTTGCCTCATTTATATAAAAACGTGTGTTGGTGGATCCCAAGCCAAATGCCCAAAATTAAAACTGAAACACCTACCGGGATGTTTATATGATCAGTTTTATGGTCAATGTTCTTGCATGTGCTATATACTTAAGGCAGATGTGAGGTGTTTTTGGAAACCTGCAGTATGTAAATTCAGAGATACAAATGATTATCTTTCAGCAAGACGTTTGACTTTTGAAGTGTTCTCTGTACGAATTCTAACCTTGTGTGACCCTTGGCTTGTCACAATATCCAAACTCAATTTAGTATATTGATACAAAGCAATTCCGTCTTTGGCTACAATTTTAATTTACCCATGATGCAGGCTTTTGGTGCTGCGGAGGCAATGACCGACAGAATCTGTATCTTGTCTAAAGGAGCTAAGAATTTCCACATCTCAGCAGAGAACCTGATGACCTGCTGCAAGACATGTGGATTTGGGTAGGTACCATCGCATACCATCACATACTTCACAGAGAACTACAAGTAGCAGGAGAAGTGGCCAAATTTCAACACTTGTATCATTATTATTTTACTTTTTGTATGGACTGATGGAGAAAATACTCTGGATTGAAGGTGTAGGTCATCTTGACTGACAGGAATGTCATCATTTGTTGATAGATGTAATGGTGGCTTCCCAGCAGCAGCATGGAAGTTCTTTGAGGAAGAGGGCCTTGTCACCGGCGGTCAGTACGGCTCCAAGCAGGTAAATGAAACTTCTAATCACTTTTTAGATTAAAGTGTAGTTTCTATACGTAATCTCCATAATTCTTACCTGAGTAATGAAGGAATATTTATCCTTGAACGGCGTTATGAACAAAACTAGTGATGGTGGAAAGTCTGCATCCGAAAACATTACAAACTACAGTAAACTACGGTTATAACGAACACGCTTATAATGAACTGACGGATATAAAGAACTTACTTTTTTGGTCCCGACTATTTGCTGTAATTATGCTGTATATATGCTTATAACAAACTACGGTTATAACGAACTAAAATTAGTAGTCCCTTTGAGTTCGTTATAACCGTACTTTACTGTACTGTGAAAACCTTCCTATAACACAATTGTCATAATATCTTTGCAATGTCTATAAGATTTTTGACAAAATATTTTCACTGAAAGGTGTATAAATACGATGTTAAAAACACCTCAAGCTCTGTACTTTGCAAAGAGTGATCAGTAACATTGCTGTGTGTCAGGGATGCCAACCCTACCTGCTGGCCAAGTGCGACCACCATGTTCCCGGCAAGTACGGGCCTTGCACTGGAGACTCCAAGACCCCCAAGTGTGAGAAGAAGTGTGAGGCAGGTTACAATATCACCTATGAAAAGGACAAACACTATGGTAAGTGTGTCATTAAAAATTAATATTTAAAAAAACAATACAGAAATTATGAATTGGTGTAGTGGTGAAGTTACACCGTGTGGACCTGGGTTGGTCCCAAGAACTCTATTACCCCTGTCAGTGAAGATTTTGTTGTTGTAAGGTTTCACCTAAATTGGACAGGGTGTTCGGTGACTTGGCTGATTGCATGAAATCGTACCTTGACACTGTGGGACCTTGCCAGTAATTTCAACCAATGTATTTTTATGGCCCAGACTCAATGTGGGACCTTAGGACTCAATTATTTACAGGTCACCATAATATGGCCTTCATACAGACAAACAAACACATGACACCTGCACTGTTCAACAGATAGGACAAAAATCCCTCAAGGTTAATTCATTGTGTCATCAGAAAATTTGAGAAAATGCTCAGTGGTTGGCTCCCTTCTGCAGGGTCCCGATCCTACTCTGTGCGTGGCGTGGACCAGATCATGGCAGAGATCTACAAGAACGGACCAGTGGAAGCAGCCTTCACTGTGTACAGCGACTTCCCCACATACAAATCTGGTGGGTGGATATACCAATTCATCATATAGATCCATCATTTCATAACATGGAATTGTAGTTGACTGAGGTTTGAGCCATGTTGTGGGCTTGATGATGTGTGGTTGCCTGGTGGTGGTATGGTTGTCTGGTGGATGTGTGGTTACCTGGTGGTGGTGTGGTTACCTGTTGGTGGTGTGATTGCCTAGTGGGGGTGTGGTTGCCTAGTGGTGTTGTGGTTGCCTGGTGGTGGTGTGGTTGCCTAGTGGGGGTGTGGTTACCTGTTGGTGGTGTGATTGCCTAGTGGGGGTGTGGTTACCTGTTGGTGGTGTGATTGCCTAGTGGGGGTGTGGTTACCTGTTGGTTGTGTGGTTGCCTAGTGGGGGTGTGGTTGCCTAGTGGTGTTGTGGTTACCTGTTGGTGGTGTGGTTGCCTAGTGGTGGTGTGGTTACCTGTTAGTGGTGTGGTTGCCTAGTGGGGGTGTGGTTGCCTAGTGGTGGTGTGGTTGCCTAGTGGTGGTGTGGTTGCCAAGTGAATGTATGATTGCCTGGTGGTGGTGTGGTTACCCAGTTAAGGTGTGGTTGCCTGGTGGTGGTGTGGTTGCCTAGTGGTGGTGTGGTTGCCTAGTGGTGGTGTGGTTGCCTAGTGGTGGTGTGGTTACCTGTTGGTGGTGTGGTTTCCAAGTGAATGTATGATTGCCTGGTGGTGGTGTGGTTACCAAGTTAAGGTGTGGTTGCCTGGTGGTGGTGTGGTTGCCTAGTGGTGGTGTGGTTACCTGTTAGTGGTGTGGTTGCCTAGTGGGGGTGTGGTTGCCTAGTGGTGGTGTGGTTGCCTAGTGGTGGTGTGGTTACCTGTTGGTGGTGTGGTTGCCAAGTGAATGTATGATTGCCTGGTGGTGGTGTGGTTACCCAGTTAAGGTGTGGTTGCCTGGTGGTGGTGTGGTTGCCTAGTGGTGGTGTGGTTGCCTAGTGGTGGTGTGGTTGCCTGGTGGTAGTGTGGTTACCTGTTGGTGGTGTGGTTGCCTAGTGGTAGTGTGGTTACCTGTTAGTGGTGTGGTTGCCTAGTGGGGGTGTGGTTGCCTAGTGGTGGTGTGGTTGCCTAGTGGTGGTGTGGTTGCCTAGTGGTGGTGTGGTTGCCTGGTGGTGGTGTGGTTACCTGTTGGTGGTGTGGTTGCCAAGTGGTAGTGTGGTTACCTGTTAGTGGTGTGGTTGCCTAGTGGGGGTGTGGTTGCCTAGTGGGGGTGTGGTTGCCTACTGGTGGTGCCTAGTGGGGGTGTGGTTGCCTAGTGGTGGTGTGGTTGCCTAGTGGTGGTGTGGTTGCCAAGTGAATGTATGATTGCCTGGTGGTGGTGTGGTTACCCAGTTAAGGTGTGGTTGCCTGGTGGTGGTGTGGTTGCCTGGTGGTGGTGTGGTTGCCTGGAGGTGGTGTGGTTGCCTAGTGATTGTGTGGTTGCCTAGTGGTGGTGTGGTTCCCTGGTGGTGGTGTGGTTGGCTCGTGGTGGTGTGGTTGTCTGATAGACTTGTGAGCTATTCATTCATCTGGTGGTGGAATGAGAGACTTGTCAGTAGTGTTGTGCACCAGTAGATTGTAGAGTGAGCTTGTCAGCTGTGTAATAATTCCTTATATTTAGATATTATGTGTTGTGACCTCTGCCATGATACAATTTGGACTCCCTCAAGACCTTGTCACTCTGTCCCTATCCTGCTGCAGTATGGACTCCCTTGTGATCATGTTACTCTGTAATGCAGGCGTGTACAGCCACACCTCCGGCCAGGCTCTTGGAGGACATGCTGTGAAGATCCTTGGCTGGGGCGTTGAGAGCGGAGAACAGTACTGGCTGGTAGCCAACTCCTGGAACGCCGACTGGGGCATGGAAGGTAGTGTACCACCACTGTGTATAAGTGATAGCAAAGTAGGTGGATGAATGTTGTTTTACACTTCCACAACAATTTTCCAGCTCTATCATTGCAGCAGTATACACTGTGGACCAGGGAAACCAGTGACTGAGAGCATGGCCAACAACCCTTGCCATCAGAACACAGTGACTGAAAAGCATGGCCAACAACCCTTGCCATCAGAACAGTGTGACTGAGAGCATGGCCAACAATCCTTGCCATCAGAACACAGTAACTGAGAGCATGGCTAACAATCCTTGCCATCAGAACACAGTGACTGAAAGCATGGCCAACAACCCTTGCCATCAGAACAGTGTGACTGAGAGCATGGCCAACAATCCTTGCCATCAGAACACAGTGACTGAAAAGCATGGCCAACAACCCTTGCCATCAGAACAGTGTGACTGAGAGCATGGCCAACAATCCTTGCCATCAGAACACAGTAACTGAGAGCATGGCTAACAATCCTTGCCATCAGAACACACTGACTGAGAGCATGGCCAACAATCCTTGCCATCAGAACACACTGACTGAGAGCATGGCCAACAATCCTTGCCATCAGAACACTGTGACTGAAAGCATGGCCAACAACCCTTGCCATCAGAACAGTGTGACTGAGAGCATGGCCAACAATCCTTGCCATCAGAACACAGTGACTGAGAGCATGGCCAACAACCCTTGCCATCAGAACACATTGACTGAAAGCATGGCCAACAACCCTTGCCATCAGAACAGTGTGACTGAGAGCATGGCCAACAATCCTTGCCATCAGAACACATTGACTGAAAGCATGGCCAACAATCCTTGCCATCAGAACACAGGGACTGAAAGCATGGCCAACAACCCTTGCCATCAGAACACATTGACTGAAAGCATGGCCAACAACCCTTGCCATCAGAACACATTGACTGAAAGCATGGCCAACAACCCTTGCCATCAGAACACAGTGACTGAAAGCATGGCCAACAATCCTTGCCATCAGAACACAGTGACTGAAAGCATGGCCAACAACCCTTGCCATCAGAACACATTGACTGAAAGCATGGCCAACAACCCTTGCCATCAGAACACATTGACTGAAAGCATGGCCAACAATCCTTGCCATCAGAACACAGTGACTGAAAGCATGGCCAACAACCCTTGTCATCAGAACACAGTGACTGAAAGCATGGCCAACAATCCTTGTCATCAGAACACAGTGACTGAAAGCATGGCCAACAATCCTTGCCATCCGAACACAGTGACTGAAAGCATGGCCAACAATCCTTGCCATCAGAACACAGTGACTGAAAGCATGGCCAACAACCCTTGCCATCTGAACACAGTGACTGAAAGCATGGCCAACAACCCTTGCCATCTGAACACAGTGACTGAGAGCATGGCCAACAATCCTTGCCATCAGAACACAGTGACTGAAAGCATGGCCAACAATGCTTGCCATCAGAACACAGTGACTGAAAGCATTAGTGTTAATGTAAGGGAGGCCCTACCTGGTGATGCTGACACTTTGATGCCATCACTGCAGTACAGTGTGTGAGTTGTTTTCATGCCACTTTTCATATGATTCATCATTCATGTATATCTTCGTGTGGCCACAGGATCACTTGGATCACAGATAGTATATAATTGGTGGTTCATGTATGGTCCTGAGAAACCAGGGACCATCATCAAATGAAATATCTGGGATGCAGATCAAGGATCAGTGGGCTGAAAGGGATGCAAACCTTCACTGTGAATTTCAGCCTATGAGACCACTGAGCTATCTTGTGTCCAACCCCTCACTAGCACAGTCAAATATGTCCGGCCATAACTTGCTGTTATTGCACTGTACCACCTGTGTCCACACCCTCATGAGAACAGTCAACATCTGGCCATAACTCGCTGTTATTGCATGCAACTTGAGATGTACTGTCTGTTTCATAATAACAAAAATACTTTTTTTCTGTTCCAGGATTCTTTAAGATCAAGAGAGGCACTGATGAATGTGGCATCGAGTCACAGATTGTCGCTGGAGACCCCAAACTGTAAATTCGAACCTGTGCTGTAATTTAGCATTACATAAACCGTCTGGCCTTACATCAAAACAAATCTTGATGCTACTGCAGGGTGAACAACAACTGACATACTTACATCAAAACTGTATAGTAATATCTTTAATAACCAAGCTGTCTTTCCTATTTTTGATACTGTTTGTAATCTGACACCCTTTGTATATTGAGATTGAATTTTGAATGTTCAGTTTACATGAACCAAGCATTTACGTGCAATAAAAGTATTTTACATAATCTGTTGATATTCGTCTTGCATGTCTGTACAGTAAATCCTCTTAGACCAGGGGTCATGGGTGGCTTAGTCGTCTTAGGCGCAGCAATTCGCTTTGCAGAGTTCTGTCCATTGGGCATGCAACCCTATAATTCTGGGTTTGAATACCGGTTTGCCCATGCGACAAACTCCCCAGTGCATCAATTCGGGCTTGCCTTCCACATCAAGGTGACACAACGTGATATGACTGGAATACTGTTAAAAGCCTGTGAAGATCAGGGGTAGAATAGGTCTTCGGCAACCCAAAAGGCGACTATCCTTTTTGTAAGAGATGACTAACGGGATCGGGTGGTCAGACTCGCTGACTTGGTTGCGTTGATCGATGCTCATGTCAATCACTGGATTGTCTTGTCCAGACTCCATTATTTACAGACCACCGTCATATGGCTGGAATATTGCTGAGTGCGGCGTTAAACAACAAACAAACAAAAAATGTTGAAAGTGGGGTCAACACTACACTCACACACTTTTAAGTCCAGGCCATGTTTGTAGGAAATCACACCTACAATTTTACACTTATGACATATAAGGTACTATACGGTACTACTCAATTTTATATACTATTCAAAAGAAGTTAAAGATGACCTGATTCTTTTATGGCGTGACAGATTGACGGTGGTAATATGAAATAATTGGGTGGTCTTTAACTTCTCTTGAGTTGCATGCATTACTCCAGAGCAGTGATTTCATAAACCTAGAAACTTGTTAGTCCCGGAGAGAGATTAGATCAGGTTAGTCAACAAAGTTAAGTCAGTGAGATCTTGGTGAGATGATGAGTTTGAGGCAAGTTGGCAATATCATAGCTATCATGACTTAATTCAATCGGGATCTGACTATTTTGGATGACTTGTTCAATTACACACAATAAACCACTTCAAAAATTGCCAAATAATCTCAATTAATTGTCAAATAATCTTCTATAGTATGTATCATAATCTACATACTGAGCGGGCGTGACATAAATGAAAACCAAAAAATACAATGTATGTCAAGTTATGTGTAATTTAAATTGATGGTACCACTCATAATGTTACGAAAGTTGATAAATATAAATATTTTTAGTTTGTTTAGGAGACTGACCGAAGAATACTTTTGGACATTATTTCTTGGGCTCGATTCTGCTTTATGACAAGGTGTAATACAAAACACAATGTAACACGGCTGTTTGTGACAAAAAATATATTATACCGTGTTCGAGGTAATAAGCTCCCGTGGCAATATTTGCTAATGTATTGGCTCGTGGTTTGCACAAAAATATTTATTATAACAAAATAAATCATTTATTTTTCTGTATCTTGCCCTATGAAAACTAGATTGTTTTTCATTCATTTGTAGCAGTCCTAATATGGAAGCCATTACTTTTGTAAATTAACTTATAAACAAAATGAGAAGGCATAATGTTGGGTGTGTCTCTACATGTACAGCAGTACAATTTCTGTTACATATTATCCATATAGAAGACAACGCTGTGATGATTATGATGAGAAGTGAGGTTGGGGAGGAAGAATATTGGATCAATTGGTTGTTGCAATAGATGACTGAAACCGCACTGGATACCTGAATTGAGATTGTGCCTTTCAGAAAACACACGAGTATGCAACTAAGCATTTCTTCTGTAATTTTGCTTGAAAGGAAATGGTTCAGTTTGATTATACTTGTTTTACGCAGTTAGCTATATTTGTGTTACACAAAATGATCTCTTCTGAGCCAGACAAACCAGTGATGGATAATATCATTAACATTCAAAACCATTTAATAGGGTATAAAGATGACATGCATCAATCACGTCACGAGTCCCATCCATTTAGTCGCCTCGTACCACAAGCATGGGTCGAAAAGGATTGTAATTGAATGTAAATCCTTTCGAGACCTACGTTAAGGATCTAATTAAATCTATTTTATGCCAGAAACTTATCACTTCATCAACTACTGTGACATATAACACAGATACTAAGTAGGCCTTGTTCAGAAAGGTGCTTTCGACATTAATATTGAACTTCATAATGAGTCTGAAACTCAAAATAGTTTAGTTTTTTGCACAGTACTTCAGTTGGTAGCCTAATGGTTACAGTGTTCACTCGTTGGGTCGAAGGCCAGGGTTTTATTCCCAGTATTGGCAAATTTAGTATTCTGGCGTTCCTCACCTTACTGTTGATGATATATGTTAAAAGTGGCATGAAACAAGCTCACTCGCACATTGGTGTGTGTTTCAATATTATTTCTGTTCGTTTGGACGAGGTATGGAAAAAGAGGTCAACATGACTTTAGAAATAAGGAAACAGGAAGTCATTCTGAATGTTTCACTCTGGTGGTCATATCAATGAAAGTTAAAGTTAGATCCTGTATACGTTTTCAACACTTGTATGTTTTGGATTATCTTGGTAAAGTTAAATACGTCAAAAATAGAAACAAACTCCGACTTCCATTGACCACAATGGCATGCCTGTCCACCCCTTTTGCCAAACACAGTCTGTGACACTAGATTCTTCCCATTCCCATTCCACTCAAAACAAAAGCAACTCCAAATGTCTGGTGTAATATCAAAGAAACAATTATTAGTTCAAAAGTCAATTACTTCAAAAGTGGAATAGAACTTCCCAGAACAATGTCGAAGCAAACGGGTGGAAGTTCTACATGTTTAACGGAACAGAACACAGGCTTCAAAGACGATACTTCAACCAATTGCCACGTTGAAGACTCAACAACCAATTAGGTCATTTCTGAGACTGAACAGCAGATGAGGCCCTGTCTGGGTCTCAACAGCCCATAAGGCCATGTCTTGGGCTCAACAGCCCATAAGGCCACGTCTGGGTCTCAACAGCCCATAAGACCTTGTCTAAAACTGCATAGCGAATAAGGCTGCGACTGCCACTAAACAACCCCAAAAGCCGTGTATGTCACTAGATAGGCAGTACTGTTATCAGGACACAACAACACACGGGTGTAAAGGAAACGCTAACTCTCCATGCACTAGTAAGCAATGCCATGCATACATATCTCTATCTGGGTGTGTAGACTTTGTACGTATCATTGTGCAGAACAAGTTATCTGTGGGCAAATATAGAGCCCATGACTATAGGACGTGATTGCTGTGTGAAAGGCCTTATAAGGACGTCAAGCAAACTTGGTAAGGGAGCAAATAAACGTCAGATATTAATTCCTTTATTTTCAGACCACCGCCCCCCCCCCCCCCCCCCCCTTCTCTCTACAAACACGCGCACGCGAGCACGCACGCACGCACGCACAAACACACACACACACACACACACACACACACACACACACACACACACTAAAACTTTGATTGTGAAAATGTTGACACCCTCAAAGAGATTCTTACGATATTGATACTCTGCAGTGTAGCGATTTTGACTAATGTGAACTATACAATCCCTGATTTTGTCTTTTGGAATACTTGAAATACGGCTACCTCTCAAGCTCTCACCACCTCCAAACTTACCAAAGGGCCTAAGAATTGTATCCGACACAGAACGTTTGAACTGGCCCCTCTGGCGTTAAGTGAGTGAGTATGGTTTTACGCCGCTTTTAGCACTATTCCAGCAATATCACGGCGGGGGACACCAGAAATGGGCTTCACACATTGTACCCATGTCGGGAATCGAACCCGGGTCTTCGGCGTGACGAGCGAACGATTTAACCACCAGGCTACCCGACCGACCCTCTGGCGTTATGAAGTAACTTCATCGCCATCAAGACACCAACATGTACTGAATTTAGTTTACATAATATTTATGAAGGAGATTAAATATTTTGTGTTAGCATTTACAGATATCTGCAGAAAACAAATAAAACAATCAAACAAAAGGTAACTCTACACTTTCTTAATAATAATTGATCATATGTCTCTGGTCATAGCAATCAAATAGAATTCTGAAATAAGTTTTGTAAAACATCAGTAATACATTCCCACCCAATAGGAAGCTGTACAGCACGAACAGGCTGATGCGGAGCTGTTTTGCTGTATTCCCATCCTTATGTATTGCTGACGTGGAGCATTTTCAAAGAACATGGTATGAACATGACAGGGGACAAAAAATGACACAATCTTTATGACTGAAACCTAATATACATCGTTGCAAGATGCTTATCTTCATATATTTACATAATATTATATAAGCCACATAAGCCATTGTCTAAGATGCAGGCTTCAGTTGGAACTGTATTGCCTGTTGTCACTGGCCGACTGACAAATCATGATTAGGAAATGCTTGGGAGATACAGAGACCATATAATAGATTATCTATTATATGGTCTCTGGGATAGATGAGAACAGGTTTTTCGACGACAGAATTTAGGTATGACATTATACGATTAAGAGGTTATAACGTTTGTGTTTGTTTTGGAGGATGATATCCCGGATTAGAAATACTAGTGCAGCTGTTTTGTGACAAATCGTGCACTTTGTGATAAAAAACATGAAACTTGGCACAGTTGTAGGTAACGACATTCCAAATATTTTCAGATATGAGACCATCCAAAAACAACCAATATGGCAGCCAATCCGATATGGCTTCCACGGAGCAATGACATTCTAGTATGAACAGTATCTCGTGTGAACATGACCCATAACCTGAATATATACTGAACAACAAAAGTTCCTGTGACATTGAATAAGATTTAATGCAAAGTTATGTTTTTTACCAAATCTGAAACAATTTCGGTTTGCAACAGATAAAAGACTCCTGTAAGTGTTCAAATGGTTTAATTCTAAATGCCTATCAAAGAAGTAATGGTTTAATTTGCCATACTGACTTAAGAAAATGCGTGATTTCATAAAAAAAACCCCATGAACATGCCAAAATGTCAATGTACAAATCAATAGCGTGTGTGTCCACCTCTGGTTGCAATGCAAGCAACACATCTTCGTCTCATGGAATGGACCAGGCGTCGCACAAAGTCCTGTGGGATATCTGTCCACATCTGCTGGAGCATGTTTCGAAGTTCCTGGAGTGTCTGTGGAACACGTGGTTGACGTCGAAGGCGCAGATCCATCTCTTCCCAAATGTGCTCGATTGGTGAGAGATCAGGGGAGCGAGCCGGCCAGGGGATGACAATCACGTTGTTTTGTTGAAGAGAATCCTGAACAAGTCAAGTAATATGAGGCCGCGCGTTGTCATGTTGAAAGGTAATGCCTGGGCCATGACGACGCAAAAACGGTAGAACAACTGGGCCGATGATCTCGTCGCGGTAGCGCTGCCCATTGAGATTTCCCTCTTCCACTATCAAACGGGTCCTCTGTCTTGCTGTAAGCCCACCCCATACCATAACGCTGCAGCCCCCGATACGATCTTCTCCCATGACACAATGATTGACGTAACGTTCACCTCGACGTCGGTACACTCGAATCCGTCCATCGCTGTGGCTGAGGTGAAAACGAGACTCGTCAGTGAATAGAACTTGTCCCCACTGCATGGCCGTCCAGCGTAGACGCTATCTGCACCACTGTAGACGTGCTTGACGGTGGTTTCCTGTCAAAATGGGACGTCTGGTGGGTTTTCTGGCGACAACCCTTGCACATCTGAGGCGGCGACGTGCGGTTTGTGAAGATATTCGTCGAAGGCTTCTTGCAGTCATTGTTGCTGGCTGGAATCGATTTCGTAGGTGTGTTGTTCGAATCCAGTTGTCTTGTCGATTATTGGTTACGCGTGGCCTGCCACTCCGAGGATGGTCTCTGACTGCATTCGTCTGTTGCCAACGTTGCCATAAACACCAAATGGTGTTTCTGTGGACGTTAAATTGTCTTGCAACATCACGTTGACTCGATTTTGCTCCAAGCATACCAATGGCTCGCAGACGCCCATTTTCGGACAGGCTTGGCATTTCTTAATGTTGAATAATTGCGTAATTTTGTTGTTTTTTCTGAGTGGTTGTTGTCAGCACGATGCTAAACAGTGCATATGGAATCCCGTTAATGCATGGGGTTTGCATAAAAGTCAACTTTTGCATGGAATGCATGCTTTTCTGAAGCAGTTGCATTTTTGTGACTTGATTCCATACATGTACTACAATATTGAAAACCAAACTTCACTTGCTTGAAAAATACACTAAAATATTGGTGTCACAGGAACTTTTGTTGTTGAGTTTATTATAAAAAAGGATAATTTTGGAAAGTATTAACCTAACACTACACCTGTAAAGACAAAAACTATATTTTAGTAGAATACTTGTTTTGAGTTGGTGTAAAAAAATGAAAAATGTGTGCATTTCTTTCTTCTACGGCACATCTTTTAGTTATACACCATACAAGCCAATTAATTATACCAATATTGTAAACTCATATCGTAAATAACAGATTATTTAAAGTACAAAATTTGTATTTCTTGGATTATGCTTGTACATGACTGACGGTTTGGTTGCTTGTGTATATGATCACATTTACAAAGTGGTGCACTGATCCAATGTGGCGCACCACAGCCACACCTTGATCTGCACCCCCTCTCAGGCTTACAACTACATCTCAGAAGCTCTTTGCGTGACTCAGACGCTTGTGTTGGTGTAATCCACAAAGGCTCGTAGCCGTGTGGTACTCATGTTACCCATCCTCTCTCAGTTGGTGTAGAAAGGTCTGTTTCGGCCTCTAGATTTAGTCCCCAACAATGGCCACCTTGAAATGGGCTCTTCTGACATGTTGGTACAAAGAAGCTGATGTGGAAGGAAAGGAATTAATTTCTCTACCTTTCTTAGTGTATTATTCTTTACGTGTCTCATCAACTCATGTACATATACTGGCCCATACACGAAGACGCAGAATGACTGGCATCATGTTCTTCACATTCTGTTCGGTTTGTACATCTACTATGAGATTTAACGCCCCGGTTGCTTCATCATACAAACTCCATGTTTCCCACACTATCTTTTTGCATTTCCCCTCCAGAAGGATGTCTGGTCACGGCCAGTAATTGCTAGAAATGCTCGAAGTGAACAGGCTTTCTCTGGTCCAAGGAGTCCGACAAGGACATTAACAGCCAAATATGTGAATTGTTTGCCAGTTCCAAAAGCTACCCAGAGGTGAGACATATCTATTCTGTCAAACAATGCAATGGTCAGGGCAATGACATCAGTATCAACTATTTGAATCAAAATCCTATCATGACTCTGTCTGGCAGCATTTGACGTGTGCAAAAAGAGTCTTTCTGTGACGGATGCCGATCATTGACAACATCTGACCCTTTGTTGCACAGAACCTGTTTGCTGAAAGTGCTTATAATTTGTTCATCCCCGTGCACATTCTAATGGAATAACATTTTCAGCCAAGAACTTAAACAATTCTATCTTGTTCTCAGCAATTCTCAGCAATGCCTCCCATTTCTGTTTGGCTGAATGCGACATTGACTTCTTTTCCTCGTTTGCTTCTTGCTGTTGATTGGAGACGTACTCAGAGGTGTACTCATCCCAAACAATGTCAACTGTGAACACCTGTCATGCCTGTTCTACAAGGCCTCTGCATGTTCACTATTGCCGCGCCATCTAAGGGTAGTGCTTAACCTCTGGCCGTATTCGTACATCTTGAGAATGTTTCTAAACATGTTGTGAAATCACTTTTATTGCCAGAAGAAATTTTGCCAACTTTGAGAGTTATGGGGGAAAGGTTTAGCTTTCATGGGTTTACAGCCCTCAAGCTTGACACTGCTTGCTTGACGGCCTATTTCTTGTTTTGTTTTAGCAGTGACTCTTGGATGTGGGCAAGAAAACAGAGAAAGTTTGTTCTTTGAGATTGGTTCATAAGGGCTCCTTGTTTTCTGATGGAGATGTTCCTCTCCAAAGTTGTTTAACTGTGTTGCTCCACATTTGTCTACCTTTGAATTGTGTCTACTGTAGTATTGGTAACGATGTCTTACATATCTAACACCAGTAGCTTATGGCTTTCCTCCAGAGATGGGCTACTCATATCCTCAAATACATCACAAAGTAATTGGACCTGTATTTTGGAAGTTTGTTGAACACTTTTGCTCTGTTCATGATGCCTGACATTTGGTTCTGATTTCTTTCTCAGTCAGTCTCCCAACATCTCTGGGCTTATTCAACGGCATTGCGTGTAGAGATGTTAGATCATTGAGAGGAGCTTTCGCTCGTCAGATACCACAACTATTTACTCGTTTCATAAAAGTGGTATTACACGGGAGGTTATTGAACGGCGTGTCGTGCCTTATGTGTTATTGGTTTGAGAAAAGGATATGGGGATGAATTATCGTTGAAAAGACGTAAACAAAATTATAAAAGAAACATTTTCTTTGTCTCATATGTCTCGTATGTCTTCACGAGTTATTACCATGCAAGAACTGATACTCATCACTTTGTCTTGTAATCTGTTTTGTCAGCGATCATTTCGGGAACGATTTTATGATTTTTAAAACTAGTAGGCGCTAATCAATAAGAATCCGAAATTGACTTTGTAAAGGGAAATTACTCTTCCTACATTACGGATTGAATCACTCATAAAATCCTGATGTGACCGATCGCCCCATTGACCCCTATGATATGTACTTATTCCCCCCCAAAATCCCCCCCCCCCCCCCCCCCCCCCCACACACACACACACGCACAATTTGTACTCGTAACCACTGCTGAAGAAACCCTGATGGGTAGAAAATGAACTACTTAACGGGTTTTCTGGTTAACCAACTACCCTCGCCGCCTATGATTTAATCATCTACTTCCCACGTTCTTTATGCATTGTTACACACACGTACACTGATATGCGACACACATAAAAACTTAAATAATAGACATGAAGTTTACAATCTGTACTTCATGTTTACAATTAATCCTGCATAAACATTAAATAAGTTTAATCATCTCCTCTCCTGAACACATGTTTATTACCTCGTTACGCTGACGACAACTCATTATGGACTCAATGTCAACTCATGATGTCAATCACTGGATTGTCTGGTCCAGACTTGATTATTTACAGACCGCCATCATATAGCTGGAACATTGCTGAGTACGACGTTAAGCAAAAAACAAACCAACATTTACTGTGTAATATGTCTCTGGCCAAGTAAATATATCCAGATGACCTGTTTGTCAATGTAACAGTGTGTTCTACTTAGCGAGAATACACTGTGAACAACAAACAAACATACTTCTGTGGTCTACATGACTTATCATCGATGTTTATTATTTATATAAAGATCCGGGGTTATCTTGCATTTCATGCAGCCGAGTGATTGATCAGTGAAGATAGGTTATAACTAATTCCATTTGTTGAGATGTTAAATACAGACGGATACTTTCAATGTTTATTTATCAAGAATACAATATATATTTGTGGCTATATTTGATTACATTTTTACATTTTGAATTAAAAATTTGGCATCACAGTCACTAACTGTTTTTAACAATAAAAGAATCGAATATTGTAGTTTGATTGTGTTAGGATTAATTTCTAACGCCTAGATCTAGTATCTCTAACAAATACTGTTACCTTTATAAGGGACATAACCGAGTCTCTGCAAAGGAACTTTAGCGCGCGACTGCCAGTTCTAAAAATAACTACTACGAGCCTCGTTTTGACGATAAAGGGATTCCCCTTTCTGGACAGGCGGGAGTGATATCATACATGTCGGTCGATTAAGTCTGAATCGAAAGTGTATATATTTCACAACAAGGCAGTGTCGGCACCAAAGAAGCGCTTGAAGTAAACAACTCCTTGTCAATTACACATTAGCCTATGTCAGGGGCGTATTGCATGTTTTAATCGTAGGTAAGTTTAGATGTTTCCAAGTAGATCTATTCATGTTTGATTAGGCCTTGTCATTTTAATAGTGGTCCATGAGTGCAGAGATAGCCATGACGGTAGTTTAATGCTAGTAACGAGGCAGTAGAGTTAGAATTGTTGACAATGTTGATATGTGAACGTGGAGCATACACGTAGCATGCCCGCATGTACTACTTTTGTACATTAGATCTAAATGGCAGTACACAAACACAAGTTAGGTAGGCTAGCCTACTTGTCAAATCTTGGACAGTCGGCAGTAAGGACATATCTCTATCCCTATTGACCGAAACTAACAGCTGATGACAGGTCGAAAATATATGGTGTTGTAAAGTTCACATTGGAACCATCTCAACACAATAAACATTTCAATATTCCCAGTATTATTATTCAGGGTTGATCATGGTTTAGACAAACAGAAGAGACAGAAACTAAAAAGCTTCAAAAGCCCTTAGATATCCTAGCTTATCCCATCCTATAGAGTTGGTGAGTTAATGGATTCTTTTTTACATCATTAGCATAGTCAGCAAAGTGTCACAGTTGTGTCTGGACCAGAAAACCAGTGGTTGATAACATAAGCATAGATTCACTGTATTATGGGTATTATGACACACAGTCAGTGTGTGCCCACACTTTGGACTAGCACAGAGATGTGGGATCCCTGTGTCCATGGAGGTTTCATGCCACTGTCTGAAATACACTCACTCACGTTAATCACATATTCACAAAATCGGTGTCAGTTAATAATTAAGATCCTGCTTTACATTTCTGACATAATTATAACAGCCCCAGAGGTAGATCCCAGTAGTGCCTGGGTAAACCACCAAAGCAGCACCTTTGGGTACTTTCAGCAGCTCCTTGAGTGGATCTCAACACTACTGGGTAGATCTCCCCAGCAGCCGCAGGAGTAGATCCCAGGATGTCTGACAGTGAGGCTGACAGTGATGTGGATGAGAAGAATCTCCCTTCCAGGGAGGAGTGCGAGGAGAGATGTCAGATGTTCGCCCAAGTGACCGGCACCGACACTGCTCTAGCCATGTTCTTTCTTCAAGATAGGGAATGGAACGTAGAGGTTGGTTAAACAACTGTTCTGTGCTGTTGGTGTCAATTTGCTGACAGTACAATTCTGATTTCTGATTTTAAGCCAATATTTATATATCAATAATTATGTTAATATGGAGTATGTCTGTCATGTATATTTAGTATGATACCTATTTGAATATTTCATGCTGTTATTATGTGAATCTTTGGATGTCTTATGTCTCCTTTAGAACTACACCATTTAAGAAGCTGAAATTTTGTGTTGGCGAACCTAGCTGTTATAAAGCTTGTACTCTTACCAAGATTTATTTATATGGCCATTTTGTTTAAAAGTTTCATTTGGGTCTATATTTGTTTGTTTGTTTTGACTAATGCACTGTTTGACATGAAGTCAGTGTGTCTTATGTGTGTAAGCTTATCTAAATACAGTGTTGTTTGTGTGTCTGTGTTTTTATTCCTGTTTGACCATCACATTACCCTTTTGGTCCAGTTTTAATCATGGCCACCATGACAGCCATATTGGAAGTATGATTTTACCTATTTTCACAGAGCTTTTTCACATGAACTGTTATGAAATAGTAGTTATGAATGACTTATTTACAATTTGATGTTCATTTACAATATATCTAAAAAAGAGCAGCGTTTCATGTAGCTTTTTGCTTGTTTCAGACGGCACTGAATGCTTATTTCGCAGAGACAGGGGGTGAACCAGTGGGGTCAGGTCAGAGCACCATCGTTGGCACCAACACACATAGCAGAACACAAACAGTGAGAGCTGGACCGTAAGTGACTGTCATTATATCTCTTTCCGATAAACTTGTTCTCATTAAAACTTTCGGGATCCTGGGTGAGACTGGACCTCAGTACCTCATGCTTGCACTAAGAGTGTACTACCAAGGCTAGGTAATTAAGCCCAGGATTTGTCTAGGAAACAAGTTAAATGCCATTAGCAGGCAAATTGGGAAGACAATGGGTTTGGGGGCAATCTCATTAAAATCAGGTATTGGTTCTTGCTACTGCAAAACAAATATCTTAGGACATTCTAGTACAGGTTACGTCAGAATGACCTTTCATCCGACCAATCAGATGGTCTCTTACCAGATTGGGAAAGTGACAGTCAGAATGTGCTTTCAAATCATGCAACCTCGAAAAGATTGACACCGGGTATTCCAAACGACTGTTACGGGCTGTACGGCTGAATCTATCAAAATCATCTTTATCTCTCTCTTCAATTACTTAAGCATTTCAATGGCAGAGACTTTGCATACCGGTAACCCATTGAAAGTTGCCATACAAATTCGGCCATCCATTATAAAACTCCAGGATGTACTTTTTTCGGTTTTTAAATCGAGATGTTTGTGAAAATATTTTTCAAAGCATAGTCTGGAATGGAAGTCGCCAGTTTGAAACTAGTGATTTAAATCTTGAGATAGCTGCTTTCTGATTGCTCATCTTCTTAATTGTCATTTCTTTGGTCAGTCAAAGTTCATGAAAGGTCGTTCTGATGTGACCTGTTAAGCAATAGCGAGAACTAACTTTAGAAGTATGTTAGCATTGCATTAAAGCTTCTTCCTGTAGAAAACACCTCTACATTAACATAGCTATGACCATATCAACATCAGTTGGAACATTTTAAGGGAGTACTGGGATAGGGCTTTCTGCCAGCTGGGGCTTATCACCTGTTGTGAGTCAGTTTACTTGGGACATGCAGGTCTAGTTATGAAAACGTGTGAGGTGGATGGTGATGATGATAACTTCCATTTGGGCTACAGAGCCTTGTGGCTCTCTTTCTCTTTGACTGCTCCATGAGGCATGTGTTTTGTGAAGTGTTTTCTACAATGTTTCAGACAGGTGTTTCCTACAGTGTTTCAGTAAGGTGTTTCCTACAATGTTTCAGACAGGTGTTTCCTACAATGTTTCTGACAGGTGTTTCCTACAACGTTTCAGTCAGGTGTTTTCTAGAATGTTTCAGTCAGGTGTTTGCTACAATGTTTCAGACAGGTGTTTCCTACAATATTTCCGTAAGGTGTTTCCTACAATGTTTTAGACAGGTGTTTCCTACAATGTTTCAGTGAGATGTTATCTACAATGTTTCAGACAGGTGTTTCCTACAATGTTTCAGACAGGTGTTTTCTACAATGTTTTAGTAAGGTGTTTCCTACAATGTTTCAGACAGGTGTTTCCTACAATGTTTCAGTAAGGTGTTTCCTACAATGTTTCAGACAGGTGTTTCCTACAATGTTTATGAAAGGTGTTTTCTACATTGTTTCAGACAGATGGTTTCTTCAATATTTCAGATAAGTGTTTTCTACTGTGTTTCAGTCAGATGTGTTCTGCATTGTTTCAGTGAGATGTTATCTACAATGTTTCAGACAAGTGTTTTCTACAAAATTTCAGGGAAGGACCTGATCCAGAGCCTCACCGTATCCGCCTCTTGTCCTGGAACCTGGATGGCCTTGACCCTGGGAGCATCAAGTCCAGGATGCAAGCTGTTTGTGACATCATTAACAAGTAAATAATTATTTATTCAAAAAGGCAAGATTATTGATTTGTTAGCTCACCTGAGCAAAGTACTTGCTGTCCCATTGCAAACCTTCAACAGCAATGCTGGCATACATGATGTTAAGTCAAATCATATCACATACATTTGAAAGTGAATATTGTTCCAGGGAGAAGCCCCATGTAGTGTTCCTCCAGGAAGTGACCCCCCTCACCCTCCCTATCCTGGAGGATGGGTGTGGCATGTACCAGGTGATCCCAGGGGGAGACAACCACTACTTCACTGCTGTCATGCTGCGGGTTGGACATGTACAGTTTGAAGATGCTGTGGTTACATCCTTCCCAACCAGCAAGATGTTGAGAAACATTATAACAATCAAAGTAAGGCTGATGTTAGCTTAATTGAGTCCTTCATCAGAAGTCCTCAGCAGTGTGTGTCTGTAATACCCCATGTTTGTTGTGGGAGCTGACTAAATGTGGGAACTGAATTGCATCACCCTCGATTATCCAGGGTCTGGTATCGCCATTCTATGATGGTAAATCAGGTTTCTAGACAGGCTCATGCTTACCAATTGTCCCCAAGTATGTAGCAAATTTCAGTAAAATTTCAAAGTTGAAATAAAACATTCCCAGTTACTGTTATTATAGTGAAATAGAAATATAAAATGCCCAGTTACTGTTTTTCTAGTTAACTTGTATTTCAAAGATTACAGGATCAAGGAAGAGGAAGTGACTATACTACATGCCCACACATTAGTGCATTGAATGCAGTGTTAAAACCCATGAAGATCCGGGGTAGAATAGGTCTTCAGCAACCCATGCTTGCAGTAAAAGGCGACTGTGCTTGTTGTATGAGATGACTAACGGGATCGGGTGGTCAGACTCGCTGACTTGGTTGATGCAAGTCATCGATCTTAATTGCGTGGATTGATGTTCTTGATGTCAGTCACTGGATTGTCTGGTCCAGACTCGATTATTTACAGACCGCTCTCATATAGCTGGAATATAGCTAACAACAAACAAACAAACATCACTCTGACACTGAGTCAATCCCATCAATGCGGTCATTCAACATGTAAAGTATGTTACCTATTACAAGTTAAGGCTTTAAATAGTGGAGACATCCCACACGTTTCATTACTGATGAAAGTTTATTGTATTTTTTTAAATTAATGAAATAGAGCAAACAAATAGAAACTAACACTATGTATGAGTTATACTTATAGCTACGGCAAACAAACAAAAGCGATGTTCGCCCCTATAGTCTGGAAGGTAATTTAAGGTACTGACGTTTACTACAATATCTGAAAAACTATCGGACCTACTCCAGACAAAGTTGGTATGAGATTATTAAACAGTCATACATAACTGGATATTACATTTAAAGACAATCGGTGCATGAATAAAAAAATCAGTCAGTATGGTTTTACGCCGCTTTTAGCAATATTCCAGCAATATCACGGCGGGGGACACCAGAAATGGGCTTCACACATTATACCCATGTCGGGAATCGAACCCGGGTCTTCGGCGTGACGAGCTAACGCTTTAACCACTAGGCTACCCGACCGCCCCTTTTCAGTGATAAACATTGGACACCTTCATAACTCTTCCACCCACATCAAGCTTACAGACCGCATCTGTGGAACAGTGGATAGAGCATCTGCCTGGAGATCACGCAATGATCATGCGCACACACATCGTCATATAATTACAATAATGCAATGTTATGCCACATTTCACCTCACCTGAAGCTTACATGCTGTTATATCACTGAACGTGGAGTTAATCCCATCTCCCTGTTTCCATCTCTCGTCATTCAGCAGTTGCATGATGAGATCCCGAGTAACCATGGTGACTATTTTTGCAGTGTCATGTGAAGGGCATCAGCTTCCAGGTGATGACGTCCCACCTGGAGAGTACGGCTGCGCACAGTGATGAAAGGAAGAGGCAGCTGGTACGGGCATTCGAGGCGATGAAACACGCAGATCCTGACAGAACTGTCATATTTGGTGGTGATACTAACCTGAGAGACAAGGAGGTAACTTGAGACTTAGGTTATAGAAGCGGTAGAAACTAACAGTTTTCGTCCACTGGCCCTTATAATGATAACATATAGCAAAACCCTTAAAAAAGGCAAATTTCTAATAGTCCTTATGATACCTTAACTATTGGGCAGTTTGTCAAGGGCTACAGGACTACAGGAGTATATCATGTTGGCATCCCTAGCTTTTCAGTGTATCATGTTGGCACCCCTAGCTTTTCAGTGTATCATGTTGGCATCACTAGTGTTTCTGTATATCATGTTGGCATCCCTAGTGCTTTGGTGTATCATGTTGGCATCCCTAGTGCTTTGGTGTATCATGTTGGCATCCCTAGTGCTTTAGTGTATCATGTTGGCATCACTAGTGTTTCTGTATATCATGTTGGCATCACTAGTGTTTCAGTATATCATGTTGGCATCCCTAGTGTTTCAGTGTATCATGTTGGCATCACTAGTGTTTCAGTATATCATGTTGGCATCACTAGTGTTTCAGTATATCATGTTTGCATCCCTAGTGCTTTAGTGTATCATATTGGCATCACTAGTGTTTCTGTATATCATGTTGGCATCACTAGTGTTTCAGTATATCATGTTGGCATCCCTAGTGTTTCAGTGTATCATGTTGGCATCACTAGTGTTTCAGTATATCATGTTGGCATCACTAGTGTTTCAGTATATCATGTTGGCATCCCTAGTGCCTTAGTGTATCATGTTGGCATCACTAGTGTTTCTGTATATCATGTTGGCATCACTAGTGTTTCAGTATATCATGTTGGCATCCCTAGTGTTTCAGTGTATCATGTTGGCATCACTAGTGTTTCAGTATATCATGTTGGCATCACTAGTGTTTCAGTATATCATGGTGGCATCACTTGTGTTTCAGTCTATCATGGTGGCATCACTTGTGTTTCAGTCTATCATGGTGGCATCACTAGTGTTTCTGTATATCATGTTGGCATCCCTAGTGCTTTCGTGTATCATGTTGGCATCACTAGTGTTTCTGTATATCATGTTGGCATCACTAGTGTTTCAGTATATCATGTTGGCATCACTAGTGTTTCAGTGTATCATGTTGGCATCACTAGTGTTTCAGTATATCATGTTGGCATCACTAGTGTTTCAGTATATCATGTTGGCATCCCTAGTGCTTTAGTGTATCATGTTGGCATCACTAGTGTTTCAGTATATCATGTTGGCATCACTAGTGTTTCAGTATATCATGTTGGCATCACTAGTGTTTCAGTGTATCATGTTGGCATCACTAGTGTTTCAGTATATCATGTTGGCATCCCTAGTGTTTCAGTATATCATGTTTGTGTCACTGTAGTGTTTCAGTATATCATGTTGGCATCACTAGTGTTTCAGTATTATCATGTTGGCATCACTGGTGTTTCAGAATATCATGTTGGCATCCCTAGTGTTTCAGTGTATCATGTTGGTGTCACTAGTGTTTCAGTATATCATGTTGGCATCACTAGTGTTTCAGTATATCATGTTGGTGTCACTGTAGTATTTTAGTATATCATGTTGGCATCACTAGTGTTTCAGTATATCATGTTGGCATCCCTAGTGTTTCAGTATATCATGTTGGTGTCACTGTAGTGTTTTAGTATAACATGTTGGCATCCCTAGTGTTTCAGTGTATCATGTTGGTGTCACTAGTGTTTGAGTATATCATGTTGGCATCACTTGTGTTTCAGTATATCATGTTGGCATCACTAGTGTTTCTGTATATCATGTTGGCATCACTAGTGTTTCAGTATATCGTGTTGGCATCACTAGTGTTTCAGTGTATCATGTTGGTGTCACTGTAGTGTTTTAGTATATCATGTTGGCATCACTAGTGTTTCAGTATATCATGTTGGCATCCCTAATGTTTCAGTATATCATGTTGGCATCACTAGTGTTTCTGTATATCATGCTGGCATCACTAGTGTGTCAGTATATCATGTTGGCATCACTAGTGTTTCAGTATATCATGTTGGCATCCCTAGTGTTTCAGTGTATCATGTTGGTGTCACTGTAGTGTTTTAGTATATCATGTTGGCATCACTAGTGTTTCAGTATATCATGTTGGCATCACTAGTGTTTCAGTATATCATGTTGGCATCACTAGTGTTTCAGTATTTCATGTTGGTGCCACTGTAGTGTTTCAGTATATCATGTTGGCATCACTAGTGTTTCAGTATATCATGTTGGCATCACTAGTGTTTCAGTGTATCATGTTGGCATCACTAGTGTTTCAGTATATCATGTTGGCATCACTGGTGTTTCAGTGTTTCATGTTGGTGCCACTGTAGTGTTTCAGTATATCATGTTGGCATCACTAGTGTTTCAGTATATCATGTTGGCATCACTAGTGTTTCAGTGTATCATGTTGGCATCACTAGTGTTTCAGTATATCTTGTTGGCATCACTGGTGTTTCAGTGTTTCATGTTGGTGCCACTGTAGTGTTTTAGTATATCATGTTGGCATCACTAGTGTTTCAGTTTATAAAGTTGAAACTGAGTTGTGTTTTTCTTCAGGTTGCTCAGGTTGGAGGTATCCCGGAAGCTATCTACGACATATGGGAGATGACGGGCCAGCGTCCAGAGGCCAAGTTCACCTGGGACATGAGGAGAAATGACAACCATGAATACCCAGGATACAAATCATTCCTGAGACTGGACCGACTTTACATCCGCCATTGTAAGCCCAGATCCCAAGTGACCCCCGTGTACTTCGAACTGGCTGGCCTCGCTCGTCTCCCCAGCCACAAGTTCCCCAGCGATCACTGGGGGCTTCTGGCACACTTTGACATCAATGGCGTTTCCAAGCCAACCTGTGCGTCAGTCTAGCCATTCACATCACACACCTTGGCGTCCTTGTTGATTATCATTGTCTATGTGTGAAAAGTAATCAGCATTTCCAAATTAGATTAATTGTTATGTCAAGCATTTGATCAGAATGTATCATTGCCTCCAGGATAGAAATGTTTAAAGATCATTGGATTGATCAGAGAATCATTTTTGCAAAATATTTGTTTGTTGAAAAAGTGGACAGTTCATTTGCCATGTGGAGATATAGTCTTGTTTCTGCTGTTGAGATTTCAACATTGTCTACTTACTTTCGCTGAGAGTAAAACACCTGATTTGATTGTTGTCAATGATATTCATGACTGGGATATTTACCCTTTCATAAGAAAATGAATCTCATTGACAGATTGTATGATTATTGTGCTATCATCAGGGGTGAGAATCTTCCGCGGATCCTTGAATTTCCGTGAATTTTAGTGACCACAAATTTTGTTAAAATCTGATGGCTTGAAGGTCAAAGCCCCCTTATGCCCCATAAACACCCCAAAATTATGGACCATGCTTCATTGAATTTTCAGCTGAAAAGGAAAATATCCATTCTCATCCCTGTATCTTAGAGAAGGAAAATAGGGTTGGAAAACAAGCACTTGTTTCTGTGGCAACCTATGACTGTAAGTTGCTTTGTGTGCGTAGAAGGGAGGTTGTCACAATGCTAAAATTTATGCTGCATTGTTGACAGAAGTTTATCAATTTTTATCTTCAAATGCAAACACAACAGTGTGTTCAATCATTGTCACATTCATACCATATACCAGTGTCATTTATTGTCAAATTGTAATTCACAGTTTTCATGTCACATAAACTATATTCATATTCCATTGTCTTCTCGTCTCACTTAGAAAATATGTTATGAATCTTGAACAGAACAAGACTTACATGACTAATAGGCTGGTAATAAATCTGCACTTGTATTGAACGTGTGCAACATATAAGATAACGCTGAGCAGCATACCTGTGGGTGTCCTGGCTGAATAATGTCTGTTCGCCTTTTGGGTGTCCTGGCTGGATAAATGTCTGTCACCTTTGGGTGTCCTGGCTGAATAATGTCTGTCGTCTGTTGGGTGTCCTGGCTGGATAAATGTCTGTCACCTTTGGGTGTCCTGGCTGAATAATGTCTGTCGTCTGTTGGGTGTCCTGGCTGAATAAATGTCTGTTGCCTTTTGGGTGTCCTGGCTGGATAATGTCTCTTGCCTGTTGGGTGTCCTGGCTGGATAAATGTCTGTTGCCTTTGGGTGTCCTGGCTGGATAAATGTCTGTTGCCTGTTGGGTGTCCTGGCTGGATAAATGTCTGTTGCCTTTGGGTGTCCTGGTTGGATAAATGTCTGTCGCCTGTTGGGTGTCCTGGCTGGATAAATGTCTGTTGCCTTTTGGGTGTCCTGGATGGATAAATGTCTGTTGCCCTTTGGGTGTCCTGGCTGGATAAATGTCTGTTGCCCTTTGGGTGTCCTGGATGGATAAATGTCTGTTGCCGTTGGGTGTCCTGGATGGATAAATGTTTATTGCCTTTGGGTGTCCTGGATGGATAAATGTCTGTCGTCTTTGGGTGTCCTGGTGAATAAATGTCTGTCGCTGTTGGGTGTCCTGGCGGGATGAATGTCTTTTGCCTTTCGGGTGTCCTGAATGGATAAATGTCTGCCGCCTGTTGGATGTCCTGGCTTGATGAATGTCTGTCGCGCTTTGGGTGTCCTGATTGATAATGTCTGTCGCCTGTTGGGTGTCCTGGTGGATAAATGTCTGTCGTCTTTGGGTGTCCTGGTGGATAAATGTCTGTCACCTTTGGGTGTCCTGGCTTGATAATGTCTGTCGCCTTTTTGGGTGTCCTAGCTGAATAATGTCTGTTGCCTTTTGGTTGTCCTGGTTGGATAAATGTCTGTTGCCTTTGGGGGTATTGGTTTAATAAATGTCTGTCGCCTGTGGGTGTCCTGGCTGAATTAATGTCTGTCAACTTTGGGAGTCCTGACTAAATAAATGTCTGTCGCCTTTGGGTGTCCTGGCTGGATAATGTCTGTCGCCTTTTGGGTTGTCCTGGCTGGATAATGTCTGTCGCCTGTTGGGTGTCCTGGCTGGATAAATGTCTGTCGCCTTTGGGTGTCCTGGTGAATAAATGTCTGTCGCCTTTGGGTGTCCTGGTTTAATAAATGTCTGTCGACTTTGGGTGTCCTGACTAAATAAATGTCTGTCGCCTTTGGGTGTCCTTGCTGGATACATCTTCCCGAGGCAAGTGAGTTAACTGACTATAAAAGTCCAGTTTCCACCCTTGCCGAACTAGGCTAGTATTATGGAGTTACAATTTGGCTGGACTAACGAGTCTATGCATAGTCCAATCCAAATCGCGCACCGAAATCGAATTCCGGTTCGTTAACTGTCGTGCAGATTTCGGTCGATTGCAGGATTTGCAAAACATGTGCACCGCCAACTCGTTGTCAGCAGATATTTTCCAAATCATTTCATGTTTTTAATCAAGGTGCTCACGTGATTTGATGTATTTTGCGATGTAAGACCTGTTTTATCACAATATAGATCTTGATTATCGATCAGATCGTCCTGACTGGGCGCCACCATTTTGGGTGAAAAAAACGCAAGTGATACGAGAGGTGGAATCTCATTGGTCCATCAGAGAGGCTTAGAGGGGACATAACTGGTAATAGCCACTGGTGGCGATATGATCGAGTCCAGTAATTCTAGCCTCGTTCGGCAAGGGTGGAAACTGGAAGTTAGTTTACTCTCTTGCTTCGGGAAGATGGGCTGGATAATGTCTGTCGCCTTTGGGTGTCCTGGCCGGATAAATGTCTGTCGCCTTTGGGTGTCCTGGTTGATAAATGTCTGTCGCCTTTGGGTATCCTGGTTGATAAATGTCTGTCGCCTTTGGGTGTCCTGGCTGAGTAATATCTGTCGCCCTTCGGTGTCCTGGTGGATATATCCTGACTGGATGTATGTGTGTAGCCTACTGGAAATATTAGTGTAGAGCTGCTACATATTTAATAGCTTATTTTGTTATTATCCTGTTTTCCATACATTAGACACTATTTACAAAGGTGGGGGATATAATACAGTTCTCAGACCCATCTCATCGTCGGGCGACGATACATAAGGAAGACTTCCTGCTAGTTCACACGAAGATATATTATTCTGGTTAGATTCTATTTCTATGAACGTATTACAGTTCAACGCATTTTAATGGTGATGGATACAATGCAACTGCAGGCTTTTGCAGCGTGCCCTCGTGCTATGGTCTTACCTGGAGTTTAAGCTAGGAAGCAATAACGATCTTTAAACTTAAGAACACTCAACTACTCATATACGAGACTAACAAGCTCCTCACCTTGGTTCTCAACCTAGGCATGTTTATGTACCCATCACGACCCGTGAACATCATGGTCGGAATCGGACTTCAGCAATCCATGCTTGCCGTGACTATGCTTGTCGTGAGAGGCGACTAACGGGATCAGGTGGTCGCTGACTTGGTTGATGCATGTCATCGTATCCAATTTGCGTGGATCGATGTTCATGATGTCAGTCGCTGGATTGTCTGGTCCAGACTCGAATATTTACAGACCGCCGTCATATAACTTGAATATTGCTGAATTCGGCGTTAAACAACAAACAAACAAACAAACATCACTGTGACAATCAATAGTCAACCAACACGTGCAGCATGCGATTACCTATTACAAATTAAAGCTTTAAATAGTGAAGACATTCCACACGTTTACTGATCAAAGTTTTTTTGAATTATTGAAATAAATAGAGCAAACAATTTTTTATATAAATCATACATAGTGTTAGTTTCTTAACACTATGTATGATTTATATTTGTAGTTGTTTCATGTCCTTTTGATGTTTTCATGTGGCTCTATTGGGTTTTGGGGCACAGGGGCTTAAAACGCAAGAAATATATCCAGTGTCAGTATACTATATACTGACACTGGGTGTGACCATATATCTTGTAGCTGCTATGTTTTTGCGTTACAAGCCCCAGTGTTTTCGGGTGTGGTCCCTGAGGGTGTCTTTGGCTCTGTAATGATCGAGAGTGTATTGACGTATGGCTCTTTTGACTCGTTTCCCTTCAGCACGACCTCTGACATCAAATTTATTTCGTTTTGTTTGTTTGTATAGGGCCCCGTTATGACCAATGTGATTGTCGGGGTATACAAGCGGCTATTTCCTTTTGGAGTTTAAACTGTCACCGGGTAATCCCGTTGTGCGTGGTATGGAAGGTAACTGCGACGAGGATCTCTAAAAATAGTCACTTCTAAAAATAACTTTTGTGAGCCTCGTTTTGGCGACAAAGGAATTTCTCAGAAGTATACGAGGCGTGGCGATCTATCCTTCGAATAGTCTGAATAAAACGACGGTGTCATGTCACAACAATATATTAGTGTCTGCACAACACTCACACTTGCAGTAAGCAACGTCTGTCCACGGACCTACTACGTACCAGAGACCATATACCGATCTCTGTACGTACATAACAGTAAACATCTGGATTGTCGGTGAGTTTCGAGATTTTCAGTTGGTAGTTTAACATTCTCGCCAGAGAATTTAACATTGTACAAAACGTAAAAGGTTTCTTCTTTAAACGACCGACCGAAATGTTGTCTAAGATAGTAAGAAAACTAGGTGTGAACTCATAGCTGTGTACTGCTCTGTAGGCCCCGATCGTCGCTGCGACACAGCAATGACTCGTCCAATGTTCAGTCACTCGCGGGAGGATTTGGTTTAAACCGCCTCGGCTGCTGTCACTCAGCTCAGCTGTTGTCGTATTTCTTCAATTAAACGCCCGGGTGTATTTTTCTTTCAGACCGTCTTTACCCCCTGGCGTTTAATCACAAAATAGTATTAGGGGGAATTCCGAGCATTAAAACTACCTGGCGTCTAATCGAGGCCCCGTATTAAATCGAAACCATCCATGTTTTTATTCGGGGTACGGCGTTTATTCGAGGAAATACGGTACTATGTTTCGGGCACACAGACAGTTCTTCACGCCCCCTTCATGTTTGCAGGTTCATAACGTTTGACAAAATACATTTGACATTTTAAACGAACTGCAAAATGCCACCGACTGACGAGTATATGCCCCACTCGGTTTGCCATTGCTGCGAACTACGAATGTAGTGTAATATAATTTACAACCAGGAAATGAATTCTGATGATAGACCGGAAAACTCAATCTCTTCTTCGTTTTAAATAAGACACCATCGGTACAAATGGCTCAGCATCTTTGATATTAAACCATACTTTACCACATTCACGTTGCAGCATGTAAACACGAGTAATGATGATATATATTAGGGGAAATAACAGCCATTGTCAGTTTTGTTTGTTTGTTTGTTTGTTTGTTTGTTTGTTGTTTAACGCCTCACTCAGCAATATTCCAGCTATATGACCGCGCTCTGTAAATAATCGAGTCTAGACTAGACATTCCAGTGATTGACATGAGCATCGATCCTCGCAAATGGGATATGATGACGTACATCTACCAAGTCAGCGAGCCTGACCACCCGATTCCGTTAGTCGCCTCTTACGACAAGCATAATCGCCTTTTACGGCAAGCATTGGTTGCTGAAGACCTCTTCTACTACCCCGGGTCGTCAATGGTCAGTAAGGTATATTAAGTATAAAATACTTTTGTAAATTCGGGTTTAATTGTGTTAATGCTGAGGGAAACACTTTGTTATAGTCATAGTTGAAAACGAAACATATGCGTAAAACGTATTCAATAAATGTTAGATATACGAGGGGTGGGCGAAAAGTCAAGTGCCTAACTACAATGGACTGTGCGGGTGGAGTGGCTTGCTTGTCGTTTTCAACATTAT